ACCCCTGGCCTTGCACCAAGCCCTAGCCACCCTCTTCTCAGACTGTCTTTGCCTTGCTTTGCCTGTTGGAAACGTGGCTCTTCCCTGAGGACACTCTCCCTTTAAAGGAGCTAGCACTCTCCTCCCAAGTTGCACAAGATGGGTGATTGTGGGAACCTAGCCAGAGCCTGCCCTGGGCTCTCATTTTCTGTAGTCAATGTGGCTCCACCGAGGTGTCAGAGATGCAACCAGCAGCAAGCAACAGGAGACACAGCGGAAGCCGACTGAGGAGTTCCAGAGCAGATCCAGGGCTGGTTGATTGATCAAGGGATCTCCACCTCCTCACACTGCATCCCCCATGGCTGATGGCACCACCCCTTGAGGTTGCAACATACCTGTCCAGTCCTCACACGTGGACTTGGCATCAAGAACACAATCTTTCCCAAGAGCCCAGTAAGGTCCTATTGGCCAGGACTGGGTCGTTGACCAAGGGAATGAAAATACCCTAACTGGTAGACCAGCTAGCTTCAGCTGCATGGGGACCATCTATATAAAATCCAGAATTTGCCAGAAAGGGAGAAAGGCTTGCTGCTGAGCAAGCACCATCACCACTTGCCCTGATAGTCACATCCACTCCTCATCCTGCCCAGGGCCAGCTATTTCACCATCCATTGAGAAGGCGTGCAGCGTGCTGCAGACGGGCACCATGCTCGTGGCTGTCTGACTGGGTTCAAATCCTCGCTCGCGCTTGCCAGTTCGTTTGCCTTGGGCAGGTGACTTAACCTTCCCAAACAGCAGTTTCCTCATTTGTAAAGTGAGAGTTACCAGCACTATCAAACAGAACTTTCTGTGATAACGGGCCTGGCCCATGTTGTGCTACACATAGCTATGGAGCATTTGAAGTGTGGCGAGTATATTGGAAGAACTGGATTTTGTAATTAAAATTAAATAACCACATGTGCTTATTGGCTACTATTTTGAGCACACAGACCTATCTCCTGGCTTTGTAGGATAAAAAAATGATTTTTGTTTTGAAGTGACAATTGAAATGACACATAAATCCTCAGTAAATGTTAGTTATTTTTGTGTGATGCACTGATATCCTGGTCACTTGCCCGCACTCCTTGAAGACTTTGGATCTGACTCACCGTCTTGCTGTCTACCTCAGGTCTTTTGCAAACCCAGAGAACTTCAGTGTTCATGCAAGTTGTCCAGTCAGCATGCCAGTCTCTTGGTTCCTTGCCCATCTCAACTTCAGTGACTCACTCCCATGTTGCCACAGTCACTATCCCATGACCTTTCTGGAGACTTGGGCTGAAACCCACCCCTCTGGTCTCTGACCAAACATTTCAATCCTCCATTCTTTCTCTCCTTTGCTCCCAGGAAGGCTGGTTATTAGGTCTGTTAAGACTTCCATTTCTTTCTTTCTTTTTTTTTTTTTTAAAGATTTATTTTATTTATTTATACAAGCACTGGGTACAGTCAGAAGAGCGAGAGAATTCACCAGAGCCAGAGTGGGGAGCAGAGCAGGCAGAAGGACCAAAGTACACTGCTGAGGGGAGCAGCAGGCGGCAGGAGAGGTCTGCGCGCCATGTGGGACCCTCCTCCGGAGGCCGGGGAGCAGCCGGGGATCGAACCGGCGTTGCAGAGGTTGCGGGCAGCTTGCAACCCAGCGCTCAACCGCTGCGCCACCGGGGAGGCCCCAAGACTTCCGTTTCTTTGGCTCAGTTATTTCCTTATCCACTAGCTCCCTCCTCATCTCCTTCTCTTCCTAACCAATCTCAATCCCACAATGCCTCACTTTATTCCGCTACCAAATGGTCTCCTCTGTCATTATTAACCTTCTTGAACTGTTCTCCTGGTTTCAGACTTAAACTTTAAAACCACCCTCCACACTGCAGCTAGGGTGGTCTCTGCTAAATCTCATCATTTACCCCTCCACTGCCAGTGACTGCTGGTTTCGAGAAGGTACCATGCTTCCATAGTATCCATGTGTTTACACAAGCTAAACCCTCTTCCTGGTTTAACTCCTCCCTTCTTCTTTGTCTAAGTAACTCCTTAGTCAGTGAATAATTTTAAAATTCCGTTTGCAGAGGAGGAGGGTGGGGGAGGGGAAAGAGCAAAGAGGGAAGACAGCACAATGGTCTATGGTGGTGAAATATGGATGAGTTGGTGGTGGATACACTATGGTGATGATACCTAATGGGGGTAACCCAGTATTACCCTCAGTTAAATAAAATAAAAGTTGTGGCTTCATATATCACCTCCTCCAGGAAGGCCTCCCTGATCTCCCCTCTAGCCTAGCTAGTTGAGGTGCCCCTCCTATGTGTTCCCATGACATCCTATGCTTCACTGGACTCACTCTGATTATCCTACAGCATCACTGTTAACTAAACTGATTCTTCCTTTCAGTCATATGAGCCTGAGAACACATATTTGTTGCATTAACTGGACATACATTCTAGGAGGATTAATTTGGTTTGCTTACTAACAGTTTGATTTTACTTGTCAAAAGGTGGAAGGTATTTGAACATGTTTATATACCGGGAGTAAAGAGCTGTAATAGTTAAAGAATGAGACAGTGGAGATTTGGAGAACTGCAAGGCTAGTTAATGGAACTGAGCTCCTGCATTCGATCCTTCGCTAACTTTAGTGCTTATATAAGGGAGCATATGTAAGACACTTAGCCGGGCACCAGGTAGGTAGTAAACAGGTTTGTCCTTTCATTCACCTGTGAGAATGCATGTGTCTTTTCTAAGTGCATGGCAGAGTGTACAATATGACATGAGTCCCTGTCCTCGGGAGTTTATGTTCTAGTTGGAAAAGATGGATGTACCCATAAAGTAATTAAAAAGCAATGCAAAGTGACATGTGACAGTCACCAATATCCAAATGGTGCCTTTTTCAAAATCACAATCTGCACTAAAAAGTATCTTTTACATCAGAACCTGGAACATGTATAAAATTGAAATAAATTTCATTAAATAATACTTATCCTTATTTTGTGTGCTGCATTCCATTCTGTTCTTTGTTTTAAAAAAAGATGATTATGGCTTGCTGTTACAGGTTGAATTTTGTCTCTCCAAAGTTCATATATTCATGGATTGAATTCCCATGTCCCTCGAAAATTCATAGTCATATAAATTGCCCCCAGTACTGCAGAATGCGAATGTATTTGGGGAAAGGGTCTTTACAGAGGTAATCAAATTAAAATCAGGTCATTTAGGGTGGGCCAGAAGCCAATCTTTTTTTTGTGTGTGTGTGGAGGGGGGACCCTCGCCGGCAGCCGGGGAATGAACTGGCGCTTCAGAGGCTACAGGCAGCCTTGCAGCCCAGCGCTCAACCACTGCGCCACCAGGGGAGGCCCCAGAAGCCAATCTTACACCTGAGCCTAGTGTACTCCAAAAAGAAGAAATGTGGAGACAGACTGGCATATAGGGAGCACACACCTACATGAAGGTGACCATTTACAAGCCTGACACTGGCTCTGTGCCAGGTGTTGTTCAAAGCCTTCATGAGTGGGCCTCCCCTGGTGGCGCAGGCAGTAGAGCGCAGCGCTGTGAAGCTGTCCGCAGCCTCTGCAGTGCCGGTTCGATCCAGGCGGTCGGCAAGGGTCCCACATGGCGCGGCAGACCTCTCCTGTCACGCCCACTGGTCCCCTCAGCAGTGTTCTATTCTGCTCCCCATACTGTCTCTGGTGAATCTTTTCACCCTCCCGTGCATCTGGCCTGTACCCTGGTTCTCGTATAAATAAATAAATAATTATTTTTAAAAAATACAAAAAAAAAAAAGCGCCTTCTTGAGTATGAGCCTGTTTTGCTCTTACAAACTTGTGGCTTAACACAATGATCTGCTCCATTTTACAGATGACGGAACTAGAACACAAGGACTAAACTGCCCAAAATCGTGCCGTTAGCAGTGTTGGCAGAATTTGAACCCAAGCAACCTGTGTGCAGTCCAAGTTCTTATCAGTGATCCTCAGCTGCTGGGCTGGGCCCACACGTGTGCACTGGCACGCACATCCACATGGGATGGGAGGGGCGGAGCAGGGGGGTCAGGAATCAGTTCAGGCACCAGGGGGCAGCATCGGCCTAACTTTGGCGCCTCGGCCCAGCCCTGTCTAGAGAGGTGGGGAGTAGGCGGCCCCTGCGACGGCCCAGCTGACTGTCCTTTCCACTTAAGTCTTTCGCTGTGGGGACACGAAGGTCTCTCTGGGTCCCTAAGTCTCCTCCAGCAAAACCTACTAAAGGCTGTGGTGATGACTCAGAAGCTGAGCAAGCCTTGTGTGTGTGAATGTCTCACTGGGATTGCATGTTGCTGAGTGCTGACATGCCTGTGAGCCTGCCTGCACATGTGTGTGCGTGTGTCTGAGATCTTGTGTCCGGAAACTTGTGCATATGTGTTTGTTTTGGGTGTGTCTCGGTGTTTACCCCAGAAATAGATAGGAACTTGGCCAAGGCTGTGGAGTAGATTCGTAGTCCAACTTGCCCCTAGGGGATCTGCGGGCAGCTCAACCCCAGCGTGCGCAGCCTCCCACTGGGTCTGAGGGGGATTCCCTGTGAGGAGGGGGCAGAGATGGCCTTCGGTCCGCAGGACTTTCTGGAGTCTTCCAGAACTCTGCGCTTCAGGGTGCCCTCCCCTAGACCCGCCCCACCGGTGATCACGAGACTCTTAGGCGTTCCCCACCAAGGAGGGAGGGGGACCTAGGAGTTCCAGATGGCTTAGAGCTCCTCGGCTGCTTTTCAGGGTCCTCCACTGGAGGGAGTGCAGAGCCCAGAGGGATTTGCTTTCCCAGAGGCCCGGGGAGCCCAGTTACACCTGCGCCTAAACCCCGGGGACCCTGTGAAAGTTTGGGTGTGGGAGAAGCCGTCTGGGGCGGCATGTCTCTGCTGGACATGAGGTGACTCTCTAGAGAAAGGCTGAGGCTCTCCAGAGTGACTGAGCAAGTGGGGAGCAGCCTCTCCTCCACCCTGATCCGGGGCCCCCCCAGGCCCGGCTCCCCAGGCCCGGCTCCCCGGGCCGTGGCCCCCCACCGCCCCAGGAGGCACACACCCCACTTTCTTCCTCTTCCTCCTCCAGCCCACTTTCTCTGGTGTGTGTCGTCAGAGCTCCAGGGAGGGACCTGGGCGGCCGGAGAAGCCGGAAACAGCGGGCTGGGGCTCCTCTGCGCTCGGAGGAGGAAGCACGGGGTGTGTTTGTGTGTTCCTTTTCTTGTCGGTGGTGGTGGGGGGTGCTAGCAGGGCCAGCCCCGAAACCGCTGGACAGAACTACAGACCCATGGGGCCTGGCCGCGGCCGCTGAGCGGGAGAAGACAGCAGAGGGGTTGCCAAGGTGAGGGGATGCCTGGGGAGGGGCGGGGGGCTCTGTGTGGGGAAGTGGGTTAGTGGGGGGGCCTCTCGGGATCCTCCACTTTGGGGGGTTCCCCAAGAGTTTGTTTCTGCGGCTGTGGTGGTGGCGGCCCCGGGTTTGGGCAGTTTGGAACTCAGAGGACTCTGGGGTGGGTGCCGGCCCGGCAGCGCCTGTGCCCCCCCCGCCACCCCTCCCCCACCCCACCCCCGGCCGCCTGCCCACCGTACCCCGGCCCGCCAGGGACGCGTGCGGCCGGGGCGGGGGCCCGGGGACGCCCCTCGGCGCGCGGGAGGGGTGCGAAGGGGCCCCTCCCTAGAAGGTGGCTGCCCGGGCGCCGCGGTCCCTGACCAAGCCCCAGCCTGGCCCCCGAAAGTTCCTGTTCAAGGATGCGGCCGGGGTACGCGCACCAGAGCAGGCCTCATGGTGCCCCGGAGGAGGGGGGATTTCCCCCTCAAAACTGCCCCACGCTTGGCTGCTAGACGCCGAGATTTCCCGGCCGGCGGCGCGCTGTTAACCCTCCTCGTGCTGCGCAGGCTCCGCCCCCGCGCCCCCCGCGCCCCCGCGCGCCCCGGCCCGCCGGGCTCCGCCGGCGGCTCCGAGCAGCTCTTCCGAGCCTTGATCCCGCGGCCCCACGACCCGAGGACCCGGGGGCGCAGGGGCGCGCGGCAGCGCGAGGGGCTCAGCACCCCGCGTCCCCCGCCGAGGAAGGGCGCGCCCCGCCCCCCGCGCCTGGCTCCTCCCCCGGGGCCCCGGGGCTCGAGGCCCCGGCCCGGTCCCGCCCAGCCCACGGATCCCGGTCCCGCCGGTGCGGGGAGCGTGGCCCCTGCCGTCTCGGGATGGAATGGGGGGGCAGATGGAGGGCCAGCCCTGCCCAGTCACCAGTGTTGGGTTGGGGGTCCCCTCGATCTGCAGTGGGGTAGTCGGCGGAGGTCAAGGGTCTCGACACCCTGAGAAACTGCAGAGGCAGAGAAGGGAGGAGGGGAGGCCTCCCCTGAACTCCAAACACAGCCCAAAGGTGCCCCCCAGGGACGGGAGAAGAAAGGTCCGTCTGAGGACCCTGAGCGGGAGAGGGGAGCAGTGGGACTCTCCAGAGGAGGGCCCCCCTGTCCCCCATCCTTTGGGGAGCCCGGGGAGAGGAAGAGACTGGAAGTACACAGGAATGCTAGGAGTTGGTAGGGGGGGAGACCCAGGGGTTTTCCGTCCCCAACCCCGCCCCATCATGGGAAGGATGAGCAGGGCATCCTCTCAGGTGCCCATCCCTGCAGCCCACTCGGAAATGGGGCGCAACCCTCTCTCCTGCTCTCCCACCCACCTCCTTTCTTCTCTTGCCTGCTTCTCCTTCCTTGGCCTTCTGCTCCTCCAGCTTCCTGTCCCTGCCACCAGGCGCTTCACTCTGGGCTCACTAACTGCACCTTTCTCCAGTGCCGCCCCCTTTCTGTGCCCCCCCCCTTGTGCGGTGACCCTCCCCTTCTCCCCTTGGGACGATGGGGTCTCTGTCTGGGGAGGATCCTAACTGCATGCAGCGCAGTGGTTAGCCCCCACTGGGGTTCAAATCCCGATTTCCAAGCTGATTTCGATTTCGCAGTGCCCTTGGAAGCCTGAGAACCTCCTTGAGATGGTCTTGTCCTGAGTGAAGGGGGGTAACCATGTGTTTTTTATGTTGTCGCGGGGCTGTAAGGAGATACTGCACTTGGTGCCGTGCCTCCTGCTAGCGTGTGCTTAATAAACGCTAGCTGTCGTTATCACCACCTTCTTCAGCCAGTCTGGTGGTTTTCAAATTGTTTCATGGAACCCTGGAATTTTTAAGGGTTTCTCCAGGGGCACCTTTTCAGTCAGGAGGTGGGGAAGAGAAAGTAGAAGCGGTCGAGTTTCAGGCATACCACTTGCTTTCCAGAGAAACTCCCATTTTTTAACTTTTATGTAATTGGGATTCTACAGATTAAAAACTAAAATTACCTACTGCTTTAAAAACTTTGGAAAGTTCTGCACTTATCCTAGCCTCCTGCTTTATGGGTAAGAAGATCCAGGTGGACAGAGGGGAGATTCTTTGCCCTCAGAACTCAGGCCAAGTCTAGAGCTGCAACCACATCCTCTGTCCCCTCCCAGAGAACTTTCCCTGACAGCCCCATCTCCCTGTCCCCACTCCACCCCTCTGGCTGCGGCTCAGCTCCTCCTCCCTGTGTCTGTCACCTCAGGGATTGGGGTGGCCTCAGTGACACACCAAGGGTATCTCTGGTTTGAGGTGGTTTGGCCCTGAGACGTGGTGAGGAGGGTCCCTGGCTGCCCTAGAACATAAGCCAGCGTTCGTGGACACCCCTCAGAGAGGTCTCCTTCCTTTCCTCCAGGCACCCTGCAAACCCCAGATCATGTCTCTGTGGGGTCTGGTTTCCAAGCTGCCTCCAGAAAAGCTGCAGCGGCTCTATGTGGACTTTCCTCAACACCTGCGGCATCTGCTAGGTGACTGGCTGGAGAACCAGCCCTGGTGAGTCCCGGCTGCCTAGTGCTGGCCCCCCAGGTCCACCTCCACCCACCTTTCCTCTTATTAAACGCCCCCTCTTTCGGGATGTGGAAGCAGTTATTCCCTATGTGGTGGCCTAGATGTACTGGGGCGTCAGCCAGACTGTGCACACTACACCCGGAGCCCCTCGCCACCTTAGGACCCCAACACAAAAGAAGGGCAGTCAGGGCTGGAGCAAGGGGCATTCCCCATAACCGCTGGAAAACTGGGGTGCCAGAGGCGTGGATGAGAGCTGCAAAGGGCCTGAGTGGAGAGTGGGAAGAGGGAAGTTGCTGCTCAGCTGGCTGCTGTGGGGTGGAGTGTGCGATCCCCGGCCCTCCTTGTTCTAGGGGCTGGGGCTACCTGTCTTGGTACCCTGAGTTCTTGCTGGTCACCTAGGCAGGAGGCCTCTCACCAAGGACAAAAGTCCTGGGAAGCCAGTATCTGCTGAAAACAGCAGCCAGATGTCATGGCCAGATTAGCCAGACCAGCTAGAGCACCTGCTTGTGAGGATTAGCAGAGAGTTAAGAACAGAGAATACGGAGAATATGCTTAGACTGGCGGGAACAGTGGCGCCCCCCAGGCAGTCGCCCCTGGTCACTCCACCCCAGCTTAGACCCCTAATAACTGCTTCCCACACACACACACACTCCCTAGTACTTGCCCCTCCTTTGTCCTTGATTCTAGTAAATCCTAGACCGCCTTTGGGTGGGGCTGCCATTACTGCCGGTGTAGCCCCTCTAGGCCTCTCATCGCTCTTCCTGCACTTGGAGTAATTTCTCATCATGTGCCCCAACGCTGTTGCCCCAGAGGTGGCGGCGGAGGGTCAGGAGAGCCAAGAAAGCTCTGGTCTAAGACCGCCTTGTCCTGATCTGCCTACAGGGAGTTCCTGGTCGGCTCAGACGCCTTCTGCTGCAACGTGGCCAATGCCCTGCTTTCCGCCACTGTCCAGCGCCTCCAGGCCTCAGCTGGGGAGCAGGGGGATGGGCCTGCCGTCTTGCAACACATCAGTACCCTGGAGGTGGGGGCCAGTCAGGGAGGGGGACTCAAGTCTGGGGAGGGGCAGGAATGGAGCTGGGGGTGAATGCTGGGTGCTGAAAAAATTGTTTGGGTGCTGGAAGAAATTGGTGTTCTCGTGGTTAACTGTTAGCTAGCATGCAAATTTGATTTTAAAAGCATGCAAATGCATGAAAACTTCTGGAGTCTACAGTGGTACGGTTTTCAGTGCCTGTGTGTGTGAGGGGAGGAGGGGCACACCATGGGTAAGAGCCAGGCTAACCCTACCACCCGTCATTTCTATAGAGCATATATCAGAGGGACCCCCTGAAACTCGTGGCCACTTTCAGACAAATACTTCAAGGGGAGAAAAAGGCTGTTCTGGAACAGGTGCGTGGTACCCCACTCTCATCCCAGCTCAGCGCCCTGGGACTTTATCTTGATCCATCTGAAGCTGGAGAACTTTGAACTTAGGAAAGGCTCAGTGTTCTAGGCCCAGGATAACCAAAGGAGGTTCCTGGGGTCAGAGAGAACCCCAAGTCGAGCTTAGGAAATGCCAAATGAAGCACTGAGGGTAGTGAGGCCTGGGGAGGAGGAAGCAAGCTGTAAGGAGCGGATTCTGCCAGGAGGGAGATCTGGGCGAGCTCTCAAAGGGAGAGGGGAGCTAGACAGGGAAGTGGTCTGTCTCCTTCTCTGCAGACCCGGCAGCAGGCAGCCTTTCAGGGAGTGGAGGCCGCGTGCAGGAAGAGGGGTAGAGTGGCTCACCTCTTGGCCCCTGTCCCTCCTGTGCAGTTCCGCCACCTGCCGATTCCCTTCCACTGGAAGCAAGAAGAGCTCAAGTTTAGCACCACCCTGCAGAGGCTGCAGCACCGAGTGAGGGAGACACGTCTGCTCCGGGAAGCCCTGCAGCAGGGGGCTGAGGCTGGCCAAGGTGGGCGCCTGGGCCTGGAGCCCTGTGAGGGTTCTGGGGAGTGTGTGGGAGTGATCCCCTCTTAGACCTCAAATCTATCTGCACCCCTGATTTCTGTCCCCCACCCTAGTGTCTCTGCACAACTTGATAGAAACTCCTGCCAGCAGGACTGCGCCAAGCGAGGTGAGTAACGACTGAGAGGTGGACATTGAGCTCAAAGCGCCCTCTTTGAGGACACTCAGATCTGCGGGGGGAGGGGATGATTCCTCGGAGGGACACAGATTGAGGTGGGGGTAAGGGAATGCCAGAGAGGTGAGAAAGAGACCCTGCCCTCAGGAGCTGGGTGAGGAGGCGGTGTGGGGCCCGCTCAGGCCCTCTCTGTCCGCAGAACCTGGCCACGTTGCTGCAGGAGACGGTTGGGGAACTGGAGGCTGCCCAGGCCTTGGTGCTGAAGAGGATCCAGATTTGGAAAAGGCAGCAGCAGCTGGCAGGGAATGGCGCGCCCTTTGAGGAGAGCCTCGGCCCGCTTCAGGAGAGGTTGGGGCAGAGCTGACGGGAAAGGGGGTGGGCACCTGCGGTCTTGGGGTGGGCCTTGGGGTGGGCCAAGACTCAGAGAAGCCTGTTCGGCAGAGCCGCGCATGCTTGCTCAGGTTGTGTCCTATGCAGATACGGCCCCTCTGAGGAGTGAGACGCCGTTATCTATTCGGTCTTGGTGGGGCACCCGACAGTTTGTGCAAAAGCACCACACATGCTGGCCGCTGAGCTGGGCACCAGGGCCCTAGGGAAGAGGCAGCTGAGTGTCCACAGGGGACCAGGCACAGAGCAGTCAGCTCCCACCCAGAGCCAAGGCTGGTCCAGAGTCCCGGGAGCCCGGGTTCCTGCAGCCACACCTCTGCCCACCCCGCCCTCCACACATGCCATCCTGCTTTCTTTCTCGCTTCGGGAAAGAGGGTCTGGGCTGGAACAGGCAGTCTGAGTTCTGTGCCCCCTGACCCCTGTCCTGACCCCAGGTGTGAGAGCCTGGTGGACATTTATTCCCAGCTGCAGCAGGAGGTAGGGGCGACTGGTGGGGAGCTTGAGCCCAAGGCCCGGGCATCGCTGGCCAGCCGGCTGGATGAAGTCCTGCGGACGCTCGTCACCAGGTAGGCCCCAGCCCCCAGAAGGACTGTGTGGAGGGCGACAGGAGGACCCCACTGCTAACTCTCCTGCTGTCTCCCCCACTCCTTTCAGCTCTTTCCTGGTGGAGAAGCAGCCCCCCCAGGTTCTGAAAACTCAGACCAAGTTCCAGGCAGGGGTTCGATTCCTGCTGGGTCTGCGGTTCCTGGGGACCTCAGCCAAGCCACTGCTGGTCAGGGCCGACATGGTGACTGAGAAGCAGGCGAGGGAGCTGAGCGTGCCGCAGGGGCCTGGGACTGGAGCGTAAGCTGGGGTTGCAGGCCGCCTGTTGGGGTAATGGAGGCCAGGGAAGCGGGGGCGGGGGGTGAGGCACCACAAAGAGCAGGGTGATGGGGAGGGAAGGCTGTGGGATGTGGGGACCCTGAATGATCGCTTCAGGGGAAGGGGAGGGATCCATTCAGCTGGAATGAGGTGGTTGCATCATGATTTGGCCAAGAGGACCGACTCTTCTTGGAACCAGTAGTCCAGACATTCGTGCACGCCCTGACCCCTGGGATGAGCGTCCTGCCTTCTGACACACCCCCCCCCCCCCCCCCCCCCCCGGCCGCCCCCGCCCCCCGCCCCACAGGGAGAGCACAGGGGAGATCATCAACAACACGGTGCCTCTGGAGAACAGCATTCCTGGGAACTGCTGCTCTGCCCTGTTCAAGAACCTGGTGAGGGCTTCTGGGGCGGTGTGAGGCTGGGACCTCAAGGGCCCTCAGACCGTGGGACTTCCTGGGAGAGTGTGTCGGGAGCCACGAGGGGTGGGGTCTGCCCTCATCCCGCCCTCCCTCCTCCTGCTCTGCAGCTTCTGAAGAAAATCAAGCGGTGCGAGCGGAAGGGCACCGAGTCTGTCACGGAGGAGAAGTGCGCCGTGCTCTTCTCTGCCAGCCTCACGCTGGGCCCCGGCAAGCTCCCCATCCAGCTCCAGGTGAGGCGAAGCCACGGCCTGGCCGGGTCTGGAGCCCAAGATCCCCTCCATACCAAACACCGGGGCGGGGCCCCAGCCCTCAGGGCTGCCCCATCCCCGGGGCATGCACACTGGGGTTGGGGGGAGTGGGAGGAGCAAGAACGCACAGTGCGTGTGCCTGGAAACTAGGGTAGCAGCAACGGCGCTTATTACACTTTTTAGGGGCCAGGGCACTGGCTTGTGTGTGTCACACACGCACAACTTGACCTTCGCAGGAACACTGTGAGGCAGGTTCTATCGCCAGCCTCCTTTTCCACACGAGGACACTGAGACACAGACAGATGCCGTCTTTCGCCTGGGTCACATAGCCGACAAGTGCCTGAAAACCTGGCGCTCTGGCTCCTGGGTGCTGACTTGTGACCATTTCTCTATAGCAAGGCCTCGAGCAAGCTTCAGAAAGCGTTTGCTAGCACACACACCTTTTACTTAACCCTGCGTGAATCCAGTAGCTTCCCTTTACCCTCAGGGCCTGCCCCCTGAGGAAACCCCTTGCCCCTCCTTACCCCCTTCAGGCCCTGTCACTGCCCCTGGTGGTCATCGTCCATGGCAACCAAGACAACAATGCCAAAGCCACCATCTTGTGGGACAATGCCTTCTCTGAGATGGTGAGGAAAGGTCTGGAGTTGAGGTGGGGGACAGGGAGCAGGGTGCGCTCTCATCTGGAGGGTGCAGGCTGGTGGGCTGGCAGACACTTTCAATTGGGAATGAGGTTAACTCCTGACAGACCTGCTTTCCTACTTCTGACCTCTTTTCATGCCAGTTTGAACTATCCTGGGGTCACACCCAAAGCTACCATTGAAAAGCACCATCTTTGTGAGGCAGCTCAGGGGAGCAGGGTGGAGAGGGGGGGAGGGGACCTGGGGAAGGTGAAAAGGAAGAGGCCCACTTGAGGAAGAATGGGGTGATAGCCTGCGCTTCCTCGCCTCCCCCTCAGGACCGTGTGCCCTTTGTGGTGGCTGAGCGGGTACCCTGGGAGAAGATGTGTGAAACTCTGAACCTCAAGTTCATGGCTGAGGTGGGGACCAACCGGGGCCTGCTTCCAGAACACTTCCTCTTCCTGGCCCAGAAGATCTTCAATGACAACAGCCTCAGCATGGAGGCCTTTCAGCACCGCTCTGTGTCCTGGTCACAGTTCAACAAGGTCATCCTCCTGCTCTTTGTACCTCCTACCCCAAGCTCTTCATCTTGAGGTTACTCAGGATCTCCCCAGCCCCCCGCCCACAGGCAGCTGCTGGGATGTTCACATGCCTGGTTATGCCCTTCGGGAAGGCTCCTGTCACTTCCAGGGGGAAAGGTCCGGGGGAAACACCTGGCTCTGGCGCTCAGCCCAGAGGCTGTGTCCTCTGGATCCCTCAGCTTGTAGTCTGGGGGCCTCTGGCCTCTCCACCAGTGATGGCATGACTCACCCAGATTGTGTGCAAACAGAGCTCTGATTCAAAGTGACTTTGACCTGTCAATAAAATAGTTCTTACTGCAAAAACCGGCATGAAGCCCCACAGGGACATACCAGTTCTTGAATACTGGCAGCTCGCTAGACACCAGACACTTCACGTGTGTTATCTCATCTAATCCTTGCAACGTACCTTTTAGTCCGTGCTGCTGCTAATGCCCATTTTACTTAACCCCTGATGTTCAAAGGGGATAAGTGACAAGTTCGAGGCCTCACAGCAGGTGAGCGGCACGACTGGGACTGGGATGGGCACTCACGATGGACCTGATTTTTTTTTCTTTTTTTTTTTTTTTAAAGATTTATTCATTTATGCATACAAGAGCTGGGGTGCAGGCCAGAGACAGGGGGAGTGAGAGGACCCACCAGACACAGAGTGGGGAGCAGAACAGGTGGATGGACTGAAACCCACTGCTGAGGGGAACAGGGGGAGACAGGACAGGTCTGCTGCGCCATGTGGGTAGCTCCCTGGCCAGCCGGGAATCAAACTCGTGCTGCAGTGGCTGCGGGTAGCTTCTCAGTGCTGAGACTTAACCCCTTGTGCGACCAGGGAAGCCTCTGGACCTGACTTTTGCTCTTAGCTACTATATTTTGCTGTCTCCAATATAAGGTGACTCAAGATTGGTCTGTTACAAGAGCAGGGGAAAAGGAAACCTGGTGTCTTGGTTGATGACCAGCTGGTCAAGGCAGCCACTTACTACTCTCTTAGGGAAAAAAAAGGAGAGGAGGAAAAGGCCTGTTGCCAGAGGATGTGTTAGTAAAGGGAGCAGGACACTCAGCCTAGCAAGCCTCAGCACTCCGGGTCTCACTGGGGGCGGAGTACAATGTTTTGAGGCCCCTTGCACCCCTCTCTCTACCCCAGTGCTGCCTCTCACCAGCTGTGTGGGACTGAGAAAGTGATTTGGCCTTTCTGGGTCTCCATTTCTTCATCTTTAAGAAGGGGCAGGACCTAGCTGCTTAGGCTTATAGAGATTAATGTACATGGGGGAAGGGCTTGGAATCGCACCGGGTCATGGTAAGCGTGAGCGTTGGCCATCGTCACTGACAGGGTGTCACGTCCAGCTTGATCCCTCAGACAGGTGACTCTGTCATGTGGGTGTTCATATGGCAGGGCCTGCCTTAGCCAGGCTCTAGCCCGGGCCTTTCCCTGTTCACACTCCCTTGCCCTCCCCCACAGGAGATCCTGCTGGGTCGTGGCTTCACCTTTTGGCAATGGTTCGATGGCGTCCTGGACCTCACCAAACGCTGTCTCCGGAGCTACTGGTCAGATCGGTAAGTCCCTGCCTGAACAGCTGTAGCTTTAGCTCCCTTTCCACGCCTGGTGCCTCCACCTCATCCTGTCCTTCGTCCTGACCAGGCTGATCATTGGCTTCATCAGCAAACAGTATGTCACCAACCTTCTTCTCAATGAACCCGACGGAACCTTCCTCCTTCGCTTCAGCGACTCAGAGATTGGTGGCATCACCATTGCCCACGTGATCCGGGGCCAGGATGGTGAGGTCACCCCAGTCAGCCCTTTGTCTCTGTGCCTGTGCCCCTGGGTTGCATTGGGGAAGGAAATGTCGTGGTCTTCCTTGATGCCAACCCTGACCTTCAGGAGGTTCTTCCATAGGCCACTTCTCTCCTTCCTTTTGTGGTTGAAACGTGCACCTTCTCCGCTCTGGGTTCTGTGAGATGGAGACCAGTGGGCCCCTCCCTTGGGACCCCATCCTAGCTCCTCTTCCTCTAGTCTTGGTAGATCGAGCTGGTGTCCTGGGGTGGGGCTGGGGAAGGGATGGAGGTCTTGGCAGAGGGGACTGAGGCTCTCATTCCTCTCGTAGGGTCCCCGCAGATAGAGAACATCCAGCCATTTTCTGCCAAAGACTTGTCCATTCGCTCACTGGGGGACCGAATCCGGGACCTTGTTCAGCTCAAAAACCTCTACCCCAAGAAACCCAAGGACGAAGCTTTCCGGAGCCACTACAAGCGTGAGCCAGAGTTGCCAGTCCTGTCTCTCTGTTGCCCACCTCTGCCTTACTCCTGTTGCCCCCATCAGCCCTCTGGGTGGTCATTCCTTACTTCTCCATTTTCCTAGCCCCAGTTCTCCTGCCTTGCCCACTTTTCTCACCTCCCTTCTTCCCTAACTCTGGAGCATTCCATGGCTTTCTTTTTCTCCCTGCAACAGCTGAACAGATGGGTAAGGATGGCAGGGGTTACGTCCCAGCTACCATCAAGATGACTGTGGAAAGGTGAGTGTGGTGCTGTGCTGTGGTGGATGATAGGGGTCCAGGTGCTTACTTGCAGGAAGGGGTGGTGCCCCCAACCCCTGGTCCTTTACAGGTGCCTCCTTCCCTTCTCCAGGGACCAGCCACTTCCTACCCCAGAGCCCCCGGTGCCTACCATGGTGCACAGTTATGATCTTGGAATGGCCCCTGATTCCTCCTTGAACATGCAGCTCAGCCCGGAGATGACGTAAGCCGCTTGCGAGACAGGAGTGGGAGTGGCCTGGGCGGCCGGCTTTCAGCCTGGGCAGCTGGGAAAGCTGGGGCTGAAGTAGGAAACTTTTCCTTTCCGTGAGAGGGACTCCCATCTTAAGGCAGGATGGGGGTGTCCAGGAGAAAGGTTGGCATCAGGGGGGTCTGCTTTCTCTCCCCAGGTCCCAGGTGTACCCACCACACTCTCACCCCATGCCCTCATATCCAGCCCTTCCCCGGTAAGAACCCATCAGTGTGTTTTCACTTTTCCAGGAATAAGTCAAAGAGATTCCGGAGGGGGGGGTCGGGTCCCCACACAAAAAGGGGATGGGTATTCGCATTTGGTAGGAGAGGCTCTTCTATGGCCAAGGGGCCCCAGAAAGCGAACTCTCTGTCTCTTCTGCGCATTCCCTCAAGGGGTTAGTGGTTCAGATCCAGACAGACCTGCGCAGTTTTGAATGCCAGCTCTGCCATCACTGGCTTCGGGCAGATGACTTAACTTGGGTGCCCCATCTGTAAAATGGGGACCATCTGGCACAGAAGGTTAAATGAGTTGGTAATACGTGGACCTGGCTCGAAGTAAGGATGATGTAAACCTTCTCCTGCCTCTGAAATTCGCCGTCACTTAAACGCTGTCTTAATCTGTTTTGGCCTTGAAGTGACTGTAGACGGTTTTTGCTCCCCAGGTAACACTCAGGTACTTATTAACTCTTAGTTAAGGCACAGCGTCTCCCTCGCCACGAGCTGAGGTGGGGGTGGGAACCGGCCAGCTTGGAACGACCAGCGTTCAAAGTCCACCGGAAGCAGCGTTAGAATTGGCTAATCCAGTGCCCCTCGCCCCTCTCCCCTGCCCCAGCACGCACACGCTTTCCTGATGAGCTCACAGCAGACCCAGCTTTGCCCACGTCTGTGCAGGGAGCAGAGAAGTCAGGATAAAGAAATCATTTCCTCATTCAGTGATCTTGACTTTGCAACCCCCTGTCCTTGCTCCGCCTTCCCGTCTCCAACTGTGCCCTCCTTCCTGGCTTGCAGACCTCACCTGCCGATGGCCCCCAACCTGAGCCAGATGAGCCTGCCCTTTGACCAGACTCACCCCCCGTGAGTGACCTCCTCCGCCCATCCCACCCTTCCCGTTCATGTCCAGCCGTCTCCCCCTCCCCCATCTCATTTACTTCTCCGGGCCTGGCAGGGGTCTGCTTCCGTGTATTAACACGCCTCAGGAGCACGCCATGTCCAGCTCTGACCCCCTGCTCTGCCCAGATGTGACCATGGCAGAAGAGAATTGCCTGAGCCAGTCCGTGGGAGGGTTCCCTCAGGGCACCTGGTGAGTGGCGGGCTGCAGGTGGCGGCTGGGGGGTGGCCCGAGCTAGGGGGTGGCCCAAGCGGGTGCCATGCCCACGCCACCCCCCTCCTTTCCTCCTTGCAGGGCCGGGGAAGACATGTTTCCGCCCTTGCTCCCTCCCACTGAACAAGACCTCACGAAGCTTCTCCTGGAGGGGCAGGGGGAGTCCGGGGCAGGCTCCTTGGGGGCGCAGCCCCTCCTGCAGCCCTCTCCATACGGGCAGTCTGGGATCTCAATGTCCTGGACCTAAAGGCCGGCCCCCGTTGGTGACTGGGCTTGGAGAAGCAGCCCAGAGAGACAGCTCTGCTACCCCCAGGGGCCTGCTCTGGGCACCTGCCCATGCTCCTGCCAAGCAGCAGACGGGGCGGCGCCTCCCATCCTGACCCACCCCAGGTCAGAAGACTCTGCTAGGAGAATGCACCATGGGTGGAGCCTGCCCACCCTCCCCTCCACTGCACACCCCTGCCCCCCGCCCCCTTCTGGTGCTGGAAAGGAAATCCAGGCTCCGAAATGAGACACACCCGACACACCTGCACTCACAGCCCTCCCTGGAAGATGGGGCTGGCCAGGAAGAGGGGCCGGGCAAGGGAACAGGTTAGGGCATGAAGGCTCCCTACCCACCGCGAGCCCAGCACTCACATGTATTAACACGGAGACACGTGCACACGTTTGCACAGAGGCTGAGTGTGGAAGGGCGGGCTTGGGAGCCAGCTGGGGAGGGTGGGGGGTGGTGGCTGGGGAAACAGACCTGGAGACCCCTGGTGAGTATAGTCTGTAGACATTTGGTCACCGATGTGGGTTTTGCCCCTATTAAAAAACATACCCCAAACAGCCCCAAATCCCTGTTAGATGGAGGCTTTGGGTTGTGACTGCAGATGTGCAGGGGCCAAGGCTCTTCGTGTGCAGCTGTGTAAAGTGTGCGCGCCGAGACGCGTTAATACACGACGACGCGTTAGTTACACGGCCACACGGAGCACGTGCCCACCTGATTGTGCTGGGTGACAAGTCTAGAAACGTGAGCTATTGCACGAGACACACCAGCGAGGTGCTGGCTCTGACGTTGGCTGCTAGCCCGGTCGTGCTCAGCTTGGCGGGTGACTGCTGAGGTGGGTCTGTGTGGTTCCAACGTCTGCATGTGGCTGTAGCTTTGGTGGCTCCACACACCCATTTACCTAGAGGCAGGGGCAAGTCTGGGGTGCAGGCCCCGCTGTGTGAGGTGGCCCTGCCCCGATCCTCTCCCGTCCACGGCCAGCTTCCCTCCACCCCCACCCCACGCCACCCTTCCTCCCTCCTCGGGGGAGGGGGTCATAGATCCTAAGCCATAAAATAAACTTTATTCCAAAATAACAAAATAAATAATCTACTGTACACGATCTGAAAAGAAAGACGCTCTAACTGCTCAGGTAGGTGCTGCGATCCAGCCCCCAGCTGAGGGAGACCCTGAGTCCAACCCAGGCCTCCTGAGGGGGCCGGTGAAAGAGACCCCACACCCCTCCCCTCCCCAGAGAGGGCAGGAGGGAAAGAACTGCTGAGGACTTCGGGGGGAGAGGGCACTAGGTGGGCAGACTGCAGCACTTGTTAAATTAAAGAACAAACTAGAAGCACAAAAATGGGGGAGCAGAGGGGAGGAGGACAGGTCCAGTGTTCTCCGGCCCCCAGTTTTGTGGGGAAATGTTTCCACTTTCAGCTGCTGGACCTTCTCAGGGACGTCCCCTTTCCCCCATGTCCAAACCGAGTCCAACTGTTCACACCACTGGGTCAAGCTAGAGAGGAGTGTTGTGTAAGGGAAGGGGAACCCCAAATGCCCTGGAGGCAGAATCCTTTCTCCCCTTGCTCTGGGCAAGGGTGGGGGGCACCACACAGCCTCCACGTGTCCTCTCGCCAGGCCCCTGCTCATTATTGCTTGACGCCCCATAGTCTATATCCATGGAGCAGGTGGGGAGGCAGGAGAAGGGCAGCGGAAGGATCCAGGGTTGTGAGGAGATGCAGGGGTCCAGAGTGGAGGGTCCGTGTGGACCGGGCGTCCATTCGGGGCCCGGGGTGAGCACGCCAGTCTACCCTCACTGCCGGCTGGCCTCGGCCTCCACTTTCACGCTGCTCCTGCGCCCTTCCACCAGTGCGGGATGGGGTCCCGGGGCGGGACATCGGTCCAGAAGGCCTTCCTCGAACTCTGCAGGGAAAAGGGGTAGGTGAGGAGGTTGTGGGCTGCGGGCCAGGCCGCAGGGCGGCTGCAAACAGAGGCCAGGGCCAAGATGAGCCTGATGTCCTGAATTACAGCAGGTGTATGAGGGGGTTCTGCCCCCGGGTGTGTGCACCCCCTCCCCTTCCTAGCTGTGTGTAGCTCTCTGTCTCTGGATGTGTCTCTCCCCTTCTCTGTCTCTCCCGCCTCCGTTCTGCTGGAATTTCTGGTTCTGTCAGGAGCTGTGGGGGCGGCTTGGCTCTGACCTCTTCCCCTCCCCCACCCCCTTCCCAGGCTCTGCCGCCCCCGTTCATCCCTGGCCCCCTCCCAGGCTCCACCCACCCTACCCTGCCCTCCAAGTTTCTTAGAAGCCAAATCAGGGGGAACACAGAAACCAGCCTCCCAGCTCCTCCCCCAAGAAAAGCCCCCCTTCTAGTCCCCACCCCCACTTCCCACCCACGCACTGTTTAAAAATACCAAGCCAGGGTTGGTGGCTTTGTCTGCTGCGTCACTCTCAGCCCAGCCGCTGGCCAGTGCTCTACTGGCCGACTCTGACTCCCCCTCCCCCCAGCCACACACAAAGCACCCCCTTTGGCTTCTCCACTTCCAAGCTGGGCAGCCACACCCAGACTCCTGGCCACTCCCCCCCTGCACAGGTGAGGGTCCCAGCCAAGCTTCTCACCGGTGACCCTCCTTGTGCCCCCTTGTCACCCACACTGGCCCCTTGCTGCCCTGAGCTCCCCACCCACCCCGGGGTGGGGGTGGGGTGGACACCCCTGCAGGGTCCTGCAGCCAGCCCAGGGCTGCTTGGCTGGAGCCCGACCATCCTACTGCCCCAGTGAACCACGTCCCTCTTCCTCCCACCCAGCCCAGCCGGGACCAAGACGCAGGGCCTTGCGTGGCGGGGTGCTCGGGGACAGCGCTGCCGGCTGCCTCACCTGCGAGAGGCGGCTTCGCAGGCACGCAGGGGCTGAGGCGGCCCACGCGGTCATGGGAGACGAGGCGGGCGAGCCGCAGCCCCTCATCCATCAGTGTCTGCTGCAGGATGTGGCGGCTCCACAGCCCATGGGCTGGCAATGCCAGAGGCAGGTCAGCAGGGGGCGGCGTCAGCCTTGGGCATGACCCCACAGCTGTGGGCATGGGCACGTGTCAGGTAAGGGGCTACAGTCACGGCACCCCCCTCCACCGCACAGCCAGACCCACAGGCCCAGGCCCCTTGCCCCAGCCAGCCAGGCCTCCCAGCCCCCTCCCCCCACCCCAGCGCCCCGAGTGAGACATGTCAAGCGCACTCACCCTGCAAGTGTCCATCGAGACTCTCCCCCGACAGGCTGGCGCTGTCTTCCTCCAGGCTGGGGCGGTACGGGGGTGCATAGGACTCGGGCCCTGGGGGAGGCTGCTGGATTTCAGAGTGACTCTGCTCTCCAACCTGCGGATGTTCCAAATGGGGAATTGAGGCCCTGGCAAGGAAGGGGACTAGGAAAGGTGCCCTAACTTCCTACAAACATTTTCGCAAACCCACCTCCTGTTTCAGCTTCTTCAGCGGGGGGCCTCCCAGTTCTTCAGGATGGAGCCTGCAAAGATGAGAAGAAACAGGAGACTGAATCTGGGGAGGGCCACAGGAGGGGCTGGGCACAGATTGGCAAGGGAGGGGCACTACTTTGAGACACTGGAAAGAAAGCAGCTGAGCAGGAGTCTGCCGCTCAGGCACTGCCGCGCCGAGGAAAACTCGGATGGAGGGGAGGGGAGGGGAGGGGCCCAGACAGCCAGCATGGCCCAGGCAGGACGCACAGGTGGGTAGAAGAGGGCTGAGGGGCCCCTGAGCTGGCGGACAGGACGGGAGATAGCTCCTTGGCAGAACTGGAATCTAGGCAGGGCCTGGGGAGGGGGGTCTCACCTGGAGCCCTTCAAAGAAGATAGGTAGGTGCTCTCTCGGGCCACCTGGCGTGACAGGGAGAAGAGCTCCACCCTCCGCAGTAAGAGCGTGTTGTCCCTCATGCAGAACTGGGCAGCAGCCTCATTGATGGTCAGCTGTGGAGACAGCCACCAGAGCAGTCAAAACCCCGACCCCTCACATCCCTTCAGCCGGCAGACCAAGAGGCCCCGCCAGCAAATGCCTGCGTGGGTTCTCACCCTACACAGGAGTTTTCTAGAGAAGAAAGACAGAGATCAGCACCCCACAGCTTCCCAGGAATGCGCGGGGCCTCGTCTGCTCCTGTGGGCTCCCACGTGGCACGGAGCGGGGCGGCTGGGCTCCAGCCTGCATCTCTGCTTCCCCTTCAGCTCGGGATGGAGCACCGGAGCAGCTGGGGTTGCGTGTGGGGGAGGGGGGTCAGGGCTGGGGTCCCGGTCGAGCGCCAGCGACACAGACTTGGGGAGGGGGGGCTTCTCAGAGTAACTAGGCTGAGGCCTGGGAATCAAGAAGGATCCTGGGAAGCCGGGGCCCTCACCTCATGCAGGCTGAGCTGCTTGCCCTCCCGCCGCTTGGAGTCAAAGCGGCCGTAGATGATGCTGTACTTGCGGATCTCTTCCTCCTTCTGGCTGTCGTTATCGTCCATCTCAAAGATGTGTCCCACGCTCCTTGCCAGCTTCTTGTTCAGCTTCAGCAGGGAGGTCACCTCCCCAGCATCCCCCCTCGGGAAGCTCCGGAAGATCCTTTCCACACTCTCCACCACCATGCGGACCATCTCCGGTTCCAGTCGATCTGGACCACCCCCAGCGCCACCTGTTGCCAGTCCCCCAGCCCCAGCCCCCTCAGGGACTCCCCCCCCTGCAGGTGGGGAGAAGGGGGGCGAGCCAGCCTCCTCTTCTCCTCCCGCCCCGATGTCGGACTCTGGAGTACTTCGTCCTGGCCAGATCCGGGGGTCCCCTGCCCCAGGTCCCCCAGGTAGTGGGGACAGTTTCTCTCCAAGTTCAAGAGGGCTCTTGGGGCTAAAACTGCGGGCACTGCCCGCCTTCTCCCCTGGGCTGCCGTGCCCGTTGCTCATGCTCCCTTTGCGGGTCCCGGCGGTCTCCGAGATCTTGAAGAGCGGAATGCTGGAGACCGGCACGGCAGGCACTGGTTGGCTGAAGAGCCCCGGGTTGGTGGCCCACTCTCTCAGCGCCTTCTGCAGGCGTCGGACGTGGAGGGGCTTAGTGGCCATCCCCACAAGCGCCATGATCTCCAGGAATTCCTCCTCGCCCGCCTCGCACAGCTGCTGCACGTCGTCGCCCCCCTGCTGGATGAAGGTCTCATAGTAGGACAGCAGGTTGGCGCGCTGCAGGACCCGGTACAGCTGCAGCTCCCCCAGCGTCCGAGGCAGGGCCATGGCTCGGCCACTGGGTCTGAGAGGGAGAATGAGAGGGGCAGTCAGTGCAAGTTCCGCTGCGGGGTACCAGCCCACACTCAATTGTCCTCTTTCCTGCCTGCCTCTCCTCTGAGTGCCCTCCCTGCCCAGTGCCTAAGCCTGTGCAGACTGTAAGAATCAGCTTCTCGATGCTTGTCTCTTTGTCTACGAGGCACTGCTCAGAGACAGGCTCGCCGATGCCATCCCACACTGGCTGGAAGTACCAAAGCCAGCCCAGTCTCTGCAGAAGTCAGAGGTTCTCAGGCCCCATCTCAGCTTGTATCTTTCTGGCCTGGGGCGAGGTGCCCAGCACTGAGGCCAACACAGGGCCAAGATGGCCAGAAAGTCCTCTCCTCCAGGACACAGCCCATGCCACCCAGCCCCAGCCCCTGGGTGTCTCAGCACTACTCAAGGGGCTGCCCCATACCAAAGCGGGCCCCTGGGCTGTGGTCAGCTTCACTCCCTGGTGGCATCCTGCCCAGGTGGCTGCCACACCCCTCCCCAGGCCCTTCCCACCCAGTGAGCCGTGGCCCCTCGCTCCTCTCCCCACAGATCAGGCCCGATTAGAGCACTCTGGGTCTCTCCCCCTTCGTGCACCCCCCTTCTAGACTGCGGGGTACCCCTCAGCTGGCTCCTGGCCCAGCAGAAACCGTCCCCACCTGTTCAGGAGGCCTGTCCCTTCAGCTCAGACCCGGAGAGCAGGAGCGCCTCAACTGTTCTGCTCAGGGGCCTGTGCCACCCACACGCACTCCCACGCGGGAGTGTCTGTGGGCGAAAACCGCCTGGGGGGGCTCCCGCCTTCCCGCCTCTCCCTCATTTTCCACCCACATCTTCAGGTGGAGTGGGGGAGTGGCTCAAGATCTCCCGAGGGAGGGCTGGCGCACCGAAACTCCCCTCCCCAATTTGTAAACAAAGGCAGGGAAGCGAGAAGGGACGCCAAAGGCACCCCCGGGCTCGGGCTGGGGTTTCTCGCCGACCCGGGGGCCTGCGCGCCCTGCGCCCGCGAGGGGCTGAGCCGGCTCGTCCCGGCACTGCCCAGCCACAGCTCCAGGGCTTCCCCGGGCGCGGCGGGCGCCTCCCCTGCAGGGGCTCGCAGCCGGTCCTGCCCGCAGAGCCGACGGCGGGCGGAGATCGCGCTACTACTCTTCCCGTTCCGCCAGAGCCTGCCTGCTCCCAGGGCCCCCTAATTCGAAGACGCACCCCCTTTTCCATCAGTCTCCTCCCCCCACCCCCGTCCCGCTTCCCCTCGTCCTCTCCGCGACCTCCGGACCCCATTCTCGCGGCCAGCTCCACCCCTCCGCGCCCCCCCGCTCCCCTGTACCCACTAACTTGAGTCTGGGCTGCGCGGCCCGGCGGGCGCTGTCACCCCCGCGCGGCGGCTGCTCGGCGGGGGGGGAGGGCGCTCTGCGCATGGACGGCCGGAGACCCCCGGGGCGCCCGTCCCGCGCCGCGCGCTCGGCTCCCGGCCGCGCAGGGTCCGCCCGGCGCGCGAGGCCGCGTCCGCCGCTGTCCGGGCCCGTCCCGCCCTCCACGTCTCCGCTCCGCGAGCCTCGGCGGCGCCTCTGCCTGTGCCTCTGCCCCCTCCCCGGCTGCGCTCGCCGCCTCTCCGCGCGGCCGCCCCCGCAGGACGCACGGGGAGCGCGGCCCGGCGCGGCGCCGCCCGGCGGGCGAGGGCGTGGGCAGGGCCGGGGGCGGGGGCCGGGCGGGGGCCGGGGGCGGGCGCCCGGGCCTCGCGGCCGGCGGTGGAGGCGCCGCGGCGGAGCCGGGGAGGGGCGGGGACGGGGGGGCGGGGGCGCGGGCGGGGCCCGGAGCCCGCGCGCCCAGCCGGGGACCGCGGCGGCCGGGGCCGGGCGGCGGGGGGCGGGCTCGGGCCCGGCGGGCGGGGCGAGGCCGCTCCGCGCCGCCCACGCCGGATGCGCCGCCGGCCCTCGCCGCGCCCACGCGCACGTGAGCGCCCGGCCGCGCCATCCCCCGCGGGCCCCGCCGCCGCGCGCGGGACACAAAGACACCGGCGCGCGCGGCCGCGCAACGCGCCGAGACGGCCCCGCGCCCACGCCCGGGCTGCGCGGGGCGCGCGGGGCCAGCGGCGAGCCGGGCGGGGCGGCGGGGACTCGGGGGGCGGCCTGCGCCCGCGCGCCTCCGGCTCCCCTCGTGGGCCCTGACGGCAGGTCAGAGCGTGGGCGCTGCAGGGGCCCCGGGCTCCCCCCGCGCCCCGCCCCAGCCGCCTCGGGGACTCGCGGAGCGCGCGCTGCACCCCGGCCCCGCCGGCCCCGCCGAAGTTGGGGGAGCGGGAAAGCGCGCGCTGCGGGGAGGCGCCCGCGCAGACGCGCCTCCGGGATGCGCCGGGCTGGTGGCGCCCGGGTCAGACGGGGATGGCAGGGCCGCCCGCCTTCCCCTGGTAGTCGCGCCCTATTCGCCGAGGATGAGGCGGCCCTGCGCCCCGGGAACTCTGGGGCAAAGCAGCGCTGGGGAGGAGGCCCCCTTGGAGACTCTCGGGGACCCCCTCGAGGCGCTGCTTGAAGACGGGCTGGCGCGTCCGGCGCGGTCCCGGCGGGGGAGTTGCAGGGAGGAGCTCCTCGAGGCGCCGAGCCCCCCCGCACCCCGCCCCTCCCCCCCGTTTCTCCTCGCCCCATCTGGTTCCCATTACACTCCCGCCCACGCCGGGAGGGGGGCGGGGAGCCGGCTGGGGCTCCGGGGCCCAGCCCCGAGGCTTCGAGCCGCGAGGAAGTGGGGGCGGGCGGGGGCGGGGAGCGCGCGACTGGTCGGAGGCCCGGTCCCCCCCGTCCGGAGCCCCGCCCGCCCTCCGAGTGGCCGGGGCCTGGGCGGGGCGGGGCGGGGCGGGGGGGGCCGGCTCCCCTTTCCGGCGGGGCGTTGGGGCCTTTCCGTCTCCGCGGGGGCACGAGGAGGGGCGCCGCGGGGGGAGGGGGCCTCCGTGGCTAGGACGCTCTTCCCCATCCCGGGGCGCCCCGAACACCGTGGGGTGCGGCGGCAGGAGCCCGCGGAGTCCTCTCCCGCCCCAGCTGCCCGTCTCGCGACACGAGGGCGCGGCCACCGCGGCTCGCTCCGGGGGCGCTCCCCGACCCCCTCGGTTGTGTGGGCGCCGCGCCCCCTACTCCCCTCCCTGGTTATTTCGGAGCGGGGCTGCCAGCCGCCGGCCCCGCGCCCCACGTGCCTCCTCGCCCTCGGCCCCCGCCGTGACGCACATCCTCCGCCCACGCCGCGCTCCAGGCGCCCCCCTCCACCCGCCCCCCGGGGCGGCGCCGAGCCCCCGGATCGGGGGGAGAGCCGGCCGAGAGCGGGGCGGGCGGGGCGCGGAGGGGAGGGGCGGGAACCGAGGGGAGCCCGGCGCGGGGCGCGGGGGGGCCGAGGCTGGGGCCTGCGCTCCGGTCCTGGGGCGCCCCGGCCCGAGAGGGGCGCGCAGGCAGCGCCCCGGGACGGCCGCCCGCCCCCCCGGAGGGTGCCGCGGGGTGCGGCCCGCGCGTGAGCCCGAAACTCCCGAGCGTTCGCCTCTGAGCGCCGCGAGGCCGCAGCGGAGAATTTCAGGGAAACTTGGGGCTTGTAAACGGCGAAGCAAATTGCGGGCGCTGCTCCCCTGGCGCCTGAGCCCCGCGAGCACGTATTTATGTTTCTTCCCTTCGTGCGTCGTAGCGGCGTGTCCGTGCCGCTCCGGGGTGTGTGTGAGCCCCTGCGGACGGGTTTTAAAAATACATACATTTAAAAAATCACCGACTTGTCAGGCCCGCCGGGGCCGGCGCCCCCGCAGCCGGAGCTGCTGAGATGTCTGTTCTTGCTTCCCGCCCCCGCGCCGCCCCCGCGCCCCCCCTACGCCCTTCCGCTGAGAGCAAGGAATTTCCAGCCTTCAGCAAATGGAGAAAGACAGAAACAAAGAGACGGAGACGATGAGAAACTGTAGGAAAATACACGCATAAGACACGGTGCGTGTGTGTGTCTGCGTGTCGGGGCGACAACAAGGGTGGGGACCAACACAGACGGGCTGGTGCCCTCGCTTTCCTCTGTGGGCCCCTTTCTCAGGACCACCTTCCTACCTGACTCACCTGCCCCCCCCACACACTTACACACTTACACACTTACACACTTACACTCTCCGAGGACACCACGGGGCAGAGCAGCCGACCCATTTCATCGAGGATTCATGTTTACATTGTTTTCTTCCAGAAGGGAAACCAGAGCCTCAGCCCCAGTTTTCCAAGAAAAAGGTAAAAGATTGTGAAGAAAGTGGGTGGAAGAGGAGTGAGGACATTTTAAACCAGAAAGATGATTATGCCGAGGCACGTGTTGATTTTCATAGCAGATTGCACGCTCACTCCCTCCCCTTCCCCCAGACTCCACTCACATTTTCCTCCGACAGATCAATCAATTCACTCGGGGTCAAATATCATCATTTTCCCTTCCTGCACTGCCTCTAGGTAGAATCAGTTGCTCCCATCCATGTGACCCTGGGTTTCTCTGCACACATTTCGGTCACAGCTGCTGGTTTCACCCAGCAGCCCGGGACCGTCCCGCACAGGTGGGTATCAGCTAAGCCCTCAGACAGGGGTGAGTTGACATTTCTGTTCCCAGGCCTGGGCAACTGTGTAAAGTGCAATTGCAACTGGTTTTACTCCGAGAAGAACTCAACCTGGGCAAAAGGGTTTAAGTGGAGACACTTGTTTCTGCCATCTGCTGCCTTCTTAAGGTTTCCAGTGAGACTCTCAAGTCTGGCTCTTTGACTTCTAAAATGTCCTTTACTCACTTACAGGTGATTTCAGCAAGGTGTGAAATCCTTGCTGGTAAAAACAAAAAACCAAAAACAAACCTATAAAATAATAATCTTCCTTTTATTCTCTTTCAGTAGAATATTAGAATTACGGTTTAAGAAGCACAGCTCTTCATTTTACAAGAGACACCTCACCCCTCCAAAGACAGGTAATTCTAAATGCTTTCTTAAAGGAATTTATAGGCTAATAGGGGAGATAGACACACAAGCAAATAGCTATAACAGTAATATTGTGTTATTGCAATAAACGGATACAAATAATCACAAGAATAGGGAGCAAGTGATTTCTGCCAGGATTGTGAAGGACCAGTTTAAAAAAGCATCCAAAGGAGAGGATGATGCAACCTAGGATTTTGACCTAGATTTCCAAAAGGCAGGGATAGTCAAATCAAAGAGAGCAGCATGGAAACTTACATGGAGCGTGAAACTGAATGTTATGTTTGACAGACTAGAAATTACATGAACCTAGGGAAATGTACAAGGCCATTTCATTAAACATGTTATAGGTGCTGGGGTTAAAGTCTCAGCACCAAGCTATATAGCCAGCCACTGCGTCACGACTTCGATCCCCCGCCAGGGAGCTGACCCACAGGGCGCAGCAGACCTCTCTTGTCTCCTCGCTGCTCCCTTCAGCAGTGGATTTCAATCAATCTGCCTGTTCCGCTCCCCACTTTCTCTGGTGAATCCCCCCCTCACTCACTCCCCACTTCTGGCCTACACCCAGTTCTTATATGCATAAATAAATAAAAATAATAAATCTTTTAAAAAAAATAAACAAACAGACTAATACCTCTCAAGCTGGAGGTACAATTTTAAATTTTTTAGAGGGTAAATTTAAAATTTTTTCCTGTGTTGTCCACTGCTTCTATGAAATAAACTAAAAAGTGAGTTATTAGAAAAATGAAAAATAAAATTAAGCTTGCATAAGTGCAAAAAAGAAAATCATTTTAATGGTCCTTAGATTTTTTTTTTTAAGTTCTTATTAACACCTATCGCGCCACGAATATGTAGGGGACGGGTCCAGCAGCTCAGGCTCCTTCCAGGGTTATCACAGTCTGTGCTGCTCTGGATGGAGCAGGCTGGCGCTTCAGTGGAACCCAAGCACCTTTTCTCTGTCTTCCCTCTTTTCTGATCATTTTCCTTCACACATTTCAGGACTCTTAATATGCTCAATCTGAACATTGATTCTCTCTCTCTCTTTTTAAATTTATTTATTTTTATACTAGAACCGGGGTACAGGCCAGATGTGCGGGAGGGTGAGAGGATTCACCGGAGACAGAGCGGGGAACAGGGGAACAGAACAGACAGAGTGATGAAATACACTGCTGAGGGGAGCAGCTGGGAGACAGGAGAGGTCTGCTGCACCATATCGGTAACTCCCTGGCCGGGGATCGAACTCGTGATGCAGTGGCTAGCGATAACTTCATAGTGTTGCGTCTTAACCCCTTGCACCACCAGAGAGACCCCAAACATCGATTCTCTTGATAAGACTCTGCCCTTGCTTGTTTACAATGTCAACTGCATGCCAGGTACCACTGTAGAATTCCAGTTTTGCTGTGGTAACAAGTGGGGCACTTCCTTTGAATAGTGCCACCTTGATGTCGCCAGTACCACTTTTCTTTCAGATCTGTATGTATGCGGCCAAAGAAACAATGCTGTATTTTCTGAAAGACCTAGATATAGCAGGTGACTTGCTGCTTTCCCTTTGTTTTGGTCATTTTGGAAGTTGGCTGGAAGGAAGGAACTGTGAAAGTTCCAGCTGAAAAGAAGACAATCCCCATTTCATTAGATTCAATAAATATAAATTTTCTGTCAAATAGTTATAAAAGTTCCTAACTTACACTTAATTTCTGAAATTGTTTTAGTGCAGATTGGTTACACCTTTTGAAGAGCACTGTTGTAGTTATTTGTTTCACTACTTCTACTTCATCACAGGAGATATTGTGGAACCATAAAGACTTTGTAACACAGAGTGGCATGTGGGATCTGTCTGTATTTAGGAACAATGTGGAGGAAGAGATTTATGTTGGGGGAAAGATTTAGGGTCATTCTTTTTTTTTTATTTTATTTATTTATTTTTTTATAGAGGCATGTTTTTATTTATTTATTTGTTTGTTTGTTTTTTTTTTGTTTATACATGCACTGGGTACAGTCAGAAGTGCGGGAGGGTGAGAGAATTCACCAGAGCCAGAGCGGGGAGCAGAGCAGGCAGAAGGACCGAAGCACACTGCTGAGGGGAGCAGCGGGCGGCAGGAGAGGTCTGCGCGCCATGCGGGACCCTCCTCCGGGTGGCCGGGGAGCAGCCGGGGATGGAACTGGCGCCGCAGAGGCCGCGAGCAGCTTCGCAACCCAGCGCTCAACCGCTGCGCCACCGGGGAGGCCCAAGATTTAGGGTCATTCTAAGGCTTGTAGCTTGGGTGACTGAGTAGATGGGATGGAATGCTCCTCAAAACTTTGGAACTGTCCTCATCAAATATTCATCCTCTGTTATCCTTTTTCCTATATTAAAAAAATTAGGAAGACCAAACATTTTTCATAACTCACATGACAACAAAACCCTAATCTGATCTGGACTTATTTTTGGTAGAGCTCCTAAACTTACATGAGATCATGTATAGTTTTCATTTATCCCAGTGTGAATATTCATATATTTAATTGTAAAATTACTAAATTGTTTGATTATGTGGTGCTTCTCCAGATGCCACTGGGACTGTTGCATTACATATTATATATGCACCATATTACTGTTCTAAAAAAAAAGTTCTGAAACATATATACTATCCAGATTTTCCACACCATTTACTCATCAGTCTTGGCCTGAATTCTTTTGGCTATTTGCATAAATCAGATCCACCTGCAGATAATGAATATTCAGTGCAGTGTGTGCTACAGATTCTGAAGATGATTCTCAAAGTGTTTTAAGCACTTCGTTATTAAAACAAGGCTAAAAGCTTCTTGAGTGACTGTCTTGAAGTGACAGAACCATTTAAATGATAAGGTGTGATGTGTTTATGGAAAACCAGTCTCATTACTGTACACCTCCTTTACACATTTTAAGTCAGTGGGTGAGTGATCTGGAATTAGTTCCCAAACCTGGAATTAACTTCTCTATTCTCTGGCCCTTATTCAAAACCAATGAATGAGTTCTGAATTATGAGAATTTGAGGTTTGGTAGAAAAATTAAATGTGTGTAAATAATATGTAAAATTATATAATATTATAAAATACAATATATAACTATATAAAACAGTTTTAATGTCACTTTAAAATTTATAGAAAATCTGATAAAATAATACAGTTCCCATCTACTATATCCCACATCCAGTTTCTACTTAAATTGGCATATTTGCTAGTATTAAAGAACCAGAATTGAGAAGTATCGTTGATTAAAACTCTGTAGCTGTAGTTTACTCAGATTTTCTTAGTTTTTTTTTTTTTTAAAGATCATGTTGTTTTTTTTAAGATTTATTTTTATTTATTTATACAAGCACTGGGTACAGTCAGGCGCGCTGGAGGGTGAGAGAATTCACCAGAGCCAGAGCGGGGAGCAGAGCAGGCAGAAGGACCGAAGTACACTGCTGAGGGGAGCAGCAGGCGGCAGGAGAGGTCTGCGCGCCATGTGGGACCCTCCTCCGGTGGCCGGGGAGCAGCCGGGGATCGAACCGGCACTGCAGAGGCCGCGGGCAGCTTCGCAACCCAACGCTCACCCACTGTGCCACTGGGGAGGCCCCAGATTTTCTTAGTTTTTACCGAATTTTCTCTTCTACCCCAGGATCTCATCCAGAACATCATATTGCATTCGGGTCTCATGTCTCATTAGGCTTATCTTGACTGTTACAGTTTCTCAGATTTGCCTTGAGTTTGATGACCCTGGCAGAGTTGAGGAGGAGTGCTGGTCAGGGATTTAGTAGGGTGCTCTCTATTGCAGCTTGTTTAATTTTTTTTTTAAGATTTATTTATTTTATACAAGAACCGGGGTACAGGCAAGATTCATAGGGGGGGTAAGAGGGTTCACCAGAGACAGAGCGGGGAACAGAATAGGCAGACTGACGAAACACACTGCTGAGGGGAGCAGCGCGTGCGACAGGAGGGATCTGCTGTGCCATGTGGGACCCTCACCGACCGGCAGGGATGGAACCCGCGCTGCAGAGGCTGCGGGCAGCTTCCCTGCGCTGCACTCAGCCGCCTGCGCCACCAGGGGAGGCTCTCAGTCCCATTTTTACTTATTAAAATTTCTTGCTCTGAGAGCTTGAACCTTCCTCAGCAATTACCTCCTTCCCTGACCACCCCCTCAACTTACTCAGCTCCACTAACGCTGGTGTCCTTCCCAGGATTACATCCTCTAAAAATAAAAATGCTTCAATAGTTACTGAACACAGCTCATGTGCCAGCCACTCTGCTAGGCCCTCACTGCGATCAATCAGTTAATAAATGAATGGGAAGCTGTCTGAGGCGCACAAAGAGCTCAGGCTTTGGGGTCAGGAGGGCCGGGGTTGACACCAGTCAGCCTAATAACTGTGCAGCCTGCGGGCGGACTCCTCTGCCTGTCTGAGCCTTCACTTCCTCAGTGGAGATATTTGTATCCCAAAATATTGTGAGAAATTAAGAGAAAGGGAAAGCCCTAACCCCGCATTCTTTTTGTTTCAAAAAAAGTCCCTATAACTACATTTTAAAATGTTAATGTTCACGCCTGTGAAACACTGACCACACAAGTTTTGTGACTTTTTTGGAAATCATTTTTAGGACTTCGAAAGACACGATGGTCTTAAAAAAATCGTCTTGTCAGGACCCTATTCACAGGTCTCCATTATAAGTTTTCTATAACAAAAAAAACACCCTGTAGTAAAGACGGAAAGAAAGAAAACAGAAATAGCTTGAGTCAGTTTCGATGGAAATATTGACAAAGGAAGCCTCGCCCATCCTGACTTCCTATTGGTGAAGCTCACAATCAATCGCGCCTCCGTAACTAGACGGAGACGGAAGCGTGTTGTCAGGGGCGGGCCCTTCCTGTCGCCATTGCTAGGGAGAGAAGCCTTTTTCTTATAGGCCGAGCGCTGCTGTCCCGCCCCCTCGGCCCCGTTGCTAAGGGGCGGGACTCACAGGCTCCGGGAAGAGACGAGAGCTCGAAGCCGCGCCTATCCGATTGGTTGTTAGGGGGCGGGTCTTGCAGCGGATTGGCTGCTGGCCGTGCCTGTCGGGCTAGTTGCTGGGGCGAGGCACGTGAGAAGGAGGCGGCGAGAGGCGACCATGGCGGGAGGAATCAAAGTGGCGGGCTCGCGGCCGCTCGGTGCCGGGCCCCGGGACTGGGGGCCCGGGCGCCTCGGGGCAGTGTGGCTGCTCCTGGTCGTCTCCGCTTGCGTAGTCTGCGGCTCAGGTAGCGCCCGGCGGCAGCCGCCGGGGGGCGGGCCCCGAGAAGTGGTGTTGGGGACCGTGGGGCGCGTCCCCGCCCGGGACCGTTACCCGCCCGGCGGGCGTGGCCGGAGGGGCGGCCCGGGGTCGGCGACCGCGCGCCCACCCGCAGGGTCCGGGCCTCGGGTGGCCTGGGGGGGCCCCCTGGGGCGGGAGGAGCCCGGGATTTGGGGGCCGAGACGGGAAGGGAGGCCTGAGCGGGGTGACGGGCGACCCCGGGGCTGGGCGCGCTGCAGGGACCTTCGCGGTTTTTGAGTGCACCCCAGGGGCAGCCCTGGCTGTCGGGGCCGGCACCCGTCGTTCAGCCGACTGGCTGCACCTCTGAGCTTATGTGCAGGGCTCGGGGCAGAGGGGTGGCTGAACAGGTACTTACTTTTTTTTAATGTTTATTTATTTGTGTATACAAGAGCTGGGGTGCAGGCCAGAGGTGCAGGGGTGAGGGGATGAGAGGATTCACCAGAGATAGAGTGGGGAGCAGATCTCCTGAAATCCACTGCTGAGGGGAGTAGCGGGGAGACAGGAGAGGTCTGCTGCGCCCTGTGGGTAGCCCCCTGGCCCGGGATGGACTCAGGCCACAGTGGCCGCGGACAGCTTCATAGTGCTGACCATTAAGCCCTTGGGCCACCGGGGAAGCCTTTGACTTGAAGCCTGTAAAGTCCCGTCTCATATATGTGTATATAATGCGTGTGTGTGTCTGTGTGCCTCTGCTGCTCAGCTTCCGAAGGTTTCTTTAGGAAATGCAGACCTCCAGGAGAGTCGCCAAATACCCGCTGCTGCTAATTGTTTTGGGACTGAGATGAACTGTTTTCCTTTGGTGCTCTAATTTAAAAAACCTAGAATGTGTTTGAAAGAACCTCCTTCTACCCCCTGTCATTAAATGCACAACAGACAAGTGAGTTTTCTTAGCTTCCACTGGAGGGAGTTGAGACTCACCGAGGTAACAGGTGTAATCTTGTAAATGCACTTGCTCTCCTCTCTCCTGTGCGCTCTGCCTATCTCGTGATGATGTCATTTATGATTATCCTTAGCTGCAGCTTTAAGGGTGTCTCAGAGTCCATAGATCTAGTTCCAAAGTCAGCGTCCTTTGAAACCTGTTGTTTTGGTTTTTTTTTAGGGGGAGGAGAGTAGATATTCTGGAAACTACTTTTCCAGAGGCCAGGCCTGGAATGACATTTGAAGAGCTACTTACAATTTGAATAAACTTGGGCCTGATGGTTAATTTTTTTTTAAAGAAAACTTTGTATGTTTTTTAAGGATTTATTTTTTTTATGTGTACACAAACTGGGGAATAGGCCAGAGGTGTTGGAGGTGAGAGGATTCCCCAGAGACAGAGTGGGGAACAGAACAGGCAGATTGACTGAAGTACACTGCTGAGGGGAGCAGCGGGCAAGTCAGGAGAGGTCTGCCGCGCCATGTGGGTTTCTTCCTGGCTGGCCAGGGATCGAACTCGTGCTGCACAGGCTGCGGATTGCTTCATAGTGCTGTGCTTAACCCCTTGTGCCACCAGGGAGGCCTGAAAATAAACTCTTGATCTGTGTGTGTAGGTGGGCATTCTTTCAGTACATTTGTGGGCTTGCTAGTGAGACAAATGTCAACAGGATTTTGTAAAGGTTTTGTTTTACAAAAGATAGGCTTGGGAGAAATCCAAATTACCATATTAGATTAAGCCCCAGTGAGAAATGGATGCCTGGGTTCAGGACATGCTACCTCAGAATGTGACACCTTGACATACTGATTATTTTAAGCTGAGGGAGTTTGAGAAAACAGCAGGAACAGGAAGGTCACACTAACCTCCTCCACCTTGCCCTTCCCTGAAGCAAGCCATTGCAATCCGCAAGGACGAGGTGCCCTCCTTATATCCTGAGGGAGGGAGGGTCCTTATTTCTGAAGAGAGGGGAACACCAAGAATAATTAATGAGCAGGCCTGCAAGGTCTCCAGCAGTTACTGTAATTATCTCCTACTCCTTAACCCATTGTGTTATTTCATGACTGTCCATCTTTCATCAAACACAGCATAAAAGTACATAGTTCTGTTTCTTTGGATCTTTTTTCCTTTTGAAGGTTTTCATGTCATGAAAAACTTGCATTAAGTAAATTTGTGTGCTTTCTCCTGTTAATCTTTCTAAGTTTAATTTTTAGAGCAAGCCTGGGGGCCTCCCCGGTGGCGCAGCGGTAGAGCGCTGGGTTGCGAACCTGCCCGCGGCCTCTACGGCGGCGCCGGTTCGATCCCCAGCTGCTCCCCGGCCACCGGAGGAGGGTCCTGCATGGCGCGCAGACCTCTCCTGCCGCCCGATGCTCCCCTCAGCAGTGTACTTCGCTCCTTCTGCCTGCTCTGCTCCCCGCTCTGGCTCTGGTGAATTCTCTCACCCTCCTGCGCTTCTGACTGTACCCAGTGCATGTGTAAACAAAACAAACAAACAAATAAATAAACATGCCTCTATAAAATAAAAAAAAATAATAATAGAGCAAGCCTGGGACCCTTAAGATGGTCAAGGAAAACTTTTTTCCTTCTCTACTATATCAAAACTCAATTCAAAAATTGATATATAACTCACATACTATAAAATTTCCCTTCTTTTTAGTGTATCTATAAGATTGTGCAGCTACCACCACGAATTCCAGAATAGTTTTATTACTGCAAACAAAACCCCATACACTTTAGCATTTCTTACCCTTCCCATCCCCCACCCCCTGACAACTACTAATCTTTTTGTCTCTGTGCATTTGCCCATTCTGGACATTTCATATAAATGGAATCATTCAATAGATGGCCTTTTTTCCTCTGGGGGGTGAGAGGATTCACCAGAGACCGTGGGAAGCAGAACAGGCAGACTGACTGAAATACACTGCTGAGGGGAGCCGCGGGCGAGTTGGAGGTCTGTACCCTGTGGGTCAGCTCCCTGGCGCGCGACTGAACTCAGGCTGTGGCAGAGAGAGCGCTGTGCCTGACCCCTGAGCACCAGGGAGGTCCTGGTGGTCATTTTTAAGCCTTGAGTTCATTGAGGTTGGATATAAACTCCTGAGGGGAGAATCTCTTGATGAAATCAAAGAGACTAAGTCATTGGCCACCTTTTTTTTTTTTTAAAGGCATTTGTATGTTGAGGGCAAGAGGAGACAAGCAATATAAAAATCAAAAGTTTGTGTGGCTTGAATTGACTTTTCTTTCTGTTCTGCTCAAATGGAAGTTGAATTTGATTTGTGCATTTTCTAAGGTTCCAGTCTGCTTATGAAATCCTTATATCGGGGAGCCTGTGGGTGACCCTCATGAGGTGGGGGTACTGCTGGCTGCCTACTTTCCCTTCTGCCTCATGTGCACCACAGAAATAGTCATTGCGGGCGTTGGGGAGCCCAGCAGTCAGGGGAAGGAAGCTCTGAAAACCCACTTTGCCTTCTCGTTACTGGTCTAGATCCTTTATAGTTTTGTCCATGGCCAGAGGTTCTTTCTGATTTTCCAAAAAGCCGGGACCTCCTTGCCCATGAGTACTCTCAGATCCTCCTTTATCAAGAACCCTCTACCCCCAGCAAATTTGTGAAAGGTGAACATCATTGTTTGCGTGGTGTGTTCCTTTTGAGATGGCATTTTGGTGAGGTTTGCTGGGACTTTGGCTGGGGAGGTGCAGGGGGCACGCTGGCCAGCTGGGAAGCTCTGCCAGTCAGTGGAGCCCGGGGACTTTTTCTAAGAGGTGTGGCGGCTCTTAAAAGTTGAAACAAAACAGGGCCTCCCCTGGTGGCACAGGCCATTGAGCACCGTGCTGTGAAGCTGTCTGCAGCCTCTGCAGCACCGGTTCCATTCCGGCTGGCAGGCAAGGGTCCCACATGGGGTGGCAAACCTCTCCTGTCACGCCCGCTGCTCCCCTCAACACTGCGTTTCATCAGTCTGCCTGTTCTGTTCCCCGCTCTGTCTCTGGTGAGAGTATCTCCCACTCATCTGGCCTGTACCCCGGTTCTTGTATAAATAAATAAATAAATCTTTAAAAAAAATAAAAGTTGAAACAAAACAAACCAAAACCAGAAGAAAAGCAACTTTGCAGTCTTGTAGTGTCTGCTTCAAGTACTATATATACAAAAGCATCGCCACTTCTGTTCATCCTACTCAGGAAAGGGATGGAGAAAATCAATAGGTGGGGTTATTTTAGCTGAGCCTTATAAGGGAAACATATGGGTTGTGAATCTCAATTAAGCTATTTACTTGTGGTATTATTTGGGGTAAATTATAATCTTCCTTAAACATCAGTTTCCTCATTGTAAAATGAGGACTTTGTGAGTGCCAACCTCACAGGGCTGTTGGGAGGGCTAAACAAGACAGCAGACTGTGTCTTAAAAACACATAATAGCTTTTATTACTACTTATTTTGGGCAAGGACTATTTGTAATACTTAAATACCTAAAATTAACAGAAATAAGACTCAGCCTTCTTTCTTATCTGTTTTTTTCTTGTTTCACAGTTGCTGACATTTTAATCCAAAGTTTAAGAAAGTAGTTTAATTCTTTTTTATGAAGTGAATTATAATAATTAGCTTGTTCTGTTATGTTGTACTTAATTCTTATTTCCTTTCTTTGTATGAAGCTGAAACTAATGTACAGGCGGTCATGCTTCAGGAGTCGCGAGTTCATGATAACAATGCTAATGCGAGATTCTGCTATAAAAATGTGCTTGTCCCAAAATGGTATGATGTATGGACACGAATACAGGTAATAATTTGCCCCCGTATTGGGGCCAGCTCCAATAACTATCTGTCTGTGACCAGCGGGTTCTTTGATACTTTCTTTCCCTCAAGTACAATTTTATTTTTATAAAGTTTATTTATTTATGTATACAAGAACTGGGATGTAGGCCACAGGTGCAGGGAGTAAGAGGATTCCCCAGAGACAGGGTCAGGGGCAGAACAGGTGGATCCACTGAAATCCACTGCTGAGGGGAGCAGCGGGGAGACAGGAGAGGTCTGCTGTACCACGTGGGTAGCTCCCTGGACGGGGATCGAACTCATGCTGCAGTAGTTGCAGATTGCTTCATAGTGCTGACGCTTAACCACTTGTGCCACCAGGGAGGACCCCTCAACTACAATTTTTAAAAAGTGTTGTTAACAGCATTGTTAGAATTGAGATATCCTGAATTGTTTTTGTCAGTACACATTTATGCATACTTGTGTTCATTTCTCTGAATAGCTTGCAATACTTGATACTGCGGTAAACTTCCTTTTTCCTTTTCCCAAAGAAACTGCTTCCTGCTCTTCTCTCTCCTTTTACAGATGCGCACACACCCCACTCTCTTTCTTTTTAAAAGACTTATGCCTTCTTTGGGCTGGGAACAATTGCAAGCCTGTCAGGATGTAAACTCTTGCCTTGCTGCTGATAGTCTATTTTATTCTACACAAAATGTTTTGTAAACCCCCTTGGCTGAAGTTTCCTCTTTTTTTTTTTTTTTTTTTTGTGGGACGCTCGCTGGTGGCCGGGATTGAACTGGCGCTACAGAGGCTGCGGGCAGCCTCGCAACCCAGCGCTCAACCGCTGTGCCACCAGGGGAGGCCCCTGAAGTTTCCTCTTGATAGAATGACTTTGGTCTCATTTATTTCATTACACTGTTAAGCCACCTGGCAAATGAGAGTATCTGGGTATAATAATGATGGAACAAAATGAGTCCATTTGGAAATGTTGCTGCTGCTATAAGCATAGTTACTGATAAGGGCATTTGTCGTACACATCAAAAACATAAGGGTGGGCTTGTGATTTTTTCTTTCTTTCTAATTGATAAAATCATATTCCATCTGGTGCACATTATAACAAACATTTACCCGTGATCAGTGATTTGTGACAAAGGGTAACATTTCTCAGCCTGTCATTATGGGAAACATTTTCAATTTTCTGCGACTGTTTATGGCTGATAATTTTCTTAATATTCTAGACCTTTGCTTTGTGTTATCTTTTTCATAAATTAGCTGTATTGAAAACTCTGCTTGGAAGTCTCCCCCACTGCCCCCGGTACCCTACAATGTTCTGGTCTAATAGTAGATTCAGATCATGTTAACAAGATTTTCTAACAGCTGCCTCTCTGTACCATGTGTGATGTTATTTGCCCAATTATGGCTTAGCCACTGCATCTCCATATTTCTCATAAGCCTTGTGGAAAACTAAGTTAGCTATTTACTCTACAGTTTTTAAAAAAATTGAATCTGCCAAAATTGAAATTCCTATTTCCTTCTTTCTTATCCTGATTTTACTTGTGTTACAGATCCGGGTGAACAGCTCCAAACTGGTGCGTGTCTTCCAGGTGGACAGCGAGCAGAAGCTGGAGGAGCTAGAGCAGTTCAGTATCTGGAACTTTTTTTCCTCCTTTTTGAAAGAGAAATTGAATGACACCTATGTTAACGTGGACTTATACAGCACAGAAACCTGCCTCAAGGTCGAGGTTACAGAGGGCAACACCAAGTACAGTGTTACTGTGACCCGGAGTAAGTCTTACCTCTGATTTTATGATGGATTCTGTAGTGAGAAGGGACTGAGCTTTGGAGGGTATAATGTAGTGAAACAGAAGTCAGCCCAAGGCAGTCCCATTTTGGTTCTGATTATAACCTGCTCCAGACAGTTCAGGGAGACTCCACCCCACTTAAATCCATGAGGCCTAGAACCAAAGCTGCACTTCAGGTCATGCTGAGTAGCGCCTCACCTAGAATGGTGAAGACTTGCCTTCCTGATACTGCCCGTGGCCCTGAGCGGACGTCCCTTGTATTCTTCAGAGTGAATAAGACAGATGTGTTCTGCCTTTTGGGTACGCCCAGGCAAAGACATGGTCTAAAATGTACAAGCCACGCTTTGTAGACATGAATGTTAAACAGTAAAAACTGGAGAAATTTAAAATTGAAAAGTAATGCTTCACAAAGAGTATTGTGGAACCATAAATAAATAAAGACCTCTGCAGCTTAAGTCTTCTCAGTGGCAGTAGGAACACTCTCTGAATGTCTCTGAGAAGGTTTTGCAGAGAAGGCAGGTCATTATCCTGTTAAGTTTTCTCTGACCCGTTGTCTCTTTCTGGCCCTGCCCGGCATCCGGGCCTGCTGTGAGCAGTGCAGTGCTTCTGGACTTTGCTGTGAGATAGGCTGTGCCCTCGCATTCATCTTCGGGCCCCACACTGCTCTGGCTGCATAGAATTGACCTGTTTTTTGTGTTCCTTTTGCACTTACGGGTCCTCTTGCTCCCATTCTGTGTGTGGGCCTCCTCAGAGCTCCTCAGGGCTGGTAGTGCTGGGCAAGTCAAGTAGCCAGTTGGAGAACAGGCCCTGAGCCCAAGGTTCTAGTGAATCTGAATCTGAGCCTGACTGAAGGTTTGGGACCCAGAGTGGCAGAGACCTCTTGTGGGCATTGCGAGAAGTGTACCTGGCTGTCCAAGCAAGCTTAGTTTCTTTTGGCCTGAGCCACAGATGGCTGGAAGAAAAATAAGATCTTCAGGAAAGCACAGGTTAGACCTGTCTGTCTTTGGTAGGGTGCCTAGACTCTGTGGGATTTTCAGTATGGCTTAGGTGGGCACTTTATTTTATTGTAACTAACCAGTTTTGCCAGTATTGTCTTTATAATGCCTTAAACTGTTTGGTTCCCCTATTAAGTGGAAATCTTTTTTTATTTCAGGATTTGACTCCAAACTCTTAATTGTTTTTCTCCTTGGACTTATACTATTCTTTTGTGGAGACTTGCTAAGCAGGTAGGTTGAAGGGTGCAGCATGACCCGCCCTGCTAGACTTTTCCCATAAAGACTTTGAGCCTTGCTGTTGGGGCATGGACCTTATGGAAGGCCATTGTCCACTTGGATAATTTTTTTAAAGATTTATTTATTTATGCATACAAAGCTGGGGTACAGGCCAGAGGTGTGGGGGTGAGAGGATTCACCAGAGACAGAGTGGGGAGCAGAACAGGCAGAATGACTGCAATCCACTGCTAAGGGGAGCAGCGGAGAGACAGGAGAGGTCTGCTGCACCCTGCGGTTCAGCTCCCTGGCCGGGGATCGAACTCGTGCTGCAGTGGCTGTGGATAGCTTTATAGTGTTGTGACTAACCCCTTGCACCACCAGGGAGGCATCACTTGGATAATTTTTAAAAATACTTCAATATGTATTAAAGTTTTTTTTCTTGTGTTTAGTAAGATTGGAAATAATAAAATTCCCCTATTAGGTTGGCCCATCTTGTGGTAAGAGTTAGTCTTTCACAGTCTTTAATTGCAGTGCTTTACCACCCTTTCCACCACTTGAAATTATCAGGCCCTCATTTTCACAGAGTCATGTGTTGTTCATGCCTTTTGAAGGTATAGAAACAAACATCAACCACTTACTCATTTCCTGCCTTTAGGAACCTGCTAGCTAAGCAGCTAAAGCCAACATGTACAAATACAAAAAAAAAATAGATTACTACAGAGACATTGAACGAAGAACCAACATGTGAAATTTTCTTTTTACACAAGTAAAAGAGTATTTGTGGAGTAATGAATGAAAGATTAACAATTGGGGTTTGAAGTCGGGCTGGGGTAAGGTTTGTGGAGGTTGTTCCTTATTTTGGAGATCCTGAGAGAAGCGGTGAGGGGAGATTATCAGTGAAAAGAACCCGGGGTAGGAATAGGAGCTTGTTTCCATCCCTTGTTTGCTTTATCCTTTTGGGTCATCAGTTCAATTCCAGTTTCTACTGGAGAAATATTCTTGTCCTTTCCTTCTCCCCAGGTGGCTGTGCAGTTCCTCAGAGGGAGATGCTGGGGATGGGAGCGGGACACCAGCAGGGTGTCATTACATTAGGTCCCCCTACCACAGGGGATCCAGCCCAGGACCCCCAGGAGAGGCCGGAAACTGAGAATAACACTGAACCCTGTCTATACTCTGTTTTCTCCTATCATGTGTAACTGATGATTATAAATTAGGCATAGTAAGAGATTACTAACAACTAGTAATAAAATAGAAGTACAACAGTGTGCTATAATAAAAGTTACACGAATGTGGTCTCTTGTAAAATATCCTATTGTACATAATATTTTCTTTTTCTATATATAAAATATCTTTTAAAAAAAATTTTAATTCATTTATTTATATAAGCACTGGGTACAGTCAGAAGCACGGGAGGGTGAGAGAATTCACCAGAGCCAGAGCGGGGAGCAGAGCAGGCAGAAGGACCGAGGTACACTGCTGAGGGGAGCAGTGGGTGGCAGGGGAGGTCTGCACGCCATGTGGGACGCTCCTCCGGTGGCCGGGGAGCAGCCGGGGATCGAACCGGCGCCGCAGAGGCTGCGGGCAGCTTTGCAACCCAGCGCTCCACCGGGGAGGCCCTGTACATAATATTTTCATACTGAGGTTCATTGTGGGTAACTGAAACCTCAAAGTGAAATGGAGGACTACTGTATTGTGATATAATTTGAGGGAGACTTCATTGATACTAATATTAACAATCTGGCAGCAACTAACTACATTGTAAAGGCCTCTTCAGTTTTCTAACTGGAAGTTTTAGGCAGATATCCGCTCTGACCTTTTTTCTCTTCTCTTAGCTGGGCTTAGTTGTCTGGTTGAACAATGCCATGTGTGAAGATTGCACAGACGTCAAGTGCATTTTCTCTCTGCAGGAACCAAATCTTCTACTACTCCACTGGGATGAGTGTGGGAATTATGACCTCTTTACTAATCGTCATTTTTCTGCTGTCCAAGTTTATGCCCAAGGTACATAATGGAATCCTCATGTGCGGTTAGGATGAGTTCATTTAGTAAGAACTATTTTATTTGGGAAGCTTACAGCACTGAAAATCTGCGTGGATGACTGATAAACCAATGTCCTAATCTTTCCTTGAAAGATTGTCTTAATCTTCCCATTTTGAAAGTTGGAGCCTGATTACTTATAAACTCCCTTTTTATGTAAATTCTTTGCTCAGTGGGGGATTAAAGTTGCCTTCCTATTTGCTGATTCCGTAGCCAGGCTTTTAAGTTTTTTAGCATCCCATTTTCCCAGGGTTCTTTGTAGCCTGTACCTTCTTAAAAGGTACATCAGGTCCTTCAAAGAACAGTTTATTTAAAAAGAGATGTGCGTTTTGGGGGCATTTTCAGTAGATTGAATTCAAACAGAAATCAGGTTTCCTCTGGTTTGCTGCTTTTATGTACAGAAAGCCTGTTGTAACTTTTTGCTTTCTCTTCTCTGTTTTAGAGAAGTTCCCTTTACGTCATCATTGTGGGAGGCTGGTCTTTTTCTCTGTACCTCATTCAACTAGTTTTTAAAAATTTACAAGAGATCTGGAGGTGTTACTGGCAGTATCTTTTAAGTAAGTATTGGTTTTGCTTTCCCTTTTTTATATGGTTATTGACTGTGTTACTTAATTTGATCATGAAAAGAGGTGGTATTCTGTAAGAGCAGTTTAATAGTTTATACCATTTTATTAGCTTTTAAGATTCATAATACTTCATTTATTTCTAACACCTCTTAAAATGATGCTGGGAAGAAAACCTTAGTTTATTGATATTTATACGTGCACTTATCTTTGCACAATAAACATTTATCTGAAAAGCTATAAATTGACTTTATTAATATAATAATATTTTAAATATACTTGGGACCTTAAGAAGTGAGACTGCTGGGCAGCTCTCCTGCCCACCTGTGACTAGCAGGTGCCTCTCTTTATTCCTTCATTTCTTCATAAACCTGTCCTTAAAAAAAAAAACAAGACAAAAAGGTACTGCAGTGAATAATATTTATATAGCAAGAATCTTGATCATCTAGATAGTAATCTCTACCCTTTGAGAGGTGATTGATCTAGATTTTCATATATTGAGTTTTTTAAAAAGACTGTTCTAGAATTGTTCAACATATAGCTGTAGGGTGCCATTTGAACCATAGGATAGCTGAAAGGATAGAAACTTAAAGAGGTAGATATTTCTAATAGTGAAGAAAGTGAGTAATTGCATAAAGACCTTGTCCATTTTCCTGGTTCAAAATGTGCCATATGATGTGCTTACTGCTGTTCCTCATGCACATGATTTTTATCAGTTATAGATAAAAAAAGAATATTCTGGTAACTCTCCTCCTAGGCTACATCGTCACGGTTGGGTTCGTGAGCTTTGCGGTCTGTTACAAGTACGGGCCCTTGCAGAATGAACGGACCATCAACCTGCTGACATGGACCTTGCAGCTGCTGGGCCTGTGTTTCATGTATGCCGGGATCCAGATCCCACACGTTGCCCTTGCCGTTATCGCCATAGCCTTGTGCACTAAGAACCTGGAGTACCCCCTGCACTGGCTGTACATCACCTACAGGTGACTGGAAGGCAAAGTAACTGGATTGAAATGTACGCTGTGGTATGCATTCGCAGCCAAAGGAGATAGAGGCGTTGGCTTAGGAGCCCTTTTGTTAGTGAAAATTTATTGTATTATGCTTCTGCTTTTGTTCCTTACCAAGTCTTTGTTTTAGACTCTTTGTAGGCATTTTTATAACTAATTCTATGGATTTTCTGTAAAAGGACTAGTAAGGTGTTATGTGTTCCTGTTACCACTAGGTGGGGCAGAGTATCTCACTGGCACCATAGCCCTCCTGTCTGGGGGGTTCAGATTATTTAACATCGTTCTTAGAGTGCCCTGGGGGTCCTATTTTTATTTTAAGATGTAATTCATAGCATGTTCTCACTTTGCACAGTGAATCTAGGATGGTCATAGGTTCTTGAAGTTATCAATGTTTGTTCTATTGTAGTTAAGATGATGCCTTCAGTTTGGGGAGCCAAGTGAATGGACCATCAATCTTACACTATCATTTTCTTGTCCTTTTTCCATTTATTGGAAAGAAAATATTTTGTCTATCACTTATAGAAAATAAGTGACTTTATTCATGCTGGTGGACAATATTGACTATTCTTGACATCGCAGTCATAGTCCGGGTGTCAACAACATACATTATGAATAAAAATGTGGACGAGAGGTGTGAGCAGTGACTCTAACGCTCAGGCTCTCTGCGAGGCTCGCCCGCTGAAGGCAGCTAGAGGTAAGACTGGGTATAGATTACTGATTAATGATTCATGATATTATTTTGGTGAGCACAGAAAGTTGTGTAAGGCAACAGAAAAGCCTGTCCCCCCTCGTCTCCTGACAGAAGAAGAGTATCGGATACAAGGAGAGAGAGAGACCCACAAGGCTTTAGAGGAGCTTCGAAAGTATTGTAACAGTCCAGATTGCTCTCCTTGGAGGACTATTTCTCGAATCCAATCTCCAAAGAGGTAAACTCTTGGCCAGATACGCCGAACATTTATCAGGGTGATTTTGACCTTTGAGTCTTAACAGAGGTCAGACTTCTTAGATAGTCATTTTGTACTTGTGGCTGTTTTCCTGTTCATTTAGAAGTAGTCAAGAAAAAGGTACTTACCACATATTAAGCAGGAGCTTGTTTTCTGGTTCCTCAAGAAACTATATCTACTGGGCCTCCCTGGTGGCACAAGAGATTAAGAGACACCTATGAAGCTGTCCGCAGCCTCTACAGCACGAGTTCGATCCCCGGCCGGGGAGAAACCCACATGGTGCAGCAGACCTCTCCTGACTCGCCCACCGCTCCCCTCAGCAGTGGATTTAAGTCAGTCTGCCTGTTCTGTTCCTCACTCTGTCTCTGGTGAATCCTCTCACCCCCCACATCTCTGGCCTATACCACAGTTCTTGTATGCATAAATAAATAAATCTTTAAAAAAAAAAAAAGAAAATATATCTACTTCAGCTTTGATTGTAGATGAGGATGGGGAGACCCCAGGGCCATATTAAGTTCCCCTTTTATAGCTTTGCATTGTTCTCTGAGGTTTTGTTTGTTTTTCTGTGGGGAGGAGTGTTTGTTTCCTTTTTATTTGGGAGCAGTTTATACCAACGAGTATGTGAAACATCAATTTGGAATCCTGGTGGCATAAAATTTATAGGCCTGTGTAATGTGTGATATCTGCCCCTTAATCTTCTCTTATCAGGATTATGGATGATCAAAGGAACCCTGGCTCTTCCATAATAAAATAGATAGACCCAGTGCTTATTAAGCAAGTTGGGCTTCTTGCAGGGGACGTTGGCCTATGATACTAGGCTGACTTCCTTTACCTTTATTGTTTTTTTTTTTTAAAGATTTATGTATCTATGCCTACAAGAACTGTGGTACAGGCCAGAGGTGTGGCAAGACAGGACAGGTCTGCTGTGCCATGTGGGTAGCTCCCTGGCGAGCTGGGGAGCGAACTCATGCTGCAGAGGCTGTGGCTAGCTTCACAGTGCTGTACTTAACCCCTTGCGCCACCAGGGAGGCCCTACCATTATTTCTTGCTCTAGTCTACTTTTTTGCCCAGGTAAGAACAGGGATGTTGACTAGATTCAGTGTTACTTGAATTATGATAATATCAAGGATTTCAGTTTGTTCTAATTTTGAAAGACAACCAGAAAGGACAGAGGTAGGTTCCTAATGAGCATTATCTTCTCTTTTCCAGATTTGCTGACTTTGTGGAAGGCTCCTCCCACCTCACACCGAAAGAGGTTTCCATTTATGAGCAAGAATATGGATTAGGGAGCATTATTGCCCAAGATGAATTCTATGAAGAAACATCCTCTGAGGAGGAGAACTCAGATTTCCAGTTCCCCACTATCACACAGAACCACTTCCTGACCTAGGTGGTGCTCAGTTTTTTTTATGTGGACTCATTTGCTACTGGAATGGTCCGTGCCGCCCGTATTGTGCAGGTGTTTCTCGACGATTTGAAACAGGGTGAGATAGTGCTGAAGTTAGAGACCCGAGTATGCCTGTCTCTGGGAATGTGGGATCCCTGGGGAAAATGAAGGGGAAAGTAGTGAACACTGTGTCTGCACCTTTATGTTCCCAGAGAAACTGACGGCCACAGAGAGCACAGCGTTCTAGGCCCTCCGGGGTAGTCATGGCGTTTCTGCCCCGGTGGCGGGTGCCCAGGGTGGAGAACTGTGGCGTGTGCAGTAAAGCTCCCAGACTGCAGGCTGTCTTCCAAAAGGAAATCTACAAATCTGAACCTCCTCATTTTCTGCTTTTATTTGGGTAATTTTTAACTGTCACAAGAGGAAAATAGATCTTCATCTGTCCCATTTTTAAAATGGATGTATTTTGAAAAACATAACAAACTCGTGTTCCAGAGCCATCGAGTGCTCTAGAGTGACAGGCCTCATAGGCCCCCTTCGTGTTTATTGATATGGATTATGCCGGAGGCCCCAGGAGCTGTTGTATCCAGCTCACAGGTTTGGCTGTCACGTGTGGTGGTCTGAGTCTTGCTTGCTTGTGGGAACACTCCTGGAGGCTTCCGCGGGGGAGGCCTGATGTTCAGCTTTTAATTTTATCTTAAAATGTCCGCGCCCTCCTCCCGTTCCTCCTGACCCTCTGCCCTTCGGGAGGGTTTTCTCACCTGTGAAGTATGTGTTTCATTTCTTAGATTCTCTTTTCCCCTCAGCTTATGGCATAATTCCTCCTAGTTCAGAGAAGTGATCTTGTTTAGAGAATGTAAATGCTTTTGAAGCTTCTCCATTTTTCCTCTCATGGGTCCTGTGTCTTTACGTTGCTGTGAAATCAAGAAACGACCACCTTTCCTTTTCCCTTCTTTTGTCTACCCCTCCTGCCTTCCCTCTTTGGTCTTTCTTTCCTCTCCACCTGTGCCCCTCCCCCCAAATCTGGCTAATTTGTACATCCTGAAGCGCTCTCTGGCATTTTTGATACAACATACAAGTTGTAGCAGGCACAGTCTGCCTTGCCACGAAATAGCCGCCGGGTAGTCTTCACACCTTTGGGTGCTCACTGAGCCATCGGGGCCAGGCGCTTTCCCATGCACTTATACTTACTCGTTGTTCCTTTTCTGGCCAGAAATTCTTGTCTTTTATTATATTGGCATTAGTTTCAGATTCCTTTGCCGTTGGTAAGTACTTTCATAAACCAGCAGTTTCATTTATGAGGGAGTGTATTCCAAAGTCTCTCTTATGCTTTGTTCCGTCTTTGTGATCTTCACCCTCATACCTTGGAAACAAATGCCATTCCTCTAGCCAGGAAGCCGGACACCGATGGCAGGAACACAGTGATAGACGTAACTGACTTGCCACAGTCATGGTGAAGGTGGATGATTTAAAAAAAAAAACTAATGACTTCTTGAAACCTGCTGTTTAGCAGAGACCCTTGAAGGGCCCTGGTGCCATCACTGACTTCCAGGGTGACCGAGACCCCTTCCATTCGACCAGTTGGTGGTGCCCACTGGTGTCTCCCACCGCTTTAAGTTTGTCCTAAAGTGACAACTACCTCAATTGGCAGCAAATAGACATAGCAAAAAGTGAAGTGAAAAATCTGCAGTGTTTGGGCGAATCGTGTGGGTTTAAGTTACAGAGTAAAAGGAGCTTTATATTGGGAAACCTGTATGCCTTTGGAAATGAGGCACCTGGTTAACTTTTATTCCTCTACAATGAACTGTTACAACTTCTGAAATATATTTTTGCCTCATTTATAGAAATTGAGATGTAGCATCTTTGAGCCTAAGTTGATTTGAAAATGTAATTCAGCTGTATAAGTGTTCTCAGGATTCCCTGGAGACTTTGGTGCCTTCCTTCCCCATATAGCTACTTAAAGAAGGTGGTAGCTTGCCTCAAATTTGACTTTACTTGAATCATGCCTTTACTGTAGTGAGAAAGCCTTGTGCAATAAGGAAAGGTTCTTTTTCTGTTTCCTAAACTGGTTTCCATCTCCAGACCAGCTTTTTCATTGTATTTGAGTTTGGGATAAGTAAAATCAAACTCAGTTTATTACTCCATGTCTGGGGTTAAAGAGCTGAGCCGTGGGCACTGGGGGTGACTGTGGGCCCTGTGGCGTGAGAGCTGCTCTCAGCAAGGGCCGGTGCCTGCAGTGTGCGTGTGCCCCTGCCCTGCCTGTGTGTGTGCCTGGAGCTTGCTTGACTCTTGTAAATAAACCTTTAGGAGTTGCTCTTGACTCCCGCTTGGCCACTTAGTCTGCTGGCTCAGTCATTACTTGAAGCCCCGTTTAATTTTCTCTGGTCGTTACGCTCTTGCAATTTCAGCATAGTCTCCTCTCAGACTGAGCTCATCAAGGATTGAAGGGGTGACTATGGAGTGAGCTGGACATTGGAGCCATGTCTATAGCCTCGTCAGCATCTTGCTTGGCAAATAAATATCAAACTATAAATTGGCCCTGGGACTCAGGGTCACCTCAGCATTGGAAATCTATGGCCTCTGATTGGTCTGACCAAGTTGTGTTGCGTGTGACTCCCACTAATGGGAATGCAAGAGGTAACTGGCCTAAAATATTTCCCCTTCACTTTCTCAATTAGATTGCTTTCCTGAGACCAATGGAACCAATGACCAAAAAAAGAAAATACAGCATCTTTGATATTTGTTCATCTCATCAAAATTAGGCTATTTTCCCTCCAAATTCACCATCTTTATGTCTGTTGCAAAGGGGACTTTGCTGATGATCATCTTTGGGTCCCGCTGTTATAGGTTGTGCTAATACATCCCATTCCAGGGCCAAGCCCTCTGGACGTCGTTGGCTGTGTTCCCTTCAACCCAAACCTACTTGGCGTATATGAGATTTCATTCATGAGAGGTGTCCGATAGGCCAGTGAGTCCCTCCAGGCCCTGATAGCCATGAAGCACTTGGGAATGGATTATGCAGTTGCCCTCCATCTGTTTGTTGCCCCAGAAGAAAAGCTGGACTCAGATGGATCCCTGCGTAAACATGGTTCCTAGTTTCTCTGAATCGAGTAGTGAAAACTGAAGTAGGACTCAGGCCTGACATACATATGAGATAATAGGCTATATTGAAATGCCAAGAATTTCATCTGAACCGGAGAGAGGGCAATTTGACAGAAACCAAGCAATACACTATAAAATAGACCTTGTACAAGTGAAATACCCCTAAAGCCTTCAGTTCTGCATTGATATAGCAGAAATGGATTTTTTCTGGGGAGGAGAGAGCCTATGCCGTTGTGAGCCAGTGGGGCCTGTTGGTAATTTGTGGGTTCAGCTGGAGTCCAGATGGTCACTACCTTGAAGTAAAGTGTCTGGTGCCTTATGAGATGGTAGCCAGAGCCTGCTGGGGATGAGCAAGCCAATCCACGCCAGCATCAGCTCACAGCATTCGCAGGGGTGGGGGCGGCCATACAGTTTCACGAAAGGTGAGACTTGGGGTTCCTACAACTGCCCCTGCCCATGTGTGTCATTTTCCACTCTTGACAATCACTCGAAAATGGTGACAGCACCTTCTCTAAACTTTCCCACAACACAGACCGCGTTCTATGTGAGCGTGACCGCTGGCTTACACAGCGAGCGTCAGAGCTGTTAGAGCCAGCAGTTGCCGCAGTTTCCTACGTTTTCATGATGCTGAATAGCAGAGGAGAGGAATTGTGGCCTAAATTTTAGACTGTGGGTACTGCCTTAGTGATGTTTTAAAAAGATTCGTCATTTATATTTAAACCATGTTCATGAATGTTTGCAAGGGATGAAATGATCAGGGATGACTCTGCCATGGGTCTTTCTTTTCTGTAAGAAAAAGTAATGATGTCCTGTATTTTTTCATTTGTATTGTGTAAGTTTGTAAATCTAATTTTAATAAAGTTTTAAAGACTTGAGTGTTTTCTCTCTGTTTTAAGGATTTGTTTATTTATGCATACAAGAGCTGGGGTGTAGGCCAGAGGTGCAGGGGGGTGGGGGAGAGGATTCACCAAAGACAGAGTGGGGAGAACAGTGGACTGACTGAAACCCACTGCTGAGGGGAGCAGCGGGGAGACCCGAGAGGTCTGCTGCACCATGTCGGTCAGTTCTGTGGCTGGGGATTGAACTCATGTTGCAGAGGCTGCGGATAGCTTTAAAGCGCCGAGACTTAACCCCTTGCGCCACCAGGGAGGACCCCCTCGAGTGGTTTCTCTTAATGAACGTGTGCTTTCTTGTTCGGATCTCTTATTTTCAGGAAATCAGCAGTTAGCTCCTTGGTTTCATCTTTCTAGTGATGGGGTTTCACACTCCATTTAGTTCACTTTTCCCCTAACCACTGCTTCCCATCCTGAGTCTGTGTGGTCTGCGTCCATCCTGGGATTGGCTCTTTCCAGGAGGCCAACCTCGAAGAGATGTCCTTGCAAGGATAGCAGGTGGCACCACTTGGCTCCTCCAGAGAAACAACCTACAGCTACCCTGCCCCAGGGAGTGGCTGGCCTTGTGCATTAGCTCTTTAATGGCATAAGCCATCGCTTTTGTTTCTCCAGCCAGGGTGAGAGGAGGACCTGTGCATCAACCACTGAGATGTCTGCCCAGGGCTTTGGGGGGGGGGGGGGGAGGAAGTGGGGCTGTAGAGGGCATTAGTAGCCAAGGAATAAAACCTTCAGTCATGGGCCTCCCTGGTGACCTAGGGGTTAAGTCTCAGCCCTGTCACCACTACAGCATGGGCCTGAGTTCAATGCCCATCCAGGGAGCTCACCCACATATGGCCCAGCAGACCTCTCCTGCCTGTTCTGCTCCCCACTCTGTCTCTGGTGAATCCTCTCCCCTCCTCAACCCCTTCACTTCTGGCCTACACCCCATTCCTATGCAAAAAAAAAAAATAAAACACTTAAGTTATGTCTAGGTCCAGCTTCACGGTAGGAGTCTGGTACCTTCCGTCTTTTATGCCTGGGCTATTTTCTTTACTTGGGGAATTACTAGCACATTTGCATTAATTCTGTACCTGTCTCCTCTTTCAGTTATTTGGTCTACGTGGAAATCCATTGTCCATTTTTCAAAGACAGTGAGCTAGGAAGAAACAGGATGTGGCCACATAAATTCATGTAGATTAATGCATGCTAATGACATCTTTTGTCTTCCCCCTAAAAAATAATAGGTAAATAAAGAACATAGGTGATCACTAGTGGCTGAGTCATTAAACATTTAAAACAATTGCTTAGGTGTGCTAGATCAGGGGGTTAACATGCATAGGAATCATGCATAGGAGCTTGTTAAAATGCAGACTTCTGATTCTTAAGTGGGTGGGGGCCCAAGATTCTGCATTTCTAATAAGTTCAGGTAATTCAGATGCTGCTAGTTCATGGACCTTGCTTTGAATAGCAAGACTGAAAAGCAGTGAGCTCGTTGCATGATACATACTAAGTACTTGATTTGTATTGTTACCAATTGACACCACATAATCTGTGAAAGTCAAGAAGACCCTCTACCACCAAATACCTTCCCACCAGACCTGAGAAGTTAGGTTTTTATTGTGTAACATCTTTTTAAAAGTACATGTATCTGGAAGGATTAATGAGTGTGAATTGGTTTAATCAGATTGCTGCCCTCCTGACTGTCAGAAATCACTAAAGGATTTAGAATTATTTCTTCTCTTTGCCAGCATCATTGAAGTTTAATTTATATACTATAAAATTCACCAGTTTTAAATTTTGCTAAATTTTGACAAATGCAGATGGTTGTGTCACCACCACCTCCACAATCATTTTTTAGAGCATTTCCATCAACCTCCAAAAACTTCCTTATGCCCTTTACGTGGACTAGAAATTTTAATGGGGGGAAAGAGGGAGGAGATTCAGAGTTCAAGTGGGGAAAACCCATAAGCTCCACCTGCCTCATTTTTGCCTCGGAAGCAGATCACAGATCTGCACCCTCTATGCCCCCAGCTAAGGAGTGCTTTGACAGGTCTTAAAATCCCCGCTGACTTTGATGGGTATCGATTAATACCTTATTCCTTTAGGGTGACCCACTCACCCCAGTTTGCTCAGAACTTTTCTGGTTTTGGCACTCAAATTCCCATGACCAGAGAAATCACCTCAGGCCCCAGCAAACTAGAGCAGTTGTTTGCCCTCGCTATGATGTTCATGCCATTGTTTCTAAACCTGCGGTAGCTATTTCATTTTAGAGTCACTTCTCTCAAATGAGCACATAGTAGGCACTCAATAAGCGAGGGACTGGGTAGACAGGCAGATACACTCCATGTGGAAGGCATTGCAGATTCTTGGCTTGGAGAACAGGAACCCTGAGTTCTGAGGTCAGCTCTGCCAGGTTTGCAGCAGAGAGATCCTGGGAAAGCGGTTTCTCGAAGTCTTGTTTCCTTCGCTGTAAATAGGGATCTGTAGTCGTTTCTGCCTCTGGCTCTGAGACGCTGTCCACTTACACAGGATGACGAATGTCACTTCCACTCAACTTTCGCTTTCCTTGCCTCCTCTACTCCCTTCGAGTATATATAGAGAGTAGATCAATAAATTATGTACGGTTGATACTGGGACTGCCTGCTGATGGGCTAGGCTCATGCACAGGGCTTCTCCAAGAGCGATGGTTTGGACCTTGAACCCAACAGCTGTGAATGGACATAGGAGAATCAAATCTCTGTTCAGCTGAGTGTCTGTAATTACTTAATTTGCTCTTTGCGCGTGGAGGATAGTGTGCAGAGGGAGTCTGCTGTTCAGGAATTCTCCTAAGTGGATGAAGGGGTGCCCTGCGAAAGAAGGTTTTATTTTATAAGCTTCTTATGTCCCAGAGGCAGCTATGTCCAGCTGGGCTGGGGTCCAGGAAACAGCATGTCAGGGTCCGACTCAGCATCCTCACACTGAAGGACTGGGCTGGGGAAGCCGACCGGGGTCAGGGAGCTGCTCCTGCTCCTGCTGGCCTCGTGCTGTCTGCTCGACTGTGGCCTCTTCGCCTAACTTCTCTGAGCATCAGGGCTCGCCTCCGATTTTCATTTTTCATGGTGTATGGGCATTGCCTCCCTCCCAGGGTGATGTGGCCCAGTGAAAGGGTACAGGCGGGAGGTCGAGGGAATCATGACGTCTACACAAATGCCCGGTGTTATTGCCAACTTAGTCTCTGGGGCAGTGTATTGGGGTCTGACTCACGGGGGAGGCAAGTGGGGAGGAATTTGGGGACTTTGTTTGCTCAGTTGTGCATGTGATGTCATTAATACCCCAAACTCCCAATAAGAAAGGGAGGCTTGAGGGAGGTTCTGTCTCTGTGCTTAGGACGACACCTAAAAATGTGAAACAATTGCTTGGGTGTGCTAGATCAGGGGGTCAACATGCAGAGGAATCATGCATAGGAGCTTGTTAAAATGCAGACTTCGGATTCTTAAGTGGGTGGGGGCCCATGATTCTGCATTTCTAATAATTTCAGGTAAGGAAGACAGGCTAATCTCCTTTTTGACAAAATGCCCGAATTTTTGGGAGAGCTTCTCCTTGGCTGTACCTTCCACTACTTCTGCTCTCATCTCCAGATTTAGGGGGCAACGGAGTAAGAACTCTCCTTGAGCACCTCAGCTCAGGCCAGCCAGGCTTTCCGAAGTGACTAGCATCTCCTCTGGGGTTCAGGCATGTGAGGGGTTAACCAGCCACACCCTCAGCAGTAATAGCCTCGGACTTTGTGCTGAGCAGCTGTCTCTGGCCTCTCTGGCACAGGGATCCTGACTGGAAGAGGCAGCTCAGAACGGTCAGAAGAGGAGGGTGGCCTCTTTCCCGGCTCCCCAACACCATGGACAGTTCCCGATAACCAGGGCACCTCTTCTTCACCCTTGGGGCCTGGGCGTCCTATGCTCCCTTTCCGGCAAACTGGGATTTCATCTACCACTCTCCAAGCCATAGTGACGTGCCCCCCACTTCCGGTGTTGGGTGAGTCCTGCCTTGACCTATTGCTGCCCCTCTTTTCCCATCTTCCGGGTGTCCTACTTGCGGGCTGCCTCCTCCCCCTGCGCCCCTCCAATCAGCCCCATCCCCATGCGAACCCAAATCCAAAGACAACGCCTCCTCCCGGCCCCACTCCAGCTCCTCACCCTCCCCGGCCGAATTCCTTGAGAACAACTTCCTTTTCGTTACTCCTGGGAAGCGTGGGTACTGCTAGTGGGTACTGCTACTTCTTGGGGGTGTTGTCAGGATCAAACGAATTAGGGTGTATAACGCAGCTAGAGCCCTGCCTGGCCTGTGGTAACAACACAAGCTGGCTGGAGGCTGCTCTCGCCTGCAGCCTTGCTGCTTTCCTGTGGTGTCCCCTGGAAGCGGCAAGTGCTTTCCTCTCCCGGAGCCTGCGGAAGCAGAGGGAGGGAGAAGCCTCCCCCAAGCCCTCTGCAGTCCCCTGGCCCCCAGCCTGCAGCCCTGGCATGGCCTGCTGCCTTCCCTTCCCTTCCCCCCCACCCCCCAGGCGCAGTGATTCAGGACAGGAGGAGGATGTGGGGCTTCGTTCTGAGAGGGAGTGGCAGTGACCATTGTACTACTGCTGCCCTGCACCACCGCCCCACCCTCTCACCCCGCAGGAGACTCCAGAGGGCCGGGCCTCCTCGGGTCCCACTGCCATGAGCCTGCGGCGTGGGGGCCAAGGCCACAGGCTCCCTGTCCCTTCAGCACTCGCCCTCCCGCCCTTTCTCACTGGTTACTAAAGAGCTGGGTGTGTCCCTCTGGGGTCAAATCAGGCAGGAGCTTATAGGAACGGGTGCAAACTGGACAGAGAAAAATGGGGACAAGTGTATAGACACACCCAGAAACCTGGCAGCCACCTGATTGCTTGGAAAACAACTTTCACTTTGATTTCCTAAGGCACAGTCCAAATTTTTATGGAGGAACAGTCCTGCTTCTGTTCTGTAACTCATCACTCCTCTTGTCCCATTTAAAACACGAATCTCGCCGGAGCAGCGAGAGGGGAGGAGAGACCCTTAGAAGAAGCCTTGGTGGGTCAGGTGCCTGGAACTGTGGCCGTAGGAGGCAGGAGCTGGCAAGGAGACGGGGGCAAACATGGTATCTGGCCCCTGGCCAGGAGCTCGGTGCAGGAAGGAGAGAGCTTCTATGCTGGCGGTGGCACCAAGTTTTGCTGACCTTCTTTTCTCCAGTCTCCCTCCTGCACGCCCAACCGTGCCCCCCAGGTGCCTCCTCCTGGGTGCCTGCCTTCCCGCTGGTCAGAGGAAGGTGGCTCTGTCTACCCGTGCCCCGCCCCCACCAACCCTAACCCCAGGATGGGGGTTCCCCACCTCCTGCTGAGAGTTTCCACAGCTCCCCCACAGTTCGCTTGACCCAGTCCAGAACCTTCGGTAGACGGGGTGGGGTGGGGGGGTCTCCCTAGAGCCAGGACTGTGGTAGGGAAGAGAAAGGTTCTCCTAGGACCTTCTGCTCCTCCCCTCAGTTACCAAGCCCTACGCTGGAGCAGACATCAGCCAAGTTTCCTCCTTCCTCCCAGGATCAAGGACCCTTTTGGATATGGCTCTTCTGGAACGTTCCATAGGGGTGGAGGACCTCATCCTCCTGGAGCCCCTGGCTCAGGAGTCTCTGCTAAACAACCTCCAGTTGCGCTATGAAAACAAGGAGATCTACGTGAGTGGTGGGGGGGGGGGGGGGGCACCCCTGCCCCGGGGTGTGGTCAGAGGTCACTGGCTTCCACGCCCCCAGGCCCCCTGCTCACTTCCTCCATCTTTTCCCTGGCTTCAGACCTACATCGGGAACGTGTTGATCTCAGTGAACCCCTACCAAGATCTGCCCATCTACGGTCCAGAGTTCATTGCAAAATACCGGGACTGCACCTTCTACGAGGAGAAGCCACACATGTGAGCAGGGGGACCGAGGGAGGGCTCGGGGGCCCAGCTTCTCAGTGATGAAATATCCTAACTTCCTCTATGCTTTCCCCTGAGGGGGGGTCTCCACGGGCCTCTGGGGGCCTCCTCCTAGGCTGTCGCTGCCTTGGTCTGGCCCCCGGGGGGAGGCGAGACGAATGTAGGGTCTGGAAATGGAGTCAAAAGGTATCTGGGACCGGCCTCACGTTCGTCGTCACCCACTTGCTCCCCCAAGCTATGCACTGGCGAACATGGCGTATGAGTCACTGAGGGACCAGGGCCGAGACCAGTGTATCCTCATCACAGGCGAGAGCGGAGCCGGGAAGACGGGTGAGGCAGCTGCGGGGAAGCCACAGGATCTCCCCAAGCCAGGCCTCGTCCTTACCCCCTCCCCGGAGACAGATTTCTTCCTGGTTCCTTGGGCTCCGGCCGAGGGCTGGGAGGGCCTACGGAGGTGAAGGTGGTGGGGCCGCACGCAAGTTTCTCTTGCACAGAGGCCAGCAAGCTGGTGATGTCCTACGTGGCGGCCGTCTGCGAGGAAGGCGAGCAGGTGAACTCCGTGAAGGAGCAGCTGCTTCAGTCCAACCCGGTGCTGGAGGGTGAGGACTGGAGTCTCGTCCCCAGCCCAGCCCAGGCCCCCAGAGCCTCAGCCCTGCTTTTGCTCAGTGCTCCCCGAACACTGTCCTCCTTCAGCTGAGCTGCCGAGGGGGCAGGAGGCGGGAAGGTGCTCCCCTCCCTGCTGGGGGGTCCCCTCTCCCCTCAGCCCCTCGCGCCCTCTGCTCCTCTCTGCAGCTTTTGGCAACGCCAAGACCATTCGCAACAACAATTCCTCTCGATTTGTGAGTGCGCATCTCCCAGCCCGGGCGGACAGGATGTGGGGGCGCGGGGGCGCGTGGCACAGACCCCTCGGGGCAGGATGCTGAGAAGGGGTGTCTCTCTCTGGCCTCTGAAGGGAAAGTACATGGATGTTGAGTTTGACTTCAAGGGATCCCCGCTCGGTGGAGTCATCACAAACTGTGCGTGTGTCCCAGGCGCTGAGGCCTCCTCCCCTTCCACCTGCTCCGCTGGGTGCCCCCCGGGGGCGTGGGGAGGAGGGAGGGAGGACGGGGAGGGAGGACGAGGAGGGAGGACGGCCAGCAGACCTCCCAGCCGCGGGCAGAGCCAGCCATGAGAGCCGAATTCCAGGGAAGCCTCTGGCGCCTCCTAGGCCCTCAGGACCTTGTCTTCTCCTTCTCTGTCAGATCTGCTTGAGAAATCCCGCGTGGTGAGGCAGCTGGAAGGAGAAAGGAACTTCCACATCTTCTATCAGCTGCTGGCCGGGGCAGACGCCGAGCTGCTGAGTACGCGCCCGGCCACGCGGGGCCTCCCCAGCCTCCGTTCGACCCCCAGAACCTCTGGCCCCCGCTGGGCCCCCACAGCCCCTTACATGAAACCCCGCAGGCGTCTCCTGCCTCCCCCCACCAACTCTCATCCGCCCGTTGCTGGGAACAGACCCCCCGACTTTTGCGTCCTCTTCCTTCCTCGCGAGGAATGAGCTCGCCCTGGCGCTGCCATTTCCCTGTCCTGCCGGGTTGCTCTTTCCCCAGCTGGCTGACAAGGGGGACCCTCCTCCCATCTGCCGCCCTGTGTCCTTCCAGAGCCACTGAACCCCAAGCAGGCGGAGTGTTCACTTGTTTGTTTTTAGTGTTTAAAACCCTAAGGACGGGGAGCTGGAGGGGGGAGTAAAACGAGGATTTTCTTTCAGAAAGTTGGGAAAAATAAAACCAATAATTACGAGCCCGCAAACCCTAAGCACTGCTTAATAATTGAGTCTATCATCACAGGAATTAAGGGTCCCCCCAAAAAAAAGGAGGCAAGGGAAGAATCTAAAAAAAACCAAAAAGACTGCAAATAAATGAAACAACCAGGCTGGGGTAGGGGCTGTGAGGGGCCCCAGAGAGCTTGCGTGCCAACCGCTTCCTCTCCCCCCGGACCCCCAGAGGCCTTGAAGCTCGACCCGGACACCAGCGCCCACGCCTATCTGAACCGGGAGGCGGCCAGAGTGCACGGCATAGACGACGGCAGAAACTTCACGACTGTCAAGGTGGGTCCACCAGGCATGGGCTTGGCCCTTAGCCCCCGCCCTGAGCCGCACTCTGGCTTGGAGAAGAGGAATCGGCCTGGCATCAGCGCTCAGGCTCTGGTCTCTGCTTTCTCTCACAGAAGGCCATGGGCGTGATCGGGTTCTCAGAGGCCGAGGTCAGGCAGGTGCTGGAGGTGACGGCCCTGGTGCTGAAGCTCGGCAATGTGGAGCTGGTGGACGAGTTCCAGTCCAACGGGCTCTCAGCAAGTGGCATCCGCGATGGGAAAGGTCTGCACCCCCGTGCTGGACCCCAGCCAGCACCCTGAATCTCCTGCACTTTCTGTTCTGCTGCCTCCTCTGGGGGAAGCTGACTTTACTCTGATTCACTCCTTCCTACTCAGCTTCTCCCTGAGCGCTTCCCCGACACACTCGTTGAGAACTCCCAATGAGCCACGTTGGCGCAAGATCTTAAGTATTGATGGACCAAGGTTTTGGACCTCTCTGAGGCTCAGGGGATTCTTTATAAGATGCTACAATTGGGACCCCTTGGTGGTGCAAGGGGTTAAGTCTCAGCACTATGAAGCCATCTGCAGCCACTGCAGCACCAGTTCGATTCCCGGCCAGGGAGCTACCCACATGGCGCAGCAGACCTCTCCTGTCTCCCCGCGGCTCCCCTCAGCAGTGTATTTCGGTAGATCCGCCCATTCTGCTCCCCACTCTGTCTCTGGTGAATCCTCTCACGCCCCCGTCCCACCACTGGCCTGCACCCCAACTCTTCTATGCATAAATAAATAATTTTTTTTTAAAAGAGATGCTACAATTACACCTGCTTGGGGAGATCATACAATGCAGGCACAAGTTCCCAAACCTCCCTTCTCTCTCCCACCTGCCCAGAGCTTCCCCTAGCGCCATATTCTGGATGGGCCACAAGGGCTTCCCCACCAAGGCCCAGGGAAACCTGCTCCATTTCACTTACCAGCCCTCCCTGCCCCACCCTGGGAAGAACCCTCAGGCCGCATTGTATTTCCTCATCGCTCCAGGCATCCGGGAGATCGGGGATCTGGTGGGTCTGAATTCAGTGGAACTGGAGCGAGCTTTGTGCTCAAAGACCGTGAAAACTGGCAAAGAAAATGTGGTCACCACGCTGAGTGTCACCCAGGTATATGGGCTCTGTGGGAGGGGCTGACTTGGGTCTGTTCTGTGGCTGCCACACCAACCAACTCGGCCCGCCCTGCAGGCCCACTATGCCCGGGATGCTCTGGCTAAGAACATCTACAGCCGCCTGTTCAACTGGATCGTGAACCGAATCAACGAGAGCATCAAGGTGAGAGGCTGAAGGCGTGAACAACAAGTGGTGTTTACACGCCGCAGCACAATACACTGCACAATGAGCTGGTATTTGGCCATAAAAAGGTACCTAAAAAGACTGATACATATTCAACATGGACGAGCCTAGAAAATATATTGGGTGAAAGGCCAGACACAAAAGGCTACCTTTTCTGGGATTCCAGTTCCACGAAATGTCAACACGTTTCATTTGACATCCAGAGATGGGAAGCAGCTCGGTGTTACAGGGTGGCGGGGAGATGGGGCGGGAGAACTACTGAGGGTATGTGTGCAAGATTTCTTTTATGGATGATGAAAACGCTCAGGAAGTAGGTCGTGGTGGTGGTGGGACACCTGTTGAATAGACAAAAAAAGAACTGAACCCCTGTGAATGGTAAATTTTAGGGTTTGTGAGTTAGATCGAAATACAGCCATTATTTTATTTTATTTTATTTTATTTTATTTTATTTTATTTTATTTTATTTTATTTTATTTTTTATTTATTTATACAAGCACGGGGTATAGTCAGAAGCGCGGGAGGGTGAGAAAATTCACCAGAGCCAGAGCGGGGAGCAGAGCAGGCAGAAGGACCGAAGTACACTGCTGAGGGGAGCAGCGGGCGGCACGGGCGGCAGGAGAGGGCTGCGTGCCCAGCCATTATTTTTAAATGATGTGCATGCAAATGCCATCAGTTTCGAAGGCGTTCCTGGGAGGCACTCTGATAAAATGGGATTAGCCCTTTTCATATTTTCACTTTTCATCTGTAGAGAGGGAATAATCGGACTTCATGGGATTATATGGGGATCAATGAGATAAAAACATTTAAGATAAATTGCTCTATAAATATAAGGGATGTTTTCTTTTTCTCATGGGGGGGGGCACCACCCTGGAATCGTCCTTTTCCTCCTTCCCCTCTCGGCTCATCCCCAGCATAGAGAGGAGGAGGGAGAAGAAAATCATCATAATTCCTTCACACCTTGGTCAAATTCGTCCTAATTCTTTTTTTCCCCTTTTCCAACCACATCCACCCAGAAGGGCCTGGCCAGGTGTGCAGAGGCCTGTCCCCGCATTTCTCTGTTCTTCCTCTTCAGGTGGGCACTGGGGAGAAGAAGAAGGTAATGGGGGTTCTGGATATCTACGGCTTTGAAATATTAGAGGTGAGAGAGCTTCCCCAATCTCAGCGCCCCAGGGCCACGGGGAAAACAGCCTCAAGGTGGGGGGGGGGGGTCGGTGAGGGAGTGTGGGAGGGGAGGTAGGGGCTGAGAGGGAGGAAGGGCCTTGGGGTGAGCTGAGCTTCCTCCCTAACCGGTGTCCTTCCCCCAGGATAACAGCTTTGAGCAGTTTGTGATCAACTACTGCAACGAGAAGCTGCAGCAGGTCTTCATAGAGATGACGCTGAAAGAGGAGCAGGAGGAATACAAGAGAGAGGTAAACGCGGCCTTCTCGCGCTCGCAAATGACTTCCAGGCCTATGCCAGATCTTTCTTCCTCCTTGGTCACGATTTGTCCCCAGATGGGAACACAGAGGACAAAAAGGTCCCTGGTGCCGCTGACCATTCCAGCACTACCAAGAAGCCCTAATTTTCTGCTCTTCATCCCCCACTTTCCCACCCCGCCACTCCAGGCCAGGCCAAGAAGGGGGCAGACTTGATGACCGGGTGCGAGTGGGGCAGAGTCCTGACAAGAAGGAAGTGACAGCTGGGTCTGGCCTGCAGCAGGCTCTGCGCCAGTTTTTGAAGGGACAGCCCTCCCGGGCTTGGCACCTCCCCTCTTGGGATCTTTCTTCTCCGCTGGGCCTAGCTGATGTCACCGCCCCCTCTTGCGCCACCCAGACCTCCTCACCAAAGTGCCCCGTGGCTCAAAATTTCCACACTGCTTCCCTTATTCAGTGAAAACTCCTGCTCGCCATGGCTGGAAGCTAGAAAGCTCCCTAACTGGGCTAACCCACCTCACAGCGTGAATGTTGGTCTAGCCCGTCATGCTCTCCCCAGAGCCCCAGGAGCGCTGAGGGATGTGTTGTGGCAGGTTTCAAGCTCTGTGGTCACAACATCTGGCAAAGTTTTTTTTTTTAGTATTTTTACATGTTTTTATTTAAAATTTTGTAATTATCAAGTAGCTAACACATTCTCAAAGCTTCAAAAACCTTAGAAAGAGGGCCTCCCTGGTGGCGCAGGCGGTTGAGCGCTGCTCTGTAAAGCTGTCCGTAGCCTCTGCAGCGCCAGTTCGATCCCAGCCGGCTGGTGAGAATCCCGCATGGCAAGCAGACCTCTCCTGTCACACCTGCTGCTCCCCTCAGCAGTGTATTTCAGTCAGTCTGCCTGTTCTGTTCCCCACTCTGTCTCTGGTGAATCCTCTCACCCCCCCACACATCTGGCCTGTACCCCAATTCTTATGTAAATAAATAAATCTTTAAAAACAGCTTAGAAATATGTATAAAAAAGGTCTCCCTCCAGCCCAGTCCCCAGCCACCCAGTCTCCCCATCCAGAGGTGACGAAGTGGGCCTCTTCCAGAGGTTACACATGAACATGTGTAACCAAGCAAAGCTGTAACATATTTTTCTACAAAAATGTATTCAAGTGGCAGTGAATATACTCAGTTCTATAGCTTGCTTTCACCAGTTTATGAGAGATCTTTCGGCATCAGTATATAACGTCACCTTGTTACGGCTACATAGGACTATATGGATATCACTTACTTAACCAGTTGGGGAGGGTATTTTGGGGGTGAAGTGACACAGCAACTTTACTTACTTCCACTCTGTGTTCCCTGGAGACATGAGGGAGGAGGGAAAGAAAGACTTCAGTTCTTCAGTCACATCTGGGAATGGCCTGAGCCTGGGAGGCATGGCCCTTGGGTGGAATCTGGAATAATCTTCCCTGCAGGCCCGATACCCAGCAAGTTCTTAATGTACCATTCTTGCTTTAAAAAAAACAAAGGAGGGCCTCCCTGGTGGCACAAGGGGTTAAGTCTCAGCACTATGGAGGTATCCACAACCACTGCCACATGAGTTCAATCCCCAGCCAGGGAGCTACCCACATGGCGCAGCAGACCTCTCCTGTCTCCCCGCTTCTCCCCTCAGCAGTGGATTTCAGTAGAGCTGCCTGTTCTGCTCCCCGCTCCGTCTCTGGTGAATCCTCTCACCTTCCCCCTGCACCTCTGGCCTGTATCCCAGCTCTTATATGCATAAATAAATAAATCCTTAAAAAAATAAAAAACCAAACAGAAGTAAGACAGTCCCAAAGCGTTGTATAGATCAGTGGTTTTTAGAGTAAGATCCTGGCAGAGCGGGAACACCTTCCCACGCTGGGAAGGTGTTAGTGCCAGGAATGCCTGACTCCGTGTCAGATCTGCAGAATCAGAGACCCTAGGGGTGGGGCACGACGGTCTGTGGCTTAATGAATCCTTTAGGGGATTGTGACACACATGCAAATCTGAGAGTCGCTGAGGGAGCTCCTGGAAGGGGGACCAGCTTGGCCCTGTTGTCTGATGATAAGCCCATGCGTGCTGGTGCTGCAGTGCGTGGCCACAGCGGTGCTGCGTCTGCCCTTCCACACACTCGAGGACCTTTCCCCACACCTGCCGTGGGGCGACCCAACCCAACAGTCACCCAGCACGTTGCACCTCCCCCTCCACCCACAGCACCGGGGGTCTCTGCACCATCCCCTGGCACAGCCGCTGTAGGCTCCCTGTCTCATTTCCTTACCCCACAAATTCTTCGAAACCTTGGAGGGTGCAGACATAAACAGAAACCACACCAAGGCCCCCTCTGAACTACGGGGTTTTCCAGTGGCTCCTTGTGGGGTGGGGGCAGGGGGCTGGGTCGGGTGAGCTCCTGTGACTTGTCCATGTCCCCGGCCAGGGCATACAGTGGACCAAGGTGGACTACTTTGACAACAACATCATCTGCAACCTCATCGAGCATGTGAGTGCGCTGTCTCTTTCTCTGGAACCTCCCTTTCCTGCTGACCCGAATATCTTTCCCTCATCTGTCTCTTCCCCAGCCCCTGCCCCATTTTGTCAGGAGGCTAAGGAGGATGCCGGGGGGAGGCAGCCTGGGTGCACATCCTGGGGGTGGGGGGCGCATCTAGGTCGTGCAATCTTATTCCTTGCCCAGAATCAGAAGGGCATCCTGGCCATGCTGGATGAAGAGTGCCTGCGGCCTGGACAGGTCAGCGATGCCACCTTCTTGGCAAAGCTGAACCAGCTCTTCTCCAAGCACGGTCACTACGAGAGCAAGGTCACCCAGAACGCTGAGCGCCACTACGACCACACCATGGGCCTCGGCTGCTTCCGCATCCGCCACTATGCGGGCAAGGTGATACGGCAGGGCCAGCGGGAGGGGAGAGGAGGACCTGGGCAGGCTGGAGGCGGTGGGGGTGGGGGCTGGGGTTGGGAGGTGGAAGCTGGGAATCCTTTCAATGAGCAGGGGGCAGCGTCTGGGCTCTCCAAAACAATAGCTGCCCCTCCCCAGGTGACATACAATGTGACCAGCTTCATTGACAAGAACAACGACCTTCTCTTCCGGGACTTGTCCCAGGCCATGTGGAAGGCCCGGCATCCCCTCCTGAAGTCCTTATTCCCCGAAGGCGATCCTAATAACACCTCCCTCAAGCGCCCCCCAACAGCAGGGGCCCAGTTCAAGAGCTCTGTGGCCATACTCATGAAGAACTTGTATTCCAAGAACCCCAACTACATCAGGTGATATGCTGGAGGCAGAGGAATATGCTACCTGCTTGATGGCCTAGGTGGTTTCTGTGCACTGCAGAATGTGTCCATGGGGGGGACATCTCTGGAATAAGGGTATGGAGGCCTTTTCCTCATTGAAAACAGCCAGATGGGGCGGGGAGAGCACCCGACTTTAGTGAGGATCCACGCTGCAGTGAGTGGAACTGGAAGTCAGTGTGTCCATTTCTGAAATGTGGCAAGTGAGGGAATGTGGGCAGCGCAGGGGCGTACAGAGCCAGCTGGCAGAGGCGATGCCCCTGATGCCTGGGCCCTGCCCCCTGCCCCCCAGGTGCCTAAAGCCCAACGAGCACCAGCAGCACCGTCAGTTCTCCGCAGAGCTGGTGGCCACCCAGGTGCGCTACCTGGGGCTGCTGGAGAACATACGGGTGCGCCGGGCGGGCTACGCCTACCGCCAGGTGTACCCGTCCTTCCTGGAGAGGTACCGGCTGCTGAGCAGGAGCACTTGGCCTCACTGGAATGGGGGAGACCGGTAAGACTCAGCGGGGTAAGCGGGGAGCAGTGCAGGAGCCCTCTGTTGGGGAGGGGAGCAGAGGCGGCTGCCGTCGGCCGGCTGAAGCTCAGGGGGGACAGTGGGAACATGGGCTGAACAGCCGGCGTCTTTCAGAGGCTCCTGGCCTGTTGGAGCCCTGGAGCTTTCTCTCTCCTGCCCCCCCCCCCCCAGTGTGAAACAGATTAGGGGAAACGCAGGGAAGGGCCCTCCCCTGGGTGCCCCTGGCCATTTACTCCTTCTTCTTCTGTAGGGAGGGAGTGGAGAAGCTGTTGGGGGAGCTGACCATATCCACAGGGGAGCTGGCCTTCGGGAAGACAAAGATCTTCATTAAAAGCCCCAAGACGGTGAGCCTGTGTAGGGTGGGTAGAAGGTGGGAGAGCGGAGAGCTCACCCGAGGAGCGGCTAGAGGGTGGCTGAGGGAGTCTCCGCAGGGCTTGCCCCTGGGAATTCGTCCTCGGGCTCCAGCAGGGCTGGGAGAAGCCCTGGGGTTGGAGGCTGTTGGATGCCTGCTCTGCTGCCTCTGCCGACACCGACACCGGAGGCACTGCTCAGGATTAGGCGCTGTGGTCCCAAACCCTAGCGGTCTGCGGTCTGCCGAGAGTCAGTTCAGTCGATGCTTGTTAAATGAATGAACTAAGAAGCCAAAGGATCAAAGAAAACACTGGCCCGGAAGGTTCTAGTGCTGAGGGCACCCTGAGGAGACAGCTCCATCTCCCAGGCCGGCCCCTCCAGCCTCCTGCCCTCCACAGCTTTTCTTCCTGGAAGAGCAGCGGCGCCTGAGGCTGCACGAGCTGGCCATCCTCATCCAGAAGGCGTACCGAGGCTGGCGCTGCCGCACCCACTACCAGCAGATGCGCAAGAGTCAGATCCTCATTTCTGCCTGGTTTCGGGGCAACATGGTACCAGCCACCCCCCAAGTTCCACCCCCCTCACTCTGATAGCACACTGGGAAGTGGAAGCGGGGGTTCAGAAGTTGGGGTCTCACCCACAAACCCACTGTTTTCTACAGCAAAAGAAACACTACGGGAAGATGAAGGCGTCGGCAATCCTGATCCAGGCCTTTGTGAGAGGATGGAAGGTATGGGGCGAGGGTAGAGCCCCCGGGCGGCTCCTTACTCCAGGGGTCCTCCCTGGCTGGTGCCGGCTGCCAGAGGAGCAGCACAGAGCAAGTCCTGCTCGCGCCAGGACACGCGCGTGGGGTGGCCTGTGGGGTCTGGGTCTCATGTGCCTGGGGGTGTGGGCACAGGGCAAGAGGCCGAGTGTGCACCTGGGTGTGCCTGCCCTGGCTGTGGGGCTCTGCCTCCTGCCAGAGTGTCCTCCTCGCCACCCCCCATCTTGTTACAGGGCAAACCCCGATATAAAATGGGTTGCCTGACTGTGGGTCCTCACCCGCACACTTAAAGGGGACTTATTAATGCTAAACTGCAGACACACAGAAAAGGTTGATAAAAGGTTTATTTACAAGGGAAGGGGAAATGAACAATTCAGGGAGAAAAAGAGGACGATAAGCTCGTAAATGCGTCCTACCCGTTCCACTGACCTGGAATCCCAATGACCCGCTGAGCTGGCGAAAAACCGAGCACACCTCGTGGCCAAGAGGGCGACCCCCTGGCCACATGGCCGCTTACATACTCACACAGGGAGCCTAGTTGCTTAACTCCGCCCTCAGGTCCTCTCAATCTTCCCTTTGGGGATCATGGGACTTGTAGTTCCCAGTGTCGTGGGGGTGGAACCTGCAAAGCCTGTATGGAGGGGCCTCCCTGGTGGCGCAAGGGGTTAAGACGCAACCTATGAAGCTATCCGCAGCCTCTGCAACACGAGTTCAATCCCCCGGCCTGCCAGGGAGCAACCTATATGGTGCAGCTGACCTCTTCTGACTCGCCCTCACCTGCTGCTCCCCTCAGCAGCGTACTTCGTCCAATCTGCCTGTTCTGTTTCCCGCTCTGTCTCTGGTGAATCCTCTCACCCCCCATGCCTCTGGCCTGTACCCCAGCTCTTGTATGCATACATAAATAAATCTTAAAAAAAAAAAAAAAAAAGAAAAACCTGTATGGAGTTTGCTCAGGACATCCTTTCCTCCTAAGAGTCTGACCTTGCATCCTTCCTCCAGCTGTCGTCTCAGCTCTTGACCTCACTCCGTTCTGCGTGGTTGAAAAGCAGTAGGACTTTGCTCCTCCAGGTCTAACTGCCTAGTTATCTATCTTTATTTTGACCCCTTTCTTTTATGTCTCTGCCAGGCCCGAAAGGATTATCGAAAATACTTCCGGTCAGGGGCCGCCATCACCCTGACAAATTTCATCTACAGGAGCATGGTGAGTGGCGGGGGCAGGGATGGAAGCTGCATGAGGGGGGATGTGTGTGGAAGAGGGTCTGGGAAGAGGTAACTCAGTTTTCCCCCTTGAGCTGCCGCCATTTGCACGTTCCTAAGGAAATCCCAGGTTGTGGGCAACGCGCAGGAAGCAGGTCCCTGTGCCTGGCTCCGGCAGCCGCTGCACCAACTCCTGGTGGGGAGGGAAGGCCTAGCCACCACCCAAGGGTCCTAGTGAAAGGTCCAAGAAGAAGTAGGGCTGGAAGTTAAACACCCTGGAACAGCGAGTGAGGACGCACATAGATTAACTGACCCAACCTTCTGGACCCATTTTGGGGTTGGGGTGAAGGCAGGAGACTCCTCTTTTTCCTCTGTCTCCTCTGCTACTACAGCAAGAGAGTCAAAATTAAATCTCAGGGAGGACGTATCTTAATTCTGGAGGCCTTGGGTCAGAAAAAACCATGTCCAGTCCTGGACATTCAAACTATGGGCAGTTCCTAGTAAGAAAAAGCAGGCAGAGAGAAGAGTGAGTTGCAGAGACGTCCCTCTGGTACTTCTGAGAAGTGTGGGAGGGAAGGAAACCAGGCAGGGAGAAAGTAGCTCTTCCAGTGCAGCCTTGGCAAGGAGAAAAGGAGGAAGGGGGAGATCTTGGACGGAGGGCCGGGCTCAGTCAGGCCTCATCTGAGCTGATTTGATTTTTGACAGTTGCTAGAACACTTACCAACTGTTCACTCAGACCCGAGACGCGTGCGTTTACTTGGAGGGTCTCTCTGTTGCTGGGGAGGCTGGACCCCTTAGCTGAGTTAGGGGTTGGGGACTCTGGGCCTCTTCATTCACTCAGTGCAGATCTGGCCTCTGCATCGCCTCCCTGACCCTCACTGGACCTCCTCCCCCAGGAAAGATCCGTCTTGCCGGGCCTCTCCCTGCCTGCTCTCTCGTCACGCTGGCTCCGGGCTGTCTGCCTTTCTGGACTACGTGCTCTCTGGCTGCATACCTGAGGCCTCTGATCTGATTTTGTTCCTATCTCCTGACTGGCCCCTGTCCACCTTTGCTTTCACCTGCATATTATCAGGCATCTGCTGAACGTCGGGGAACTGTTGGGTTTAGACCGATGATTTCAATAAATCACACAGCCCTACAGAAGCATGTCTGCTGGGGCCACAGGCACCAACTTCCTGAGTTTTTTGACAAGTCTATGTTTTGTCATTGCCTTGACTATAACTTAGGCTAATATCTACTATTTTGGGGAACACTTAATCTATGCTAAACCTTTATACGCATTAATTTTAATGCTTTCAACAGCCCTGTGAGGTAGGCCCTTTTCTTTCCTCCCTCTTCTAGGTAAAAACTAAGGCCCAGAAAGGTTAGATAACTTGCTGTGCGTCCCACAGCTGCTAAGTGGTAGAGTTGGGGTACAAACTATTTGACTCTTGAACTTTAACCACTGCCTAAGATTGGTCCCTTGCCTGCCACTACCTCTCCCCAACAGAAGCCTGCACAACCCAGGCAGCTACGACCCTGGGTAGGCCTGGGCCCGGAGAGCTGCATAGGGGGAGAAAGAACTTTCTAGCTCTAGAAAAAACAGACACGTAAAAAGAGGCTCCACGTTAATCAGAACATGGGCTATTTATTGAATTCAATCAAACCAGACCAAGGACTGGGGACACCAGGGTGATTAGAGGCCTCGAGTCTAGATCTTATAAACCACACTGCAAAGAGCTCAGACAGCCCCTGGAGCGCCACAACGGGATGCCGCGTGCTCTGCCTTTTTCTCCTTTCATGTTCTTGCTCTAATGCCTTAATAAAAATTTTTCATAAAAATTTAGAAGTGCTCAAGATCAAGTCATTTTCTCTATCTTTAATAATTCTGTCCCATAAACAGCCAAGGTGCTCGCTGTTCCCGGGGGGATAGACTTGGGCGTCCTGGTTCTAGTTTGAGGAAGACTGAACAGTTAGATGCCACTGGTGAGGACTGATTGGATCCTGGAACAGGAAAACTAAAAACAGTGCTAAAAAGGACATTTGTAAGAATTTTAAGAACACGCGGAAAAATATGAGTGTGCAACAGCACCGCTGTTGGCTGAAGATGTCCGATTAATTTGGTTTTCTTCGGCGTGGTGATGGAATCGCGATTGTGTCGAGTGTCCCGGCTTGTTGGAGATGCATGCTGAAGTTTTAGGGGGAAATGTCATGATATCATAACCTACTTTTGGATGACACTATAGCAAAGATTTGTACGTGTGTGTGTGTATGAGCTATTTACATGCACAGGTGCGTAGATGTGTGGCATTACTGGGAGAGGGCAGGCAGGTGGGGCAGGGCGTTGTCACGGTGAGTTGGTGAATTTAGGCAAAGGGTGTGCATGGGCAGATGTCTACTGTGATGTTTTTTTCAACTGCTACACAATTTAAAAAAAATTTTAAATAAGAAAATAAATGATATTAAATTAAACAAAAAACCTTAAGTCAGACTCTGCTTCTGATGGTGCTCCTAAAAGCAGAGGTACCATGTTATGCAGCTCCACAGGAAGGAGGGGCCACTCCTGGCCTAGGGAATCGAGGTGGGGGGGTGAGCAGAGCTGGGCTGAGAGCAGGTGAGCTGAGGCGCTGTGGGACTGGGCGGGCTGGCAGAGGGCGTAACAAGGAGTCCTGGCTGGTTGGTGAGCCAGGGACTCGTGGGACCCACTTAGAGCCTCACTAGCCAGGCCGCTAAGCAGAGGGCTTTGAATGCCAGCTAGAAGCGCTGGGCTCACTGACCAGAGAGGAGGGGAGACTTGGTACCCGTCCAACCTCTAAGGCAGTGGCGGTCAGCTCCGGTAACCGCGAGCCTGGGGGGAATCAGGCAGTTAGGAGCAAAATCCTCAGGCCGGTTTTCCTGTTGGCTCCCCTCCCCCCGCCCACCCTGGGTGAAGGGTCCTCTTGGAACTAGCTCTCCTCTCCTGCAACCTCGTGCTCCCGTGTCCAGCCTCCAACCATCAGTTCACACTGAAAGCGACCCCAAGGGTGACTCTCTTCCATGTCCTCAACGACACGGGCGGCTCCTCACTGTGAGGCGCCTCCCTCTTGGAGGTGGCGGGGTCTGGGTGCAAGTCTGCCTGTCGGGAGGGGCTTCTCTTCATCATTCCACTTCCATCCCAGGCACGGAAGTTCCTGCTGGGGGTGAAGAATAATCTGCCCTCCCACAATGTCCTGGACGGGCAGTGGCCAGCGGCTCCTTACAAGTACTTCAACACGGCTAACCGGGAGCTGCGGCGACTCTTCCACCAGTGGAGGGTGAGTGGGGTTCGGTGCCTCGCCTTTCCCCTGTGCTTTGTTGCTCGCCTCCCTCCGATTTTCTTTGTGTGCCTCCCTATTGTTCCTTCTCTTTCCATTTTTTTAATTTTTTATTTATTTATTTATTTTTTTTAATTTTATAGAGGCATGTTTATTTATTTATGTATTTATTTATTTGCTTGTTTTGTTTATACATGCACTGGGTACAGTCAGAAGCGCGGGAGGTTGAGAGAATTCACCAGAGCCAGAGCGGGGAGCAGAGCAGGCAGAAGGAGCGAAGTACACTGCTGAGGGGAGCAGCGGGCGGCAGGAGAGGTCTGCGCGCCATGTGGGACCCTCCTCCGGTGGCTGGGGAGCAGCCGGGGATCGAACCGGCGCCGCAGAGGCTGCGGGCAGGTCCGCAAACCAGCGCTCAACCGCTGCGCCACCGGGGAGGCCCCACTTTCCATTTTTTTTAAATGGTGGTAAAACCTTTTTTTTTTTTAAAGATTTATTTATTTATTTATACAAGCACTGGGCACAGTCAGAAGCGCGGGAGGGTGAGAGAATTCACCAGAGCCAGAGCGGGGAGCAGAACAGGCAGAAGGACCGAAGGACACTGCTGAGGGGAGCAGCGGGCGGCAGGAGAGGTCTGCGCGCCATGTGGGACCCTCACCTGGCGGCCGGGGATCGAACCGACGCTGCAGAGGCTGCGGGCAGCTTCGCAGCCCAGCACTCAACTGCTTCGCCACCGGGGAGGCCCGGTGGTAAGACACTTTGGCCATCTTACCTGACAGCCCAGTGACTTTAAATTCGGTCGCGCTGTTGCACAGACACCGCCCCGGTCCATGTCCATGCCTTGTCCCGCCACCCCACGCAGTGAAGAGCTGGCTTTCCATCCCCTGGTCCCCGCCCCTGGGCCTATGCTCTGCTTTCTGTCTGTGAGGTTAGCTATTCCAGGTACCTCATAAAAATGGAATCATACAGTATTTGCTTTAGTTGGTCTGACTTACTTCACTTGGCACAGGGTTCGCTTATTCGAAAGTGCTAACTGAGCACCTGTCTGGGCTGGGTCTCAGGCTGTGGAGAGCCCATGTCTGGCAGTTTCCACCTCGGCCAGCACCCCTGGCCCCTCCCTTCTCCGCAGTGTTCCTCTAGCCCCTGCCTGCTCTCTCCAGTGCCCAGGACCAGTGCTTTTTTTTTTTTTAAGATCTATTTATTTACGCATACAAGAGCTGGGGTACAGGCCAGAGGTGCGGGGGGTGAGAGGACTCACCAGAGACAGTGGGGAACAGAACAGGTGGATCCACTGAAACACACAGCTGAGCGGGCCACACGGGTCATAGTCTCTCCCTCTCTCCTTCCCCCTCTGGGCCTTCTCCCCACTTCCCCCCCAGCCTGCCCTCTCCCTAGCTTAGCCTCCTCCTCTCCCCCTCACAGTGCAAGAAATTCTTGGTTCGACTGAGTGAGAAGCAGATCCAGACCCTAAAGGAGAAGCTCTGTGCCAGCGAACTGTTCAAGGACAAGAAGGCCTCATATGCCCAGAGGTGAGGCACCCAGAGCCTGTGTGGTCAGTGTCACGGAGAGCAAGGAGGTTCCCCAGGGATGGAGCAGTGGCTCTCAGACCTGAGTGTGCACCAGAATCGCCTTGCGGGCTTGCTAATAGTACCCAGATTGCTGCAGATGCCCTCAGAGCCTCAGGTCTGGCGGGGAGGGGAGGTGGGGGGGGTGGAACCAAGAATGTACCTTTCTAACAAGTTCCCAGGGGATGCTCACGATGGCCTGGGTGTGCTTGAGCACCCCTAGGGTAGAGGCCAGAGTGGGGCGGGAGGAGGGGCTGGGACAAGGTGGCAGTTCCACAGGGGTGGGCTTGGTTCCATGACCCCGGGGTCAGCAGTAAGGCCCTGCCTCAGCTGCACCCTTGCCGTGTGTCCTCAGTGTCCCCATTCCATTCCACGGTGACTACATTGGACTGCAAAGGAATCCCAAGCTGCAGAAGCTGAAGGGCGGGGAGGACGGGCCTGTTCTGATGGCAGAGTCTGTGAAGAAAGTCAATCGTGGCAACGGCAAGGTGAAGGCTGCATCTTGACCCCTCCACAGGCTGGTCCCGAGCCTTGGGCCTGGCCCCTGGAGCACAGACAGACTGACCACCTGCCTGCGCTGGCTTTTCCTCTGCGGAAGCCTTGGGCTGAGCCGAGTGGGGTCGGGGCTGATCGCCACCTCTTCTCACCCATTCCGCTTCACTCCCTAGACCGCCTCTCGAATCCTCCTCCTGACCAGGAGGCACGTGATTCTCGCAGACGAGAAGAAGTCCCAGGACAAAACTGTCATCGGGCTGGACAGCTTGGCCGGGGTCTCCGTCACCAGCTTCAAGGATGGGCTTTTCAGCTTGCATCTGAAAGAGGTATCAGAGCTGGGAGGGGCAGGGCCTCAGATGGGAGACTGGAGGCCTCCTGGGGCTGAGGTGGGCTGGAGGTCATGGAGAGAAGATCTCTTCCTCTGCGCCTCTGGGGAGAAAACAGTGAATCCATCCGTTATTTCCTGCCCTTTCTGCCCTTTCCTAAGATATCGTCCGTGGGCACCAAGGGGGACTTCCTGCTGGTCAGTCAGCATGTGGTCGAACTGCTGAGCAAACTCTACCAGGCGACCCTGGATGCCACACAGACCCGGCTCCCGGTCTTGGTGACTGATAAGTAAGGCCACCACAGCTAGGGAGGGGGATGTCTTGGGGCAGATGACCAAGCTGATGGTCACTGTGACCGGGAAACGCACGGAGTCGAAAGCGGAGCATACACTGTCAGGGCAGGCTTGGGAGTGTTTCTCAGTCCCAGCTCCCAGGTTCTCCGGGGCCTTGTCTTCTGACAGGGGGCGGGAGGGGGGCAGAGGTATTTGCCTCACGAAGGAGAGGGAGTGACATCAAGAAAATATGGGGTGCTAAAGTGAGGGGTAAGGGCACTAGCCTGGTCTCTCCTGCCTGTTCCCTTCCAGGTTCTCAATGAGTTTCAAGGAGGGCAAAGTGGACGTCAAGGTCGTCCAGGGCCCTGGGGGCGGTGGGAGCGGCAAGCTGAGCTGCAAGAAGAAGGGGCACCAGTGCCTGGAAGTGACTGTGTCGTGAGGAGGTGGCTCCTGCTTCAGAGAGGGCTGCAGCTTCCTCCTGGACTAGAAGGGACCCACCTCCCGCCCACCTCTGAGGGAGGGTCTCGCCCTCACCCTTCGGATGGTGGGCTGAGCCCTTGCAGGCGCCTCTCCTTCCTGCGCCTCCCCCGGCTTCTCTTCCGACTTTGCCTCCTTCCTATTCTCAGTCTCCTGCCCACCAATGAAATAAATGACTTCCCAAAAGTCTGGTCAGTGTGGGTGGGTCCCGTCCCCCCATCTTGTCATCCACTTGTGCCTCCGCCCTCCAGGTTCCTTGGAGGCAGATGATAAGAATGGGAGGAAAAAAGGGAAATTGTCCCTGGGCTCCTCCACCGGCTGAGCTCTGGAAGGGTTGGAGGGACTGGGGGGAGCCGGGCAGGGGGGGGGATGGGGCTCAGGTCGCAGATGGCCCAAGGGCGGATTCATTAGGTCTGTCCCTGGGGGAGGAAGTGAGAATCCCCTTCTTGGCAGAAATTGGGATCCTTTGGAATCAGTCTGAGAAGAGGCCCGAGGCTGGAGGGTTCATGAGGGCTAAGGTGAGCTGCAGAATGCAGGGTCTCCTGCACCAGGGAACCCCAAAGCCCTCTGCATGCCTAAGCTCAGCACCTGGCTTCCTCACACCTGCCCTTGGCACCCCTTCCCTTTCCATGCACCAGAGGTGCCGGGTTGCTGCCAACAGCTGTCTTGCTGATCAAAGTCCCACAGCTGGGGCCTGCAGCTGGAGGCACTTGCCAGGGGGGCTGTCCCCCTCCCTGCCCAGATGCGCTGGCCCCGGTGCTGACCGCCCCCCTTCCGGTCTTCATTTATTTTTCCTGTGTCATCGTCATTATTTTTCTCAGTTTCCATCAGCATCATCGAATCATCCTCATTGCTGTGGGCTCTGATATTCATACATGTTCCTATAAAGCTCCTATAATGTCCTATGAAGCTCCTATAATGTCCTATAATGCTCTCACTATCCCTGGCCCTGTCTCAGCGGCGCTGTCCTGCCTCACCCTCTCCCACTCTGGTCTCCGTCTTTGGGGAGCAAGCAGCTCCTACATTTGTCGTCAGAGTTGGCCCCGTGCTCCGCGACAGCTCACAAATGGCTGCCTTTGTTCCTGTCCCTGGATTTGCCTCCCTCCTTTCACCATCTCCACCTTTCCTGCCTCTTCCTTGTCTCCTCCCGGAGCCGCCAAGCCCCCTCAGGCTGGGGGCTCCCACAGTACGCTCAAGGCCCCATCCATCATCCAGGCGGGAGACCTGATGAGCCTGTCTTCTTGCGGGCAGAGTGATCTTGCTCTGGGCTCAGCCCCACATGTGGTGCCCCCCCCGCCCCCCCCCGCCCCCCGTGGAGGTAGGCCCCAGGGAGCCCGCTCTTTCTGGTGGGTGGGGGCTGGGTGTGTCTGGTGGAGGACTTGGTCCTGAGTGGGGATGCTCAGCCCCCCCTCTTCAGCTCCCCCCTGACTTCTCAGAAGCAGGCCGAGGAGATCCCGTCTGGCCGAGAGGGGGGCGCTGACCACATCCTGACCGCCCCCGCCCGGCTCCCGCCTCGTCTCCTGCTCCCAGGGCCCAAATTGTCGTCACTTTCTCAGTGAAGTGTCTGGTCATTTTCAGAAGCAATTTCAGCAGAATATGCAGCTGCTGCTCCCTGTCTGCCGCGTCCTCTCCCAGGGCCGAAGGCGCTGCCAGCTCTCCTCGCTGGGGTGGCTGCGGGGGCGGCCGCAGGCTCCCTGCTCCCCACACCTGTCATGTGATGATGTGGATCTGCTCCTTCCCTTTTCCTTTATTCTCTTGTCCGCCCTCCCTCCTCCCCCTCCCCCCTCCCGGCTCTGCCTCGTGCTCTTCCGGAGCCCAGGAGTGTGTCTTCATCCCCAGAGCCACTGGGGGCTCAGTTTCCCCACCTGTGTCATGGGGCTGGCATTGGCTCCATCACAATGAGAGAAGCTGGGGCTCTGCTGCCCCACGGCCCCGGCCCATCCAGCGTGGTCAGTCCGGGCGGGTTCAGCCTCCGAGGGAAGAGGGAGGTGGTCACGCGGATCCCTCCAGTCCCACGAGGAGGCCTTCGGGCATCCCCAGGCAGCCCAGCTCTGTTCTCCTGATGTGGCCATTTCTTTCCCCGGCTCCGGGGCTCTTTTGGTCCTGGGTCCTCCTCAGGTTGCCCCCGCAGCAGGGCTGGGCAGGCACAGGAGCTGCACTCCTCACATTCTTCACTGGACTCTCACCCCATGTCACCCCATGTCACCCCCAGCCGCAAGGCACCCTCCAGGACGTGCAGGGAGTGCCCATGCTGACATGGGCACTTGCACGTACGGTGGACATGTTCAGGTCCCCTGTGTGCAACCTCTCCTGGCCACACCCCCGCCAGGAGGAGGGCTGCAGAGGACTCACAGCCCGCTAGGCCTTTGACAGCGTCTGAGCTGTGGCTCAAGCACAGAGAGCTCAAGGGGAGAAGCACCTACGCACTCGGCAGCCGCGACACCGATGCCCAGGCCCTTTCACGCGGGTTGTGGGCAGAGTGAGGCCGGGCTGCTCCAGCCTGCCACAGCCTGTCTCTTTCATCACCTCTTAGCTTAGCTCAGCTCTTTCAAGTCTTTGCTAATCCCAGAGATCAAGGGGTGATCAGGTCTCTCTGCCATTCCCTTGCCCCCCCCATCCTTGGCTCCCGCCATCCCCTGTGAGAAGTCACATCATCAAAGCACATTATTCATGGTGGACCTTTGCGGCTTCCGGTGCAGGACGTGGGGGCAGGGATGCTTGGGAGGCGGGGAGAGGGGCTGACTAGATGAGATGTGGGAGGTGTTAGCCCTCAGCCCTGATCTAACTCTTGCTTCTTCTGCACCCCAACTCCCTCCAGCCTGCCAGGACTTCCTTCTCCAGGCCTATGGGGCAAGGAGGACGGAGTCAGGTGTCAGGAGGCCCTTACTGAGCTTCCCAAAGGCAAGAGCCAGTCACACCCTGGCTTCCCACCCAAGTCACAACCTTCTCCCACAGCTGCTCCTCATCCCACCCAAGGCGTCCAGCCTGGGTCCAGGCCCGCGCTGGCCACACACCTGTAACTGGCTGCCTGATGGGGGACTTTTCACGAGGCCTCGCCCACTGTAAAGGGACCTTGAGGCCCTGCTGAGGCCCTCCCTGTGGGGAGAGACCCTGGGGCCAATGCTGCGGGTGACTTCTCTCCTTGACGCAAGCCCCAGGGTGGGCAGGTGTTGGGAAGCTGTGCTGGGGACACGACGCTTCGGACCCCGCGTCCCCGGAGATGGTGGAGGACCCACGTGTGAGGCTTTGCCCCGGGAGCGGGAGAGCTTGGGCTTCCCTCACACAGGTCAGATTTGTTTTTTAAAGGCATGACATCTTTTTAAAAAATTTTATTTATTTATGCATACAAGAACTGGGGTGTAAGCCAGAGGGGCAGGGAGTGAGGGCGTTCACCAGAGACAGAGTGGGGAGCAGAACAGGCAGATCCACTGAAATCCACTGTTGAGGGGAGCAGCAGGGAGGCAGGAGAGGTCTGCTGTGCCGTGTGGGCTGCTCCCTGGCCGGGCATGTACCCTGGGCCATATAGTGCTGACAGCGCCAAGACCCAACCCCTAGGCCACCAGGGAGGCCCTATAGAAATAAACTTCCATGAGCACCTACTGTGTGCCAGGCACTGTAGGGTGGGGCGTCTAACAACAAACAAAACAGGCAAAAATCCTTGCCTTAGTGATGCTCACATCCTGGCAGGGGGGTGGGAGGTCAAGTCCAAGTAAAACATCTAGCACATTGGAAAAACGTGTTGCTGAAGAGAAGCAACAGAGATGGGTGTGGGCGGGGAGTGGTGGCAATAGGGCGGCCTTGGCGAGCAGCAGGTGGCTTGATAGCAAATACACAAATACACAAATACACAAGAGCACTCCCCAATTCCAGGGAGGGGAGCAGCACAAAGCTTCTCTCGAGAGCCACTGCCACCCCTCTCCCCGCACCCCCCCCAGTTCAGATCCCCTTAAGATCAAAATTCACATCCGTGCAGAAGAAAAAAGGCCAATTTAGAGTGAGCCAAACCCGCACTTGAGGCTCTTCCCAAGCTAGAGCACTTGTCCTGGAGCACCCCGAGCTTCTCAGGCCTCAGTTTCCTTTTGTGAAAATAGCAACATTTGCTGCTCACCCGTGGAAGTGCCAGTGACAATGAAATCACTAGCCCAAGGCCCGCAGCCCAGCAGGTGTCCCGCAGCCCAGGAGGTGTCCGGCCTCCCCAGCAGTGGATGCCGGAGGAGGGGGCGGGGCTCACTGTCACTTGGCAGCTCAACTGGTCTCTCTTAGCAGGGGCTTTCTCTGGGTCTCCCTAGCAGGTTCTGACTCGTGGTCCCCGGGGCTTCCTACCTTGGGGGAGCCAAACCAGCCCCTTCTGCAGTGTGAGCCAGGGGCTTGAGAGGCCTGGGGAGAGGGAATCTAGCATCAGGGGACAGATTAGAGTGGGGACAGAGGAGAAATGAGAGGGGAAGAGCAATTAAGGGCTCACTGGGCGGCCAGGAGGAGTTGGTGAGGCAGGGGTGGTGGTGAGGGTGAGGACAGAGCTCACCCAGCGCTCCCTTCCCCCTCCCCGGACTACAGCAAGGCAGAAGCGAGAACTCTGGAAGGAGGCAACTAAGTCAGACTAACGCGGGAGTCAGCGCGAGGGGGTGGAGAGCAGGTGGGGGAGAGGAGGAGAGGGGCATCGGCACCGGGGCGGGTCCTGCACCCACCAGCAGGAGAGCAGTCTGGCCGGACTGGCCGAGGACACTGGATGGACAGGGAGACGTGAGGACAGGATGGACGCCAGGCGCGCCTGCTCAGGGGCCTGAGCCAGGGTCGGTGTCCCGCTGCTTGCACAGCCGGAGAAGCGCCTGCCTGAAACTGCCCCAGCCTGGCAGTCAGGGCTGAAGGGCTAAAGGGCAAGAAGCTGTTGGGGGAACTTGGCCGCCCACACCTGCTGGGCTGGACACCGCGGGGATGCATCAAACGTGAGCAACCCCGTTCTGCGCCCAGCTCAGGGACCGCTGAAAAGTGGGCTGCTGGGTAACTCCTGCTCAGGGCTGTCACGGCTGGGTTGTGGGGTGTGTGAGTGTGTGTGTGTGTGAGTGTGTGTGTGTGAGTGTGTGTGTGTCTGTAGCTTATATCCTCTTTCCCCCCCACTTGCTCCCCCCTCCCCTCCAGCCACCCTGGGATTGGTGATTCTCAGCCCCTCCCCTCAGCTCCCCCAGACCCTCCCGGAGCCTTCATCAGGGGGAGCTGGGTCGCAGTTCCTGCCACACTCCCTGGCACCCTCCCTCCCTGCTCCTCTTCTCCAGGCATCTCGGCTGCAGCAGCGGGAGCGGGGAGCAGGCAGGCGTGCTCCCGGACAGCGCCCCAGCCTCACGACCGTCTAGCCCTAGGCAAAAAGCGGCTCCACAGGTAGGCGTGAGCGGGAGAGGGGGGTGGACCAGAGCACTGGGCCAGAGGCAGGAGCTGGAGAGGAGGGAGCAGCTCTGCTGGGAGCGGGAGACTGGGGAGGGAGCTGGAAGCCAGGACAAGTGTTCTGAGCGAGCTGACTGCAGCGTGTGGGTACTGACTGCTTCTTCTGTACCAGAAAGTTTTTGCCCAAGTCTTGGGGTCACCTAGTGCTGGAAAACAATATCCAGGATCCCTCCCCAACTGACTAGGGAAATAGACCTGGGCAAACCCTATAAACCCATCACCTTCCTGGCAATATTGCACCATTGCTCGTTGTCAGGTGACATCCTGGGGAGATATCTGATGGGGGTGCCAGGAAATTGAACCCAAGGCACGTCCCTCCTGCTCGGAGATGGTCTCCTCCGACAAGGGGTCCGATGGGACCACTGTGGTCTGGGGCTGCAGGTCAAGCCAGGCTGCTGGTTGTTGGGTGATTGCCTCCTGGGTTGCACCCTGTTGTGCTCCCATCCCGCCCCCATTTCCTGGTCTTGTCCCTCTGGCCTCCTAGGCGCCATGCGGAGCACCCTGCTGTTGGCGGTCATCCTGGCCCTCAGCCTGGCTCGGAGCCTGGGGGCTGTCTGTGAGGAGTCACAGGAGCTGGTGGGGCCTGGCGGGGGCCACCACAAGGTAAGGCACCAGCTGCAACCGGCCCACCCCGTCAGAGTTCTAGAACACACCCTGAAAGCCAGTGCTGTCTGTCCCCACAGCGGGAGGGAGGTGCATGTGAGGGGGTGGGGTGTGAGTTGGGAGTGACCTGGGTTATTAGAGGGCTGGATTTTTCTGCCTTTCTGGCTCTCCCATGTTCTCGCTGTCTCTGGGTATGTCTGTAAGCGTCTCTGGTCTCTGTCCCTTTGCATGTCTTGACACCTTATGTAAAAGGTACCCAGCCAGGTGTTGTTGGGTTGGGTAAGGGGTGGCTTGGGGACTGGATGGTCCTGTGGGGACAGTCTAGGGTGGTGCAAGCTTCTGTCTTCTGTCCCTGTGCAGCTCCCCTCTACCCCCTGCTTGGCATGAAACACAGCCAGCGGTCCTCTCCCAAGTGGCTCCGTGTGTGCTATTTGCTTGTCAGTTGTGTGCACTGTATCAAAAGTCAAATAAGTTCCCCTCTCCACTGTTCACCCATCCCCCGGTCACCCCGGGTGCTCCCCAGATGCCAGCCCTTCTCTCTCCTCTCCCTTGCCCCTCTCCAGCCTCTGCTTATTCAGGGAAAAACACACAGAATAGGTTGGGTCCAGATGTCCTGAGTTCTTCCAAGAAAAAGAATAAGAAATATTGGAGTAGGGGCTTGGGGAGAGCGGTGAGGAAGTCTTTTCAAGGGTTTGAAATGACAGCAATTACATTGGTACAAATGCTTTTAAGATGATTATAGGTGGAACTTATTACAAATTCAGTGTGTGGATTCTAACTGCCTCTCCAGCCCAGAACTGCTTAGCATCTCATTACAGGAAGTGGGCAGAGTATTTGAACAATTTGGAGAAGTGGCTGCCTGGGAAGCTGTGCTCCAGGCACCAAGAGAGCCGGCCATCCTCGGTCCAGCTGGTGAGGGGTCCCAAGGCACAGCAGGCTGCCAGCTCACAAATGCCAGTGGTTGCACCAGAGCCAAGAGAACAGCACCAGTTTAAAAAAAAAAAAAAAAAAAACCTCACAGGGGGATCCAAATATGGACTGGACACAGGAGCCCAAAGATCCAACTCGATATAAGCAGAATATCCTGGGTATATTCTCCTGAGACAAGCTTGCTTTCTTTAAGACCTGCGCCTCTTGGTCAATGAAAGAGAGAAATTGCAGCCCCCCTCACTGTCCCTATAGGTCTGTGAGGATGAGGGGCACTGGGTGGAGGGGAGGGCACCGTATCTGTGTGCCTGGGCCACCAGTTGGTAAGCTGGGGGTGCATCCTGAGTGGATGAGCCTCTGTGTGCACAGCTGCCCGGCTGCCTCGGGTCTGCAGCGAGAGGCTCAGCGGAGATTCAAGGTGAGACTCCGAAGGTGGCCATCGTCTTTGACTCTCTGCAGTGGCCGTTAACCGGATGCAGCTGCCTTTGGCTGTTGTGCCCAAGTTACTTAAAAAAAAATCACCAAGACAATTTGGAGCCCCTGCTTGGTAGCGGGTCCAGGATATGGGGTTCCGTTTTGGCAGGGAGGAGAAGAGGGGTCACCCCGAGCAGGCTGTCTCCCTGAACGCTAAATCCAGGGAAGAAAGGGGAGAGAAGGAGACACAGCCAGAGAGGACAGAGAACGAGAGGCAAAGTAAACCCAGGTAGAGAGCCACACCTGTCACGTACAGAGCAGGGGTTTCAGGGTGTGCCCTGGCTGCCGCCCTGCCCTGATCCCCAGGACAGAGTCCTGTCTGCTGCTTGGTCACAGAGCCCGGGCTGGAGAGCACCTGCTTTGTCTGATGGGCCTGTCTCAGGAATGAGGGAATCCAAGGCTCACTCACTTAGGGGGTAACCACAGTCTTGGGTAAATGGGTCCTTGATGTGCCAGGGAGAAAAGGAGTGAGCCCCTCTCACTGAGAAGTGATCGGAGCTGGGAGAAGGCCCCCAAGGACAGTCCCCCTTGAACTTGGGAGATAGTGTGACCACTGCCCCAGTATTATGAGGGATCATCCCAGCTCGATCAGCGCAAGTCCCACATCCCAGGGGCCCTTGGTTCTGGGCAAACCGGGACAGTTGGTCAGTCTAAGGGATGCCCAGCGTGTTCCTTGACCAGTGCTTCTCAAACCCTGTGGTGCGCACGACCCCCCCATCCCTGCCCCCAGGCCCTGGCAGGTGTGCTGTGGGCCAAGGTTGTGCATCCCTAACAAGCTCCCCGCAGAGCTGCTGCTGGGCCACTGCGCCACACTTTGCTAACTCCCTTCTCTTCCTGTGGAAATCCTGAAAGAAATAGGACTAGGACGTAGGGTCCTGCCGTGATGGGCTCAAGAAGAGGCCCTTTTTGCTGGGCCAAGAGTAAGGGGATGGCGGGTGAGCCCCCTGCCTCAACCCTCTCTGTTTCTTCCCTAGAAGGAATCGGAAAGCCACCAGCTGGCCCTTTCGCTGCTCCGGAGGCTCTATGACAGCCGCTCCGTCTCTCTGGAAGGATTGCTCAAAATGCTGAGCAAGGCTGGCGTGGGTAGGAAGCAGCCCTGGAGGGAAGGGGTGTGCAGGACGGTGTTCTGAGGATAAATGGCTTGGGAGACCCCTTCAGGTGGGAGGGAGCCAAGAGATCTCCCTCCAGTTTCCAAGAGTGCATAATTGAGGGTTGTGTCTGAACCCCCTCTGGCCTCACTTCCAGCCTCCACTCCCATTTTACATTTGTGTTCTTGCCTTCACAGACCCCAAGGAACCTTTGCTTCCCCAGAAGCGTGAGTAGCCCCTTCCCCTTCCCTGTTTCTTCTGACCAGGTACCTAGAGCCCCAGGTGACAACTTTGACTGGTCACTGTTCAGCTGATGTCCCTGGGAACGAGGAGCAAGCGGGTGTGCGGGGTGCAGTGGAGACCCACTGGCTGGACCTCCCCACTGGCCGGACATGACGGCTGAGGAGGCTGTCAGCCAAGCACCAGCTGCCGCAGACAAATCTTGAAATGGGAGGAGGGCGGTATGGGGGGAGAGGGAGGGCCGAGGGGGTCTGATAACAGCGGGTAGCTGCCTGTGGCAAGACAGAGAAACAGAGCCCAGAAGCCCCCTCTCCAGCCCTGACATTAGTCTGGGAAGTGCATCACCCCTCCCCCCTCCACTGCTGACAGGTTGGTTCTTCTCTGCAGGTGACATGCACGACTTCTTTGTGGGACTTATGGGCAAGAGGAACGCCCAGTCAGGTAGGCGTGCGTGGAAGCACAGTGGAAAGGCTGGCAAGGCTGTGGCAGGAGTCAAGTGCGTCAGCCATCTGAGGCAGTCAAGTGTCTGCCATCTGAGGGAGAGAGAGAGAGAGAGAGAGAGGACTTTTCTTAGCTACAGTGAGGCTTCCTCAACCCCTTCTGGCCAATCAGCTTGAGTCCACAGTACAGCTGTCCCTGGGAGCAGGGTAGGGAGATCTTTAAAAGATAGTCTTGCTGCAGCTGGGAGGGGTCAGGGCGACTCTGCTTTCCCCCACCCCCGAAACAGAGCATGCCTCTTCTAAACTCCGCCTGCAGAGCCAGCCTGTGCTGCTGGGTCAGGGTGAAGGTCACGTTCAGAGCGTCCTAACTGCCCTGTTCACTCTCTCCAGACACTCCTGTTGACGTGAGCCAGGAGGATACCCCCAGCTTGGGCACCCTCAAGTATCCCCCCAGTGTAGAATGAGGTAAGGATTGCTGGTTAGGGGAGGCGGGCAGACCATGTGTGTGTGTGTGTGTGTGTGTGTATGCGCTCATGTGTGTGTGTGTGTGTGTACCAGAGGCGCAATCCTCTGATGCTTCAGGCATCAATTTTCACACATCTGCCCTACAATGCACGGCAGCTCATGGCATACTGTCGGTCAAACACCCCCACACTCCGAGGTGCATGTGTGTCCGTGAGTGTGCCCATGGGTGTGTGCACACACACGTGCAGGTGCACACACACCCCTTCTTCACCTCTTTCTCTGTGTAGTGAGCCCCAACTGGCTGTCGAACAGGAGTGAGTGGTGGGAGGTGGGGAAGAGGTTTCCCCTGAGGCCTCGCTGACAGGCAGCTCTGCTGTCTGGGCTCTGCTCTCTCCTGTCATCTGTGGGAAGATGGGGCAGGCGCCATCTGATAGCGGCAGGAGCCACATCCAGCTCACAGAGAAGGGCTTTACCTCCCAGGCAGGCTGAGCCTTCCAGACCATTCGGAATCCTGAGTTCCGGCATCCAGTGTTCAGTTCTACAGAAGGACGATGCCGGGAGAAGGAAGGATTGGGGAAGTCTGGAGGGAGGAGCTGGCACGAGAGCACGCCTGGGTGCGGATCCTGTATCTACCACTCACTCTGGCCGAGTCACATCACCCTTCTGGGCCTCGGTTTCCTCCCGGGGCGGTGGCCACATGAACCACAGGGGTGTGGCTGTGAGGGGGCGCTGTGAGGAAGAAGTGCAGGGGTGTCCTGACGGAGGCCTGCCACGGTTGTGCCGGCTTTGTTGTGAGCGTTGCCGTCTGGGGGGGTGTTATGTTGTTCCCTTGGTGGGCTCTGGCCTAACTCTCCAGAGCTGTCTGCGCCAGACCCCACCGGAGTGGGCCAAGAGGCTGCAGGCTCGGCCTGCACGTGTGAGAGTCCTCCGGGGAGGCGCCTGGTTAAAACACGGACACTTCCGCCTCGACACCAGGCTCCCACACAGCCACGGCAGCTCTGCCCAGGGTTTTCCTTGCCCTGGCTCCCAAAGACGGTGTGGGAGAAAGGAGAGGGGCGCGGAGGCCTCCGTGATGCCAGAGAGGCTCCTGCCAGACACGCTGTGTCACCCGCGCTGGCTGGTCCCCGCGGAGGCCCAGGGAGCAGGCGCTGGCTCTCGACGAAGTTGCCTGTGTGGCTCCCCGAGCCCAGCGTCTGGGTCTGGGCCCCATTCAGTGTTGGGCGAGAGGGCGCAAGAGCTGTAATAACCGTAACTCGCTGATTACATGGTACTCACCGTATCATTTTGCTCTCATTAGATGGTTATTTCGGTCCTGCCGACCGCCAGATAATTACACGGGCAGCTATATCTGGATGACATACTCTCCCCAAGCGTGATGCGTCGGCCATAAAGATAATTACAGTGCAATTTTGCCATAGTATTTTATACAAATGGCAGAAACAAGTGCGTTGTGGAAATCTACTTTTAATGCTTGCTGGTGAATCTAGGCTCTTTCAGAGGGCCCAGGCCCGCAATTACAGGCTGCATAATCTCACCACTGATAGAGCATTCTCAACCTATTAGGTGCCAAGAAGAATAGGACATAAGGTCCCTGGGGCTGGCATTTAAAGGCGATTAGACGAGATGCACCAACATAGATCATTGTGTCGCCTTATTTCATTCATGTGAAACTGCTGGAAACGGAAGCCATGCCTTGCTTGTCCTTCTCTGAGAGAGTTCTGGAAATGGGAGAGGAGCGGGGTGAGCCTGGGGGCGTCCACAAGTGTGCCTTGGAGGGGTCCTGTGTATGCCTGGTTCGAGGGGCTGCAGGATGATACGGGCCCCAGCGACCTCGCGCCAGCCTTGTAAGGAGAGAATTTGCAGCTGGGAAGGTGCTGTCCTGCCGCGCCGGGGGGAATTCAGTCCTTCCAGTTCAAAGGCTGTAGGGAGACTGGGGTTAAGACTCTTTCTTTCCTTCTTCCTTCCAGATGCCCTGCCCTTCTCCCCCTGCTCCCCCAGTGGTGGCTGGAGGGAGTTTTACAGGACAGAAGATGTGATTTCATGTTTCTGACCCTCCACTTCTAGACCCCCAGCTGCATGGTGAAGACACCCGGTGTCCTCCCCCAACCCCCGGTGCACGTCTCCCACCTCTGTTCTCTCCCCCTCCTTGTCAGGCTCTTGGCTTTGACTCCTCCCCACCCCTCTATTCCCCTAATGCAGAAGCTGCAGAGGGCTAGCTCCTACCATGTCCAGCATTAACCAAAGGTCTCTCTCACTCTTCAATAATAAAAATGTCTCCATGTGGTCTAGAGTGATGTATTTGTTTGTTTGATCATGGCTTTTTCTCTTCTTTGACTCTTCCAACTACACCACACACACACACACACACACTCACACACACACTCATGTCACACACACACAGATACATAAACACACATGACACATAAATCATATACGATGGAAGTATCTTTGTTTGCATACATTACTGATTTTCCCAACAGTGCCTTACATGGTGCTTTACACATTTAGTATCAGATTTATTTAGTATTTAAAATAATAAATAAATCAATTAGAAATATGGTTTCCAGCATTCAAAGGTTTTCACAGGCCAACTTCAGTTAATGGAAAAACAGATACTTGGGATAACTTGTCTGGATTTCTAGGGTGGGGCTGGGAGACAGCAACCCCTCCCTGGTCAGCCTCTGCCGGAGAAGAGAGAGCAAAGATCTAGCACAAAGAGGGTCTAGCCAGCACGGGGCCATTTTTCTGCCCCAAGGGTCAAACATGGGTTCTGTGACGGGTCCCGAGGGTGAGATGGAGATCCACACACGTGAGACGACAGCCTGACAGGTCTGTGGACTAGCAAACAACTCCTGAATCTGCTTGGAGGGGGTGCATAGGGCAGGCCAGGAAAGAAGGGGGCGCAGGTATACCTGACCGCTTTAGTTAGAAAGAGGAAACATTTCAGACTCTTCTATTAAGCAACAGTTACAAATCCCTGCCCATGGTCCCAGCTCCCACATCTAAGACCTCCAGTGAGGTATGTGAGTGTCTTTGATTACTCTGACATGCAAACTGTCACAACCCACTGATCCCCAGGGGAGTTCTGTACCCTCAACAGAACAGCCAGGCAAGCCCCAGACTCCCTGTCTTAACTGGGTGCAGAGCGCCTCAGTTAAGCAACTGATTGCCCTGCTACGAAGTTGATACTTCGGTAAGGCAGGGTAAGGACAGGGGCACTGACCAGAGATCACTTCCCGCAACACCTTCCCCGGGGGAAAGTTCTCCCTTCCCAGAACCCGGCTGAGGTGAACGTGGGCTTACAGCTGCACAGTGGGGTGGGGCAGGGAGGGCTCACCTCAGTGTCCCTGGTGTCAGGTTTGTTGCTGGAGCTCAAAGGATGTTCTCACTCCAGAACTTCAAATCTTTCTCCAGCAAGTCAGCTCGCTGGCGTTTCAAAATTATCTCTCACCAGTTTTAAAGGTGGAGCATTTTTGCAGATTTTGGGGAATTTATCCATGGAACCTTCCTGTGTTGATTCTGTTCAGACTTGGGAGCAGACGTGTGCTGAGGTGACCCCAGTGCTTTGCCAGGTAGGAGCATAAATGCAGAAAGGTTGCTCTCTGGTGGAACTGGCAAAAATTGCAGTGCTGGGATTCCAGGAGAAAGGAAAACGTGTAAACACTTTCTGTTTGTGAAGAAAACCTGGAATCTTCTTCCTGTTGCAAGGAGGATGATGCCTAAGGATACCTGGTCAACAAGACCTTGACTGAATTCTTACTTTCTTTTCCATTTAGCCGTGTGTGTGTGTGTGTGTGTGTGTGTGTGTGAGAGAGAGAGAGAGAGAGAGAGAGAGAGAGAGAGAGAGAGACTATTGTGATGTGATTTATGCAGAAAGACTTCAATATAAACAGCATGAACTTTTTCTTTTTTAAGATTTATTTATTTATGCACACAAGAACTGGGGTTTAGTCCAGAGGTGTGGGGGTGAGAGGATTCACCAGAGACAGAGGGGGGAGCAGAGCAGGCCGACTGACTGAAATACATGTGCTACAGAGGCTTCAGGTTGCTTCATAGTGCGGTGCTTAACCCCTTGCGCCACCAGGGAGGCCCGTGTAAGGGACATTTTAAAGGAAAATCTCCATGGTAGGATGTCTTCCACTCTGTAAGAGAGAGAGAGGATAATTTCTTTTACCACTGGAGAAAGCAAGGACTTAAATCCATATCACCACCTTGCCCTTGTTTACTGAGCCTTACCTGATGACCTCCCAAAACTGACCCCCTCCACCCCCAAACATCCTCTGTCTCCGGTGGGAGAGAGTGTTCAAGGAGGTGGGGTGGGCCGTGTAGGGGTTACTTAGTTCTCCTGCGGGTCTCCCATGTGTACAGCAAGCATACATGATATTAAATTTCTGCTAAACTTTTATCACCATGGTTTAGGAGGGTAGAGGGGAAATTATGTTGCGTCCCCTACAATTAATTTGTCCAGTCACTCAAACAGGCTCTGTCGGGCACCCAGTGGGTGGGGCAGTGTGGTCAGGCCCGCAGGTCGGAGGGGGCAGAACCCACATTCCTGCCCTCAGGAAGCGCAGCCTAGCGGGGACCCAAAATTCAGCCCAGTGACCTTACGATTTGGGGGGCAGAACTACAACAGGGTAAATTTTGAGAAGAAACTTCTGGAACTGCTGTTGCTGGTCGGGTGGGTTCCGTGTTCAAGCGACGGAGGAGCGACCACGCTCGGGTTTACGGAGGGGCCCCGCGGGAGCCCGTCCTGCTCAGGGGGTGACTTTCACAGTCTCTCACGGACTTGCCGCTCTGGCGCTCCCCACCCCCCCTCCGGCCTCGTCGCCCCGCTTTGCCACCGCCAGCCGCGGCGCCCCCACGAGCCCCGGGGCCTCCGGCCCCCCCGCGGGCGCCGCGCTCCCGAGCCCGCCGCCGGCCCGCCCCGCCGGCCCGCAGCCCCCCAGCCCGGCTCCGCCCCCGCCGCGGGGCGCAGAATGGGGCGGCTCGCGCCCCGGCGCCGGGACGGGGTTCGGCGCAGGCCCCGGGAGGGCCGCTCCTCCGCGGGCGGCTCCGCGCGTCAGGGCGCCCGGCCGCGGGGCTGGGAGCGCGCCCCAAGAGCCGCGCGAGCGGGGCGCGGGGGCGCGGGGGCCGGGCGGCGGGGGCCCCGCGAGGCGCCGCTCGGAGCCGGGGGCCGGCCCGCCCCGCCGGGGGGGGCGCTGCGGCGGCGGCGGGGGGCGCTGCCTCCTCCGGGACGGCGGGGGGCGCTGCGGGCGGGCGGCGGGGGCGCCGGGCCGGCGCGGCGGCGGCGCGGCGGATGGAGAGTCTGGCCGCGGCCGGCGGCGCCGCCTCCTCGTCGGGCCGGGCACGGCGGGCCGGGGCCTTTGTGTGCGGCGGCGGCGGCGATGGTGCTCGCGGCCCGCGCAGCCAGGTAAGCGCGGCCGGCCGGGCCGCCGCCCCGAGCCCCGGCCCGGCCCGGCCCGGCCCGCTCGCCCGCGGGGCTCCCCGCGCCCGCGCCCCTCGGCCGGACCCCGGCCCCGCGCCCCCGCCCGCGCCCCGCGCCGGCCCCGGGGACTCCCCGCCGCTGGGGGGGCGGCGCGGCGCCCCGGGCCCCCGGCGGGCTGCTCCCGCCCTGCCCGTCGCCTCCCCCGGCTCGGGCCCCCCGCGGGGAGGCTGCGGCGCGTCGGGAGTCGGGGTGCCGCCTCCTGCCGGGGGGTCTCCTCGGAAGTTCCGAGCCGGCCCCTCGCGCGCTCGGCCCGGCCGCCCGCCGCCCCGGCCTGCGGGGCGCGAGGGGCGGCTCTCCGGGCCCGGGGCGCGCCCGGCCGGCGCCGGGCGGAGCGGGGGCTCCCTGGGCCCGGGGCTGAGCGCGTCAGCGGGACGCGAGGGGAGGAGGAAGGGGCGCGGGGCGCGAGGGGGGCCCGGGGGCCGGCCCGGCTCAGGCCAGGGTGGAGCGCGCAGCCCCGACCCGCAGGCCGTCGAGCGCTCTGTCGCGCCGAGCAGAAGCCGGGGCGCCCGGGAAGGAGGCCGAGAAGGAACCCACGTCGGAGCGAGACCCAGGACCACGGTGGAGCCCCACCGGGTCCCCCTCCCGGGCCGGGGTCCGACCCGCACCCCCAGAGGCCGGCCGGGCGCTGACCCCCGCGCTGGGGCCAGGCCGCGGGGCTGAGCGGGAGCGGGCCGTGCATGATGCGGGACTGAAGGACGAAATGGCAGGAAACTAAGCGATGGAGCCTCTTGATTTTTCACTCCGCGGTTGATGGCGCTTTGCAAGTTGTGTCAAGTGTGTCGCTTCGCCGCGGTGAGGGGAAACAACAGCTTCATGAGATAGAAACGTTTGTGTCCAGGAGGAAATCAACATGAGAAAAACTGGAGCGAGTTGCTCTGGCCACGAAGTATGAGATGGTCCGAGAGGCCGCCCGGGACCTGCATGGCAGGCACTAGCTCCTGCCCAGCCAGGCCGCGGCCTCTGTGACGGGCACTTCAGGAGGGAGCTTGTTCTTTTCACTATTCTTGGGTTTTGTCGTGTGTGCGCGCGTAGATTTTTGTGGCATTTTTGCTGTGGTTGCCTTCAGGTCTCCATTCAGTGCATCCATTCCCCTCTGGCTTGGAAATAGACGGGGGTGCTTTCTCCTGCAGAGCTCCTCCCTAGTGGGAAGTGTTTGACCATTCCTCTTTTTCTTTCGCCATCCACAGATTAACGGTGCTGATAAGAAGGCAACTTCATAGGAGCTGCTAAGATGGGCATGAGGATCAAGCTGCAAAGCACCAACCACCCCAACAACCTGCTGAAGGAACTCAACAAGTGCCGGCTCTCAGAGACCATGTGCGATGTCACCATCGTGGTGGGGAGTCGCTCCTTCCCAGCTCACAAAGCTGTGCTGGCCTGCGCGGCTGGCTACTTCCAGAACCTCTTCCTGAATACTGGGCTGGATGCTGCCAAGACCTACGTGGTGGACTTCATCACCCCTGCCAACTTCGAGAAGATTCTGAGCTTTGTCTACACGTCAGAACTCTTCACAGACCTGATCAATGTGGGGGTCATCTACGAGGTGGCTGAGCGTCTGGGCATGGAGGACCTTCTCCGGGCCTGTCACTCCACCTTTCCCGACCTGGAGAGCACTGCTGTAGCCAAGCCCCTCACCAGCGCCGGGGAGAGCCACGCCAATGCCCTGAGTGGAAGCTCAGTAGAACCCACTCACCCCCTAGGGGAGCTCCGGAGTGGCGGGGAGCACTTTGGTGCCGATAGGAATTATGTGTTGCCTAGTGATGCCGGGGGAAGCTATAAAGAGGAAGAGAGAAAAGAGGTAAGCAGTGATGCCAGCCTGCCTCTGCCGCAGCAGCCACTGCCGCCAAAGACAGAAGATCATGAAACCTCTGCTCCGTTCACCTCTGTTCCTGGCATGGGGACCCAGCCAGTGCTTGGCACCATCAGCATGGGCATCCAAACCAGCACGAGCTCCTGCCAGCCATACAAAGTTCAGAGCAATGGAGACTTCAGTAAAAACAGCTTCTTTACCTCTGACAATGCCATAGACATCACCACTGGGTCCAACTCCTGTCTGAGCAATAGCGACCACCCCAAAGAGCCGGGCTTCGGGCAGATGGATGAGCTCCAGCTGGAAGACCTGGCGGACGATGACTTGCAGTTTGAAGACCCGACCGAGGAGATAGGCACAACTGAGGAGGTGATAGAATTGAGTGACGACAGCGAGGATGAGCTGGCTTTTGGGGAGAGCGACAGCCGAGAGAATAAGGCCATGCCTTGCCAGGTGTGCAAGAAGGTTCTGGAGCCCAACATTCAGCTGATCCGACAGCATGCTCGGGACCACGTGGACCTGCTCACAGGCAACTGCAAGGTCTGTGAGACCCACTTCCAGGACCGAAACTCCCGGGTTACCCATGTTCTGTCCCACATTGGTATTTTCCTCTTCTCTTGCGACATGTGTGAAACTAAGTTCTTTACCCAGTGGCAGCTGACCCTCCACCGACGGGATGGAATATTTGAAAACAACATCATCGTCCATCCCAACGACCCCGTGCCTGGGAAGTTAGGTCTCTTTTCTGGCACGGCTTCCCCAGAGTTGAAATGTGTTGTCTGTGGGAAGGCATTGGCCAAAGATTTCCACGTGGTTCGGGGCCACATCCTTGACCATCTAAACTTGAAGGGCCAGGCCTGCAGTGTCTGTGACCAGCGCCACCTCAACCTGTGCAGCCTCATGTGGCACACGCTCTCACACCTCGGCATCTCGGTCTTCTCCTGCTCTGTCTGTGCGAACAGCTTTGTGGACTGGCATCTCCTTGAGAAGCACATGACCGTGCACCAAAGCCTGGAAGATACCCTCTTCCGCTGCCACTTGTGCAGCCAGAGCTTCAAGTCGGAGGCTGCCTATCGCTATCACGTCAGCCAGCACAAATGCAACAGTGGCCTTGAGGCACGGCCTGGTTTTGGGCTGCAGCACCCAGCCCTCCAGAAGCGGAAGCTGCCAGCAGAGGAGTTCCTGAGCGAGGAACTGGCTTTGCAGGGCCAGCCTGGGAACAGCAAATATAGCTGCAAGGTCTGTGGCAAACGGTTTGCCCACACCAGTGAGTTCAACTACCACCGGCGGATCCACACGGGTGAGAAGCCGTACCAGTGTAAGGTGTGCCACAAGTTCTTCCGAGGCCGCTCGACCATCAAGTGCCACCTGAAGACGCACTCGGGGGCCCTCATGTACCGCTGCACAGTCTGTGGCCACTACAGCTCCACCCTTAACCTCATGAGCAAGCACGTCGGTGTGCACAAAGGCAGCCTCCCGCCTGACTTCACCATCGAGCAGACCTTCATGTACATTATCCATTCCAAAGAGGCAGACAAGAACCCGGACAGCTGACTGGGCCCCAGCGGAGCCAGAGGACACTCCCAGGCGGCAGCCAGGACCTCTGTTTTCTAATGGCTGCTCCTCCCTCCCCAGCCGAAGTTACGATTTTGCCTTGCTAGGAATTTGTCTTGTGTTGAAAGAAGAAAGAAGAAATAGCACATAAGCTGTTACTGTTTTTGAGAAGCAACGGCCCTATCATGTTTACCTCCTTACCTGTTCTTGCCCGCGAGGGCTGTGTTTTTTATTTTTTCCGAGACTGGTTTAGGGATCTCGCAGGCAGTTGGTGTCAACTAGATCCTCGTCCCCAGCCTCTTGCGTTTTAGTTTACGGATCGGTTTTATGCTGCTAAGACTCCAACCAACAGCCTCACAGGATAGAGGAGGTGGAGAGAGGTTTTCACTGTGGGTATCACTGCCAGACCTCCCGCTGGGACGGCCAGCTGAGAGCGAGGGTTCGGGAATGTGAGCGCCCAGAAGGGACTAGTCAGCGGGGCAGCTCACCTCAGGTTCCACTCCTAGCCCTCTGCAGGGAAGAGGCTTCAGGGATGGAGGTGCCTGCTTATTCCACGGCTCTCGTTTGCTGAGTGGACAGTTAAAGCTTTTGGCAGAGAGATCCAAACGGGACGAAGCTTCCCGTGTAGGTCACTAAGCTTTGGGGTGAACCCTTGCCAGCCCGAAGAGGTGTCCCATGGCAGTCTGGGTGGCCAGGAAGGGAGGTTTCTCTTTTTTTTCCTCAATTCCAAAGAAACGTGGCGTGATGGCCCTGGACATAAGGCCTTCCCTGTGGGGCAAGGAGGACAGCGAGCCACTTTGATGTAGTCACCTGCCCGCCCCCGCTGAGTGCCCTGACAGAGAGGTGGGGGTCTCTGACAGCAGCAGCCTTGCCTTAATTTACACCTAGTCTCTCACCTGGAGTGTGTTTGGCCCATAGTGTAGACGAGAAGACCCCTGAGCTGGTGGGGTGGTGGACTGAGAGCCCTTCAGGACAGAGGGCCCCAGGTACCTGGTGGCGTGTAGCAGGTGCGTTCTTTCTGGTGCTGCCAGGTAACCTGTTTCCTTTGCTAACTGGCCGGAGCTGGGGCAGCTCGCCTTTGACCTGCTGGACTTAGACGGACTTGTCGCCGCATCAGCGCCAGGGGGCGCTATGGGACGGCAGCCGCTCTGGGCCCTCCCTCAGGGACCGGGAACCTGTTGCCCGGTCATGGGGACTGTTTGTTTGGCTTTCGAGGGGATCTAGAGGGATCCGAAGAGGGCTTGCGGGGAAGGGCCCTACATCTCACATATTCACAAGGTGACACCTCAGACCTCATACTACCTCACCTTGCTCAGGCGAGCCCTGGGGGTCCGCGGCCTCGGCCCTGACACTGCCCCCGGCGGGACTCAGCAGCGCTGGGCAGTGACACAAGCAGGTGGTTTTAATGAACTCACAAAGCCTTTTTGGACGTTAATATTTATTTATTTTTGTTTTGGTATACGTTTTACCCAGCATCTCTTGGAGAAGAGACAAGGAAAATGAGTTTCTCCCCAGCCGGTAGTTTATTCCAGTGGGCAACCCTGGAAGTGGCTTAGAACTAGGGGTGAACAGGTCAGGCCTTTAAACGAGCAAATTGTTTTCTTTCTCCAGATATTCCCCTGCAGAATAAACCCAGGCGAGGCAGATGGATGTAGGTTCTAGAAAGTTGGAGCTGTAAAATTCTTAGGGCTTTCATTCCCTTTCCATCCTGTGATGGAGTAGATTTGGGACTGGGCCAAGTGGATCAGGTCACATGAAAGACCTTTTTGCACGTGCTCCCATCCTCCCTGAACTCGGGGAGCCGTAGTAAGACACGCAAGCAAGGGCCTCCCCGGTGCCCCTTCCACAGATCTAAGTTGATCCCGCCCCTGAGCTGGAACGCATGACTGAAGGGGTTAATTCTCAGCACTATCAAGTTATTGGCAGCCACTGCAATATGAGTTCGATCCCCGGCCAGGGAGCTGAGCCACAGGGCGCTGCAGACCTCTCCTGTCTCCCCGCTGCTCCCCTCAGCAGTGGATTTCAGTGGATCCGCCTGTTCTGCTCCCCACCCTGTCTCTGGTGGATCCTCTCACCCCCCGCACCTCTGGCCCACACCCCAGCTCTTGTAGCATAAATAAAAAAGAATCTTTTATAAAAAAAGAAAAAGACACACAGGCAAACCAAAGGACTGTCCCTGGGGGGACCTTCTGCCCCCTCCCTGACGCCCCCAGCTCTGAGCTGGAGCACATGGCTTTCTGGTGGGTGACCCTTAATGTGAAGAAACTTGAACAGGTGACCGCCAGATGGTGTCCCCACCTGCACCCAGCTTGCTGAATGTTCTTTTGGGACATTGTTGTCAGGAAAGCAGAACTGAGACTTTTATCCCTGATTGGTTTCTCCTTTTCTCTTCCCACACCCACCAACCCTTAGAAATTTAGGAAGAAAAATGTGCCAGAGGCTGAAGTCAAGTATGTGCTAATCTCTTCCAGCCGGAGTGATGCCTCCCAGACTTGGTGAGGACTGATACTTGAGTGACTGGATTTAAGAAAGGTGGTGCTTACTGGAAGCCAACCAGGTAGCCGAGGATGGATCCGTGTGCTGGAGAAACACTTCCTTAGCAGAGGGCATCATGGATGCTGGGTAATCTGTATACTTAACCTGAAACTGTGAAGTTTTCCCTTTTCACCAGTAAACCAAAAAGCAAACCTTGAAACTCTGCCCCTTAAACACTAAACAAGAAATGGTGCCCCTCACCTGTCTGAGGCCAAGCAGTGTTGGTCACGGTCAGACATGTAGCAGCGTCAGGAGCTCCTGAGGCTCATTGGCCAACCCTGTTCCTCTGTGTGTCCCATTTGAGCCCTCTGAGCCCTGCCCCGTCGGGACGGAGGTGGCGTCTCCGCCTCCAGCTCACCCGCTCCCGCGCTGCTGTGACACTGTATTGTGGCCAAGGGCGCGCTAGGCTCTCTGGTGGAAGAGACTTTCCGTTTTTGCTTTTTCTCAACCTTCGGTTCATGTGGCTTTGCTGGCCCCTGCCCCGGAGCCCGTGTAGCCCTGTCTCCTGCTGTACTCTTCTGAGGCTCTGTCTGACCCGCGAATGTCTTCTCCCGTTCCCCCTGTTCCGTACTCAGGATCAGCTCCGTCGCTCACAGAGCCCCTTTGAAATTCACAGAGGAGCGGTAGACGCCGACTGGGCAGCGCCAAACCAAGCGCGAGGCCGTGCCCGGCCTGTTTCCCAAGGGGAAGGGCAGGACTCGGGTGGCACACGGACAAGCGGCGGCGGCCAGAGGCGGGCCTCCCTGACCTGGCGCTCCGGGGACCCGCTGCTGGCTCGCTCGCGCCAGGGCACCCGGGAAGCTCTGCTGGGCCCTCGTATTTGGCCCTAAGCGATAAACTCCGTGGGGTGTCGAGTTCGCAGTTGGGAAGAAAGGAAGGAGCTGGGCAAAGAGTGGCCCCCGGTGACCCCTACGAGTCAGGGAAAGGGTGGAAGGTCTTAGACTTCTGATCTGTCAGAGTTCTTCTGTCTCCAGGACGAGCCTTGGGGTTAATTACCTTCCCCCGTTGGTGTTTTGCTACTGATGATTTTTCCCTTCCCTGGCCTCTTGCCGGGCCCCGGTCCTCAGACTCCTCCGTGTTGGCAGTGAATCGAAATCTCTAGGAGATGGACGCTGGTTCCGTGGCCGTGGAAGTGGGCCGTGTGGAGAAGGCCGCCCATCTGCGGTCCCCACCGGCCCGGGCCCCTCAGCCCTGCCCTGCCCCCGGCGGGAAGCAGACACAGCGTTTCCCAGTGTGACCGGCCCCGGTCGGCCTCACGTCAGAATGAAAACGAAACTTTTGATCTCGGTGTTTCTTTCCGTCCTCCCGCGTCCAGCCCAGCCCCTCCCGCCTCTCCCAGCTGAAGTCTCAGAAAACGGAGCGGAGTCGCCGGCGTCTGCCTCCTCCCATTAAGTTCACGCGTACTGACCTCCTGATATTTAAGTGTTTACTATCTATTGCTGTAAAGTTTTGTATATTTTGTAAACTTTCCCCCCAAATAGTAGATGTCTAAAATCGTACATCTGATTCTTTTATATTCCATTGTTCAGCACAAAGTGTGGTTTTTATTTAGAATAAAAAAAAAAAGGAAATTTGAAATGGGAGTTCTTTTCCTATTTACGATGAACCTGCTAATTCCTTGAGTCCAGAGTATCTGGGTGGTCACGCTTCAGTCTCCGTATTCTCAGTAGGCGCCAGAATCCTTTCAGTTAGCAAATTTCCTTTCCCATGGCTGGAATTCCCCAGGGCTAACGTGTTACCCTGTTTTTTGTGGGAAATTGTCAATGACCCAACCTCTTCGGGGCAAACGTACCAGAGAGGATCATCTGTTGGCCCAGGGGGGAGCGGGACCCGGCTTAGGTCCAGCGAAACTAGATAAAGTGACAGATTCGGCCACCGATGGTCTTGCCCAGGCCACCTTAATTCATCGTGACAAGGTATGTCTGAGTGGAGGCAGGTTCACACGGGGCAGTGGTTTGGCATAACTGTGAGATGATAGCAGATGTGCCTCCACAGAGGAGACCCCTAAAGTTAGGGCACCATGGCCCTCTGGCCTCAGCGCACAGCCCGGGCCTGACCCAGCGGTGCACGGTCAGTGCCGCTTAGAGCAGCCGTGCTGCCGTCAGCACAGCAGGCCCCTCGCCTCCCAAGGCCCTAGGAAGTGTCCAGACTGCCAGGGTGATAACTGGTTGCCAGAGTGAAATCCATGAGAAGAGCAAAATCTTGGGGAAATGGCCTGACATGAGCTAGGATGTGACAGATGCACAATTGGGTTTCCTGCAGGAAACCTCTGGAGCCCAAGGAGGCAGTGATATGGGCATCAGATCTTAGCTTGGTTTTTATGTGGCCACAGGGGAGGAAAGTCTTTCATGCATTGTCTGCATTGTTAGGTTAAACTCTGTGGCAACCCCAGGTTACAGCCCAGACTTCCCTGGCTCAGAAAACCCTCAGCTCTGCCACTGCACAGCTGTTTGGGCCCAGTGAACAGGATGGTGGAGACTGGGTCCTCTCTGTGTGCCTGCAGGCAGCACACAAGTGTAATGCATCTGGGGAACACTTCAGGTTTCTGAGGGCAGAGGAGACCGCACTGCAAGTCAGGGAGCAGCTTGTCCAAGGCACACATTCCAGACACGGTGAGCACCTGGGCAGGAGCGAGGCCGTCCCTGGTTGTGTCCATGAGCCCTTCATGCTCCTCAGGCAGGACTGAGGAACTGGGGCCTGTCCTTAGGCTTCCACTCCAGTCCCAGTTCTGCATGGACTTGGCCCTAGCTTCCTAAACTGGTGAGCTTTCCCCAGAAGACCTGCTTCCTCCCAAGGCTGCTCTCCCTGCCTCTAGGACAGGTGTTAATGGGGATAAGGGGCTGGGCAGGAAAAATGACTAAAAGACTTGGCCAGGGAGAAAGAAGGACAAGACTGCGAACTGAATTAGACGAACAGCAAACCCTCCCGTGTCAGATTTGGAAAACGCCCACCTTCCCATCCTGTGAGGGACAAGGGCTGGGGCCAGAGCAGCTGTCCGTGCCCGCTGCGGGCTGTCCCGAACCCACGCCCGCAGAGGATGCCCCTTGGTACTTTCCTGCCACCCGGAGAGGGGGTGGCGTGGGCTTGGACTTCTGATAGCCTCTCTCCCTACGGGTCCGGAGACTCCTAGAGCCAAAGCGGAGAGGAGCTGGGCTCTGAGGAGAATGGACTGGGGGAGCTTCAGTGGGCGGGGAGCAGGATGGATGAGGGGCAGAGTGTCAGTAAGGAAATGGAGCCGTTTCCTGGCTGGTGGGGGTGGGGAGGAGCGGGGGCCGTTCTGCAGACCCGGCTGTCCGCGGAGCCTCTCAGCCTGGACTTCACCCCGCCCTCCATTTATCACCGCTGACCGCGCACGGCCCAGGAACGTCCTGCTGAGGCCTCCTGGCGCCTTGGCCTCTGCCCCCTTGTCCCCACAGCCTGCGTGCTTTGCTGGGCGAGCAACAAACACAAACACAAAAGGAAAGTTTTTGAGGTTCCTGTGGCGCTCACTCTCTGCAGCTGGGGTGATTTCGGAAGGGAATGCGGCTGCTTTCTGCGCATCTCTCTCGCCTCAGGGCCCTCCCGGTCCCAGCTGGAAGTGCAGATGTTTCCGAGAGCCAAAGCGTGGCTGCGCTATTATTTATTTCACCTTTTTTCCCTGCGTGGTTTCCTTTAGACACAGCGTCAGAGACAAACAGTACAGCGCCAAGCTCTTCTCGCCCTCTCTGCCCCTTCTCCCTCTCCCGCCGCAGTGTGTGAAGCTACTCTCAGTGTCGATCATAAGTGCTCTGGCCCCCACCCCCAGCCCCCCACCCTCGCCCCCACCCCATCTCACCGATGCCTCTGGCTGTGTCTGCCTCAGCTGGCGGGAGTTGCTGGAGGAGAGGAGGTGGGGGAGGCGTTTGGTGCCTGGAGGCTGGGGCCTGGGTGTTGGCGGGGGCCTGCTGCCCGGGGCTGGGCCCCCTCCTTGGTGATGATGATGGAATGCTGCGTGGAGGAGGAGGCAGAGGATGCAGCCCTGCCCGCCCTGGCCTGGACCTTGGGGAGGTAGTGGACCACAGCGCCCAGCAGCCGGCCCTGGAAGCCGCGGCTGAGGAAGTTGTAAAGGATGGGGTTGATGACGCAGTGGAGCATGGAGAAGCAGTCGATGATGTCGTAGAAGAAGTAGAGCAGGTGGGCCAGGTAGCAGTGCAGGGAGATGTGGGGCCCCTCCAGCGTGAGCAGCAGCAGGGTCACGTGGTAGGGCAGCCAGCAGAGCACGAAGACGGCCACGTACGCGCTCAGCAGCAGGCAGTGGCGCCGGCCCTCGGGCTGCCCGGACCTCCGGAGCCGGCAGGCCATGAGCACGTTGAAGACGGCGATGAGCAGGAGGGGCAGCAGGAAGCCCAGCACGGTGGTGGACAGGGCCACCGCCAGCGCCCAGGTGCTGTACGTCTCCAAGGGCGCCAGGAAGAGGCACATGGGCTCGGCGCTCTCTACCAGCTGCATGTGGACCACCTCGGGCAGCGGGATGAGGGCCGAGAGCACCCAGACGCCGGCACACACGGCCCGCCGCACGCGGTGCTGGTGGCGCTGCCAGGAGGGGGGCGGGCTGCTGAGGGTGACATAGCGGTCCACGCTGAGGCACACGAGGAAGAAGATGCTGCTGTACATGTTGGCAAAGTAGAAGTAGTGAGCGAAGCGGCAGGAGAAGCTGCCCCAGAGCCAGGTGTAGTCCAGGGTCACCTCCAGCATCCACACCGGCAGGGACAGCACGACGCCCAGGTCCGCCACGGCCATGTTGAGCACGTAGAGGCTCAGCAGCCCCGCCCGGCCCGAGCAGCGCCAGTTGACGCATATGACCAGCAGGTTCTCCACCAGCCCCACCACGAAGATGGCCAGGTAGAGCACGAACAGGGCCACGCGTTTGGTGTTCTCGCTCAGCTCCGTGTAGCACTCGGGCAGCGTGTGGTTTAAGAAGTAGATCAGTTCGGTCCAGTTGTGGATCTCTCCAAAGTTGTGGGTGAGCCCCTCGGAGGGGCTGGACCCCAAGCTCTCCTTGACTGACATTGGGACCAGCAGATGCCTAGTGGGGAGACCAGAGAGCTGGAGGAGAGAGGAGGCCTCAAAAAGCTGCCTTGCCCTCCCGACCGCTCCATCCCCTCCCCCCCAACCCCCCAAGGTAGGAGGCCCCAGAAACCAGGGGACTTCCGGGAAAGATTCTAGTCTGACGAGGCAAAGGAAAAAGTTCGGCTTTCAAACTGCGCATAAATTGTAGCAACTCACCTGCCAGCTTTGACTCAAGAGCAGAGAGGTTTGGTTGAGGGTTCTCCACGACGCTGACGCTGGGGGAGACCAGAACTATTTGCACCCAGTGAGATTTCTTCCCAGCGCGTCAGTCCCACCCCGTTTCCAGCCCCGGTGGTCACCGACTTCCCTTCCTTCCCTGCCGCACCACCCCTCGGCTTTCCTTTGGGGGCCGCCGTCAGGCCAACGGGGCCGTGGGTGTGGGACCCGCCTTGCACATACATGCACACGCCTCATTCATCCCTGGGAACACCCGTGGGCTGTGCACAAGAGACAGCTGCCCAGGTAGGCCCCGGCTCCTCCTTCCCTGAGAGAGGGCAGCACTCACCTGAGCTTCCCGTGGGCACCTCTGGCTCTGCAGGGCCAGCGGGTCTGGACTGTTGGGGAGCTGCGAGGAGGCTGCCAGGACGGTGGCTGGGGACTGGCTCTGCTGTGGGCGCCACAGCCCCCCTTCTCATCCAGGAAGTTGCATCACTCTTGAAGCTCTGTGGAGAGGGTCCGGGCTGGGCCTGCCTTCTCCCCATCCAGTTAGAGGGGAAGTCACAGCCAAAGAGCTGCTGTGCCGGGGCGGCGGGCGGGGGTGTGCGGTGGCCGGGGGGTCGCGCGGCCAGTTCTAAAGCTCCTCACACGCCAGCTGTGAGAATTTTCTCCTTTGAAACCACAGCTCTCTCCTCTGCAAAATGGGGACAATAGTATCTATTAACAGGGGCGTGGGGAGGGGTGAACGAGGCATCAAGGGGACGTGCGAATGCTTTACATCTGTGTCTTCCTCTCCCTAACTTGGCCTGGCACCTCCCTCTTCCCTGCCCGTCCTGACTCCTGGGCCTGTGAAACTGGCTGGGACAGCTAAGATAAACCTGAAAATCAATCAGACTTTTTTTTTTAATGTTTATTTATTTATTTCTGCACATAAGAACTGGGATACAGGCCAGAGGTATGGGGGTGAGAGGATTCACCAGAGTCAGAGCGGGGAGCAGAACAGGCAGACCGATGAAACACTCTGCTGAGGGGAGCAGCGGGGAGACAGGAGAGGTCTGCTGCGCCCTGTGGGGAGCTCCCTGGGGGGGGGTCGAACTCGTGCTGCAGAGTGTGGACAGGGCAGCTTCATAGGTTGTGTCTAACCCCTTGCGCCAGCGGGAGGCCCTCAGTCAGACTTTTAATCATTCTCACCCTTCCCCTGCTGGCTCACACCCACCCCTGGCATTCTCCCCACCTTCATATTGTCTGAGGTGAGAATGTGGGGGGGAAAGGCTGACTGTGGGGTGGGGAAGGAGGCTGCGCTGAGTCTCGGGGGTGTCTGGCTGGAGAGGGGAGAGAGGAGCATATTTCCCCCCCATATGTCCCCCCATGACTCCCAAGGCCGAGAGTGCATGAGTTTGTGTGTGTGTGAGCGTGTGTGTGTGTGAGCGTGTGTGTGTGCATGTGTGTGCGCGTGAGAGAGAAAAGAAGCCTGTAGGCTTGGGTTGTTGAACATCTTGTGTCAGTGGAGCTTCCTATGAGCACTTTCACCTCAGCATTTGATCCCTGAAGCACCCTTGTGAGGTGAAGGATGGGCCTCTTCACCCTCTGCAGGTCTGGGGGGCTACCTGCCACCCCGCTCGGAGCCACCCGAGCAGCGCCCCTGTTTTGTAGGATGTAGGGTGGAGTCATGTTGGCTGGAGGGGATTTGGTATATGACCTGTGAGGTGGAATTCCCATCACAATAGTAACCATTTTAAAGGGAGCAATTCAATGGCACTTAGCACATTCCATTACGTGCAACCCCTGCCTCTATCTAGTTCCAAAATATTTTCAGCACCCTAAAACAAAATTAAATACTCATCCCCCTTTGCCCTCTTGCCTCCTCACCCCCGCAACCACCATTCTGCTTTCTGTCTCCGTGGATTTACCTGTGATATATAATATAAATGGAGTCATATATGACCTTTGTCTCTGGCTTTTTTTTCACTTAACATATTTATGATTACATTACATTGCAATCCGTAACACTGCAGAACATGGGAGCATGTGTCTGCATTCCTTTTTTATGGCTGAGTAATATTCCATTGTATGGCCATAACACTCCTGTTTATCCAGCCAAGCAGGGGATTATCGTTTTACTGTGATAAAATAAACATGGCTTCACGGTGCATTCAGTACGTCCACATTGCTCTACAGCCGTCACCACCCCTCACCGTCTCCACGGGAGGAGCTGTTTTTAATTTTGCAGTTTTCTTAAAGCCTCCTGTAGAGAACTGTTTCTCTACTACAACCCTGACGCCACAGGTGTAGGGTTTTCTCCCCCGCCCCCACCAACCATTTTTCCACCTTTCCAGACACCAGCTGGGTGTTTATTAAATTGAACACTTGAACTCAATTCTGACATCATCCACCCAGAACTGCATCAGACTCCATGGGTTTAAGGGTTCAACCCCGCAAGTCCTCTTCACTTGGGATGCAGTGGGTCCCCAGGGGCTCCACACATCTACTCAGCAGGGGTATAAACTCGGGCGTTCCCACATGTCTTCCACACTTTGGATAATTTACTGGAGCAGCTCATGAAACTTGGGGAAACATTTACTAGCTTACTATAAAGAGTACAGATGACTAGCCAGATAAAGAGGTACATAGGGAAGGGTCTTGAGCCTCTGTCCCCATGGAGTGGGGTACACCCCTCACCCCCGCCATGGGGATGCATTCACCAATCTGGACGCTTTACCAACCCTATAATTTCAGGACTTCATCACAATCAATTAACTCAGTCTCCAGCCCTGGCCTCTCCTAGGAGGGTAGGCGTTGAGATAGAAAGTTCTAAACTTCTAATCAAGCCTTGGTCTTTCTGGTGACCAGTGTTTATCTTGAAGCTGCCTAGGAGCCCACCCAGAGATCCTCATTGGAACAAAGCATTCCCTTATCACCCAGGAAAGGCCAAGGGATTCAGGGGCTCTGGAAGGTGCTCCTCGTCACCTCCGTCACCCGGGAAATCAAACAGGTGTGAGGAGCTCTCTGTGAGCAAGTGGGTGGGCACAGAGACCAGATACATATTTCTTATTACGTCACCCCTCCGCTCACACATCAGACCACTTTGAGATCAAGAAATCTCATGATGGGGCCTCCCCGGTGGCGCAGCGGTTGAGCGCTGGGTTGCGAAGCTGCCCGCGGCCTCTGCGGCGCCGGTTTGATCCCCGGCTGCTCCCCGGCCACCGGAGGAGGGTCCCACATGGCGCGCAGACCTCTCCTGCCGCCCGCTGCTCCCCTCAGCAGTGTACTTCGTCAGTCTGCCTGCTCTGCTCCCCGCTCTGGCTCTGGTGAATTCTCTCACCCTCCTGCGCTTCTGACTGTACCCAGTGCGTGTATAAACAAAACAAACAAACAAATAAATAAAAACATGCCTCTATAAAAAAAAATTCTTTAAAAAAAAAAAAAGAAATCTCATGATGAGCTTTGATGATGTAAAATCATCGATGTTTACTTTGATTTTTCAGACGGTCTCCCACTTACTCCCCCGTTTCTTTAGGTTCCAGTTCCTGTCCTACGGGAATCTTTTTTCAGTAAAGAACGACCTAAGAATTTCCACTACTTTCCTCACCTCCACCTGCTGCCCAGTCCCCCCGCCCCCAGCATCCGAAGTATAGTTGCAGCAAGAGGAAATGATGGTGGTTCCTTCTGGCAGGGCCACAGAGGGAAGGCCGTGCCCTCAGGAAGAAGTAAGTGATCGCTTTGCAGTTTTCATGTGGTTGTTTTCGTGGTGGGGCTTGGGGGTGCTGGGGAGATGGGCAGCTGGAAAGAGCAAGACTGGAAGGTGGGGAGAGCCTGGAGTGGAGTTTGGGCTCCTTGCCAGCCTGGGCAGGAGGGGGACAAACAGTTGTGCTTTAAGCAACAGGAGCAGTAACCCTGAAACAATTCCTGGAAATTTACTCTTTCTCCTTCCTCCTCCCTCCCCAGCACCACCCCCCCCTTTTTTTTTTACAAAAATGTAGACAAGACATTGTAATCGACAATCGGAAAGGAAGGAAGGTACCAGGGAGGAGGTATGGGAGGTGCAGATAAAGGGAGACTGCTTCCCTGGTCAGACGGGCCAAGGGCTTGGGCCTCGGCCCTGGAGGAGGGTGCGGGGCAGGTGGGCCCAGGAATCCCCGCACGTGCTGGGCCTCAGGTGGTGAGGGCAGGTGGGCTGTGGGCAGGTCAAGGCTGAGGAGTCTGGAGCACTTTTCCTCCCATCCCCAGCCCTCAGCTTCCACAAGGTCACTGAGCCCAGACACCAAATCTGCCACGGAAGTCGCCTGCCCTCCTGCCATGGTTTCCCCTCATCAGGAATGCAGCCTTGTTTGCCCAGCAGCACCTCAGAAGGGCCCTCCTGCCTCCCCGAAAAGGGATGTGGCCCAGTGACCCTGTCCTTGTTCTCCATGCTTAGCTCTTCCCTGCTCACTTGTCACAAAACACAGTTAACTCTAGTTTGTGGACCAGACCTGGCTTTGACACTGTCTTCTGCCACTTAATGGCTGAGTGACTTTGGGCAAATCACAACACCGTTTGAGCTTCAGTGTCTCTGGGTGCAAAGCAAAGCTAAAGCTTCCTTCAGGATCATTGTATGGGACACATGAGGTGGCATTTGCAGGGTGTTCAACAAAGCAGGCCCCCCACTTCTGTAGGATGGGGAAGCCATCCTTGTGGAACTGACCTCGAGACACCTTCCCAGGACCCAGCACCTCTCAGCTGGACCAGCACCAGCTTCCTCTTTTATTTAGTTGTCTGGGGTTGTATGTTTGCTCTCCCTAGAATGTCAAGAAAATCCCCAAATGCCACTCAGAATTACCACAAGAGAGCTAAAGTAATGGAGACAGCTAACTTTTATTGAACACTCACTGCTTGCCAGGTACAATTGCAAGGTGCTTGACACATGTCACCTCATTTAACCTCATAACAAATTAACAAGATGGCTATAGAGGAAACTGAGGCACAGAGAGGTTAAACAGTTGCCCATGTCATACTGGAAGTTGTTTAGTAAAGAATTAAGAGGATTCTGGACCTGCATCCTGGCATCTAATGGCTTTAGATAGGCTCTGAACTCCCTGAAGACAGACTCTTGTCTGTTGTGCTAAGTCACTTTTATGGGGCTTAGGGCCTTCGTAGATTCTCAAAGGAGCTCATGAGATCCAAAAAGTTAAAAATGATCACCCTAGAAGAGCTTCTTATGGACAGCGGCTTGGATTAAAAAGTGGGGTAGGGCGTACACTCCATGGAGGTGACAGCCCTGGGAATGCTGGGGAAATTCTTGAGGGAGGGAGGAGATGAGTCCCCTTCATGGAAGCCGAGAGAACATGGGATGATCTGGGGGGCAGGATGAGAAAGGAAGGTGAATTGGCTTTGCTCCCTGCCCTGCTCCTTCCACAGATGAGGGCAGGCTGTGTGGGTGGTGTGTGCAGAGTTAGTGGA